ATTAACTCGTTATAACGAGTTAGTATCTCGTTAAAACGAGCTACTTATCTCGTTATAACGAAATAATTATCTTGTTATAACGAGTTCGTATCACGTTATAACGAGATAATTATCTTGTTATAACGAGTTAATTATTTTTTCATCGTGTCAAAAATGAGCCTATCCGGCATTCGTATATACTTACCCCCCCCCCCCCCCCGAAAAAAAAAATTACGAATTATAAAAACAATGTTTCTTACAAGTCCACAAAAAATTAATTGAAAAAATATTTTAAAGTAGGGATTTCAACGATTATTTGAATATTCATTCGGTGAGTTGATTTTCGAATTGTAAATTTATGATTCAAATCCCCCCCCCCCCCCCCAAGAATACACACCCCAAAAAAAGCGATATCAATGATGAATTTAAGTGTCGGAATTATCCCGCTCTTATTTACTAGCGGTCAGTTTTGATCAGCCGATCTTTTTTTACTATCTTCTGATCATAGATCTATTAAATTATTTCATTCTGAGTTGTGTGTTTTCAGAAGATTTTGTTGCCGAAATAAAATGTTGCTATATTTTACAGGTACGTAGTATAGTTTTTGAAAAGGGGGAGGGGGAATTGACAACTTACGTGGAAAAGCTATGACCGGTCAAAATAAAGGTAAAAATTGTTTATATTCCAAATCCTATTTAGTGTGTGTATGTGTGTGTGTGTGTGTGGGGGGGGGGGTGTTAGGTTATTTTTTTTCTTTTTTTCACAAGTCACATTTTATTAAAACATTAACAATTTTCCACATTGCCTGATTTAACTGTACCGCAACAAAAGGGGGCAGCAGTGCCCCCTTCCCCAATACTGTCTATTTAAGAGGGATAGTACTGGACATTCATTGTTGTATGTAATAAAAGAGGGGTTTTCTGAGATTTCTCTTCTTCTTCTTCCCGTTCAGTGCAAAACCACTTAAGTATTATCGCATTCTGCGTCAGGGGGTGAGTGTCTATGTACAGTGCACGATAAAATTAAAAACGCAGATGTGTTTTCTAGTGGCTGCATGGCGCTGGACAGCTGGGTCAAGTGTCATTGTTTACGTTTTGCAAAACCGGAAATTACCGGTGAGTTAAATTACAGTTCACAATCAATTCAAAGTTTGGGCAAGTGAAATTGTCAACTTACTTGTCCGACCGGATTATGCGACACCGGGCAAGTGATTTTTTCTGACAGAAATGTATATTGTTTTCAGTCTAGTTATGTTCCCCAAACGAAGTTTGGGAACATTTTGTTTTTACTCTGTTTCTTATTATTATTATTATTATTATTTTTCTTCCTGGGTACTTTTTTGTCCGTGAGTGATCTCCGAAACTACACATCCGATTGAGGTGAAACCTTTTTAGGGTTAATAGGAATGTTATGTAGATTTGCGGAACGAAGGTCATTTTGCGCGCACGCGCATGCACGTGCGTGCGCGTGCAATGCGTAAAATGACCTATATACTTGTTATAGCTGTAACTTTTATATTTTTTGATGAAATGCTTTGATACTCAGAATATAAGGATGTATTAATAGTGTAGACAAGATGACATGGTCAGAATGTGCATGCATGCACGTGCGCGCATGCGCATTGATTGAAATAACCAATACAATCGATATAGACTTAACTTGTACATTTTTTGATAAATTGCATTGAAACTCAGAATATAAATATATATTAAAAGTGTACAAAGAAGACTTGATCAGCGCACACATGCATGCACGTGCGCGCGCGTGCAATGAGTAAGATGACAGATATACTTGATATAGCTGTAACTTTCATATCCTTTGATGAAATGCTTTGATACTCAGGAGATCAGGGTATATTAAAAGTGTAGACAAGATGACATGGTCAGAATGCACATGCATGCGCGTGTGCGCATGCGCAATGATTGAAGTAACCAATGCAAATGATATAGACGAAACTTGTACATTTTTTGATGAATTGCTTTGAAACTCAGAATATAAATATATATTAGAAGTGTACACAAGAAGACTTGATCAGCGCACACATGCATGCACGTGCGTGCACGTGCAATGAGTAAAATGACAGATATACTTGATATAGCTATAACTTTCATATCCTTTGATGAAATGCTTTGATACTTTGGATATCAGGATATATTAAAAGTGTAGACAAGATAACATGGTCAGAATGCACATGCATACACGTGTGCGCATGCGCAATGATTGAAATAAACAATGCAAATGATATAGACTTAACTTGTACATTATTTGATGAATTGCTTTGAAACTCAGAATATAAATATATATTAGAAGTGTACACAAGATGACATGATCAGCGCACACATGCATGCACTTGCAAGCACGTGCGTGCGCGTGCAATGAGTAGAATGACCAATATACTTGATATAGCCAAAACTTTCATATCTTTTGATGAAATACTTTAATACTCAGAATATAAGGATATATTAATGTGTAGACAAGATGACATGGTCGGCATGTACATGCATGCACGTGCGTACGCGTGCAATGAGTAAAATGACCAATATACTTGATATAACCATAACTTTTACATTTTTTGATGTAATGCTTTGATACTCAGAATATATTGACCCTTTATAAATGTAGACAAGACGACATTGTCAACATGCACATGCGCGCGCATGCAATGCTAAAATGACCAAATTACTTGATATAGCTGTAAATTTTACACTTTTTGATGAAATGCTTTGATACTCAAATATGTAGATATATTAATAAGTGTTGACAAGATGACACGGTCATCATGGACATGCATACACGTGCGCGCGCTTGCAATGCGTAAAATGACAGATATACTTAATATAGCCGAATTTTTTTAATCTTTTGATGAAATTTGAAAATAAAGATGTATTAAAAGTGTAGACAAGTTGACATGGTCATTTTTTTACATGCATGCCCGTGCGCCCGCGTGTAATGCGTAAAAAAACCAATATACTTGATTGCCTTTTTTAATGAAGCTTACAGGGAATAGAATAAGACACCAAAAGGAAGTTGGGGAGCGTTTGGGGAACATCTGTAACGGTCCCCGTTACAATTAATACTAGTTTACATTACTTTAATAAATTAATTTATAAATTAAACAAAAGATCGAACAATTGATATCCACCAGGTACCTGACTGACTTTGTTTTTGCATTCGTAATCCCTTGGAAGCATTTCTAGATTCAGGTACCTCAAATTGCCAAGTTTACAGTAGTGTATCTGGTCACACTTTATCATAAAATTTACAGTAATTTTTTTTCTAATTTGGGCAACCAAGTTTTGGATTCGGACAAGTCAAAGTTTGAGATCCCCTGCCCAAAGGGCAAGTGAATCTGAAAGTTAATGTCTATCCCTCCCTCACGTATTTTGGTTTAGAATATTTGGCGGTAAATGTCATTGATTTCGATGTTAAACTGAATATATATGTCTTTTAGATTATATATATATATATATATATATATATATATATATATATATATATATATATATATATATATATATATATATATATATATATATATATATATATATATATATATATTATGTATCTGTTCAGAAGTGGATTTCTGTATATCCTTTAGCATCCTTTATACTCTTGCTGCCTCTTGTTGATGTATCAGACATTTTTTATGTGTTCAGTTATATGAATAATATTTGTAATAGTAATGCACATGATTGCACATTAAGTTGTATCAATTAAGAGTACAGATATATCTTAAATCAAGACAATCTATGTCTACATATGACACTCAAAACACCACCAATGTACTAAATGGAAGAATTGCTCTTCATTATATGTTGTATTCTGTCTGTTATCCTGTCTGTAATTATACATGTTATATGTTTATGCCCATTAGGCCCTGATTTGGTAATAATTCCTATTCTATTCTATTCTATATTATATACAAAGAAAAAAGTTAAGAAATCATAAAAACAAAGGAAATGGGAAAAACAAAAACGGCTAGCACTACTACTAAACTACCAAACATTATTTATTTACAATGTTACATGTTGAATTTGAATTTTATGATCAGTTGTAAAGAAATAAATCCGGATCGCTATGAAATACGTCCGATCTCTCGGGTGTACTCTGGTGAAGTGGCACTTGGTAGTTTAGTAGTAGTGCTAGCCGTTTTTGTTTTTTATTTCCTTTGTTTTTATAATTTCTTAATCAACTTTTTTCTTTGTCCTGAGGAAGGGACAGGGCGTCCCGAAAATTTGACAATTTCTATTGTTCGTGTCGTTGGTCATTTTTAGTGCTTTATATAAATTTCCATCCTTGACCTTGTATCTAGTTAGTAGATCCGACACTTAGGATATACAGTGTGTTGTTGGTTTTTGTAGTGCTTTCTATACGATATATATATATATATATATATATATATATATATATATATATATATATATATATATATATATATATATATATATATATAATGGCCGTAGGAACCGGGGGGCAGAGGGGGGGGGAGTCCCCCACAATAATTTTGCCGATATATAGATTACTATAGTAAACATAGATAATTATGTGTTTGTGTCCCCTCAATAAAAACGTCTGGTGACCTTCTTTTTTTTTTTTTTTTTTTTTTGCTTGTCAGGAAATTTTTGGTAGTGCCCCCTCAACTGTCAACTGAAAAATGTATGGCTGTGCCCCCCCCCCCCCCAATTGAAATTGCTTCCTACGGGCCTGTATATAGTGTTTTATTTAAAAGACATTTCTGAGTAGACACTCAATGATTGAGTCAATCTAATATTGGAAGAAGTAGAAAACAAAAATGATTCAAATTATTTAAATTAAACAAAATGGTAATTCTTTGATATCTAAATAGTAAATCAATTTTCAATATCGCATATTAAGACAAATCGTTGTAGTAGGGTATCTTGCTACAATCTAGGAATGCAAATTGTGATCGGGTTCGGAATTCGATTGAAAAAGGTCATTTCGTCTTCTGCTTACGCAACTTTAAAAAAAACTGAAAACTTGCACGTACACACTTGAGTACATCCAAACCTTAAGGCAGTTAAGCCAGTTAAGGTGTCTGATTTCAGATGAATAATCTATGAAGTTAACGGTACAAGTTATTTCTTGTTAAATGAGGATATGACGTGAATATTTCAAAAAGCAAGGGACTGAACAAGCAGCTGAACAAGCGCGAATTTACTCGGCCTTTGTACAGCTGTTGTAAGACCTTTTGACAGGCGTTAAGGTTTGTTCGTATATAATCGTTTTAAAGTAACAAGTTTTTAGTTTAAGTGTACGAAGCTATGCTTAAAAAGATATCGGATACTTTTGAAATATTGAAAATGTGTGTAATTAGTGTACAAGATATTTTCAGAGAGATAAACCAGGTCCAGTACAATCACTACATTCAGCTACGTAGCTTGAATTACCTAGTCCTACATAGCTTTATTTAGCTACTTGAAGTAGCTTTTTTAGCTATTTTAATGCAAACTTTAACAAATTTGCTCTTTATTTAAAATAGACAAAGAATCCCAAGTATGTGACTAGATTTACTAATATTTGTGCTGTGGAGTTTTTTAAGCAACGCAGTCAGAGTAAAGATAGTTTAAACATTGCTGCTTCTGAACATTTGTAAGCAAAAGGTTTGAGCAACTGTACACCACCTTGGTGAGGCATGGATAAGAGGATGATTACTTCACATTGTTCTGAATTATTACTGATCAATTATTAAGTAAACCAGAACTGCAACTGTCAGTTGCAACCTGTACCCGGTCGACGCTAGGACATGAATATGGAAAGTGTCAACCGTCGACCTGTCCCTGGTCCACACTAGAATTATGACTTACAATTATCAGTCTGTAGAAATACTTGAAATGTGCAGAAAGTAATTTTACATGTACTATTTTATCTATATATTGGAGTTAAGCTGCATGGTCTTCCTTGTTTATATTCAAGAAGTAACTGTATGGGCACAAACCTACTGTTGTATACAGCCCCAAAACTTCTGGAACTTAATTTGATTGCAATTTACCGTAGGGGACACGTCTTTGAGAGTGATTTTTTCATGAACTGTTTTCAGATCAATGCAAAGTTGATAATTATTGCTGCATTGATGTGCTTTTTTTTTTTTTTTTTTGTATGTCCAGAAAAAATGTTTATTTAAGAAGTAAATATGATTTAGTAGCTAAATAAAGCTACTTAAGGTAGGTAAATAAAAGTAATTCAAGACAGTTAATTTTAAAAATGTAGTGATTGTACCAGACCTGATAATGTCAAATTACAGTGATGCCACAAGAGAGTTCAAACATGAATGAAGTGGATCCACAGCAGATAGAAAAATGGGAGAAAAATCTTAGTGAAGAAGAGAGAGCTAAACTGGCTCTCATAGAGTGGAAGAATGATCAGAAATATGACTTCAAGAGTCCTCTAATGCAGTATCCACAACTGGGGATAGGTAAGAAGTCAAAATACTGTAGGGGTGAAACTATACACCTCCTTAACAATATGATATATATTGTATAATTTTGTCTCGGTACAGTTATTTTTGATACAGTACATTTCGACAGAAGGAAGCAAATTCAAAATTTTTTTTATGTTTTGTTTCGGTAAATCCAGTCACTTTATCTACATGAAAATTGACTCTAAGACATGGATTAAAATGAATTGACTGTTAAAGATTATTTTACAAACTATCGTTCCTAAAAAATTTAAGATTTTTAAAATTTAATTATGCTGGGTCAGACTGAGTAGTGTGTTTTACCAATTCCAAACCTGACTGATTACTGAAAAATGAACCGAAGTGAAAATTGAAATTTTGCACTGTGTATCAAACTGAGAAAAAATACTGTGGTGGATCGATACTGCGGTGAACTGTTTCACCCCTAAAATACGCCTTAAAGAATAGAAAGAATTAACATAAAGACTTGTAAACAGTCAATGGACAAAGCCTTTGGCATTTCAAATTATATTGCATGGTTTACAATAAGGGAAGATTTAAACAATAAAAATAAAGTAACAGTATGCAGTGTCTGCTCAGATATCTCTATAGATTACTTCCTAAACATTATTTAAAAAAGATGTGTAGAGGCTTCATACATACTCCAAGGCTTAACCCTTTAGCTCATTTGGTAGAGCACTTGACTGGCATGCTAGAGGTCCTGGGTTCAAATCCATTAAGTCTCTGTTACATATATGCTTCAAGTTTCTTTTAGACATGCTAAAAACTAACTTACGGTAATTGATGTTTATTGATATATATTTACATTTGCTGTGTTTTTCTACTAAGCAAACTGTGAAATTGATTTTAAAGCCATTATTGTGTATACTCAGGGGTAAAAATATACATGGAGAAAGTGGCGTTAAAGTGACGTCATAATGAGGCTACAGAGATGTTAATAAAAATATGAAGATATAGGGCAGCGAGAAATTCAAACATTGAGTATATTTTTTGGTGCATTTTAGCATGTAAAATGTAAATATAAGGAATGTTTTTAAGTTTAGTGTGAATTACTGGTGTGTAAATCGCATAGACTTGCACGTAAGCCTATTTTTCATGAAATATGCCAACATAACAAGCCTGTGTGATTTACACACCAATAACTTACACAAAACTTAAAAACATTCCTTAATTATATTTAAAAGAATTAAAATCTTGTCAAGTTGTTAATTAATGCTCTAATACTTTACCTTATGCAAGAAATCCTTTTTCAAGTTTGATACTCCATTTGTAAGGAACTGAGTCCTAATTAAGATACGTGGGAATATTTTGCAACTACTGATATTAAGAACTACAATCCCTGTTTGGATTTTGCACATTTGAATGATACATTTACATTTATACCAAAATTCATTTCAGTAGTTATGTTATTTGGTAACAGAATGGGAAACAACAGCTGTCTGTCATTCATAATTGTTTTTAACTGACCAAGAGGGAACATTAACTGTCATATAAGTTGTTAAAATAGTTTGACCTATTATGTAAGTGTGTCCTCAGGTCATTGCACCTGTTGGTTTTGATTTCTCTGGTTTTAGTATTTAATAAACTCACTTCATATGTAAAATCTGTGTCATAAATATATAATAAATATGATGACTGACATTTCTGATGATGAAAAAAAATTTGTTGTTTGTGACAGTTTATCTGTGCTTCTATAAATTCTCTACATTGTCTACTTTACCCAAAAACCACTAAATTGCTGTCTGACAAAAGTACTTTCTGATAAAAATGTATTCAAAAATATTTTTAGCCAGGTTTTCCATAGTGAAAATCCAGTTATTGAAATGTAAAAATGGTAAGCAAGTGGGTGGGTGGTTGCCAAAAGGATACACGATTTGTCTAGATATCTCCTCTCATAGTTTCAAGATTGAATTTTTTTTTAAATTTTGCAGATCAATTGTAGATAAATCATAAATCATACATGTGCATAGTGCTTTGATTTTGATTTTTGATACTTACTGAAAAAATACCAGCTGTTGAACTTAGTCATTGTTTTGCAAAATATTGCATATAGGGTACCGGTACATCATTTCTTGGGGTAAGTCCTCCTACAGTTTTGAAGATAGGAAGTTCTTATTTTCCAGATCAATTGTACATAAATCAGAGATGTGCATGATGTTTGGATTTTGATTTTTGAAAATGAGAAAAATACCAGCTGTTGAACTTAGTAATTTTTTTTTTTTTTTGCAAAATGTTGTTTATAAGGTACACCATTTGTCTGGATAACTTGAACCTCTTATAGTCTTCAAGATAGGAAGTTCTATTTTGCATATTAATTTTACATACATGTATACCAGAGATGTGTATATACAGTAAACCATGCTTATAGCGAACATGCTTATAATTGACGTTTAAAGCGAAGTGATTTTCATTCCCTATGACTTTAAGATATATTGATCTCTTAAGGTAATTTTTTGGCTGCAGTTCTTCTTGAATCAAGGGTTACTTGAGCTTTTTAGGTCACCTGAGTTGCTCAGGTGACCTATTGCATTCCTTTTTCATCTGTCGTTGTGCGTCGTGCGTAGTGTGTTAACATTTGAACATTTTCAGCTTCTTTTCTGGAACTGCTGAACCATTTTCAACCCATTTTTGGCACATAGCATCTTTGAGTGAAGGAGAACAAAATTATGAATTTCATGGTCCCTGCACCCGTCGGACCTGAAGAATGGGGCTAAGACCACCAAAATTAATGCAATCTTTAAAAATCTTCTTCTTTAGTCCTGGATATCAAGTAGTCAAACAGTTGGCATGATTGTAATAAGCACTGAGTCCTCTACAAAAATTGTGAAATTCATGGCCCTGGGGTCAGGGGTTCTGGTGCCAGGGCGGGGCTGTGTAGATCGTATAGTGAAAATTAGGGCTGGGCAATAATACCGATATACTGGTATATTGCGGTACAGTGACCAAAAATATCATATTGCATAACGTTTTTATAGTACCAATATACTGGCAAAATGCTTGGACTTGGATTTCTATAATAAAAAATAAAGTATAAGTTGTCAGAATCATTTGCGATCGTGCAAAACAGTAAGGCAAAAGCTGTAGCAGTGGGTGTATTTTTATGCTGTAATTAAATATTTTTTCTTGGTCATTTATTGTAGTTCTGTACATTCTGCATGTAAATGGAAGCCAATAAAATAATGCCCTGTTCACACGTTTTAATTTGAATGAAACGTACAGACCTGTTTAGTCTTACGATTTTGCCATATTTTGTATGGATTTTGAGTCCAAAATACACCTCACGTTTTTTTATTATGAAAATACGGAAATTGGAAATCCGTTCGTTTGGATTTTAGCAGTTAGTTTTCATTATGTTTTGTCTCAGCTTGACGCTTTTTAATCACTAAAAAAAGAGATAGATTTCAAACACTTAAGTGATTTAGGGTTGCCAAAACGTGGTGGTTTTAAAAAATGTCAGAAACCCCTCGAAAAAAGCAAGGAATGATGTTTTTCTTTGTTTTTAAACCATGTTTTGGTAATCAGAAATGTAGTTATTCTCTAGTAATATATGTAAAATCGATGGAAAGTGAAATCTTGCAAGCAAATGCTAAATCTCACTGACAAATCTAATAAAAAATACTGAGAAACAACAATATGGGTAAACAGGTCTGAACGTAAGTTACTGCGAATTAAATTTGATCCACGTTCACACAGAGAATTTAATGTGAATTAGTTTAATTTGAATTAGTTTACTGTGCATTAAATTACTTAGCATTAGCTCCGTGTGAACGCTAAGTGAAGCTAATTCGAATTAAATTCTGACGCATGCGTAAGGGCAGAATTAAGTCACAGGCCACATGTCGATGGTCAGATATAGGTACTTGTGCTATTTTTGAGTGGAAAACACAGGAAAATTATGTTATTCACTAAAATGTGTACAGACACTATGATCAATTCTTTGAAAATCTTCTTCTCTGCTCCTGGGTATTAAGCTTATGTACTAAGTACATGTACATAGTTATGATGAGGAGGGGTGCGTTTTCCGAAATTGTGAAATTCATGGCCCCAGGGTCACGGTTTCTGGTAAAAGGGGGGAAGGGACTTTATTGATTATATAGTGAAAATGCATTAATTCTTTGAAAATCTTCTCTGCTGCTGGGTATTAAGCTGATGAACTAAGTGCATAGTTATGAAGAGGAGGGGTGCCTCTTCCAAAATTGGGAAATTCATGGCCCCAGAGTCAGGGTATCTGTAAAATGGGGGGGAGGGGGCTCTATTGATTATATAGTGAAAATGCATTAATTCTTTGAAAATCTTCTCTGCTCCTTGGTATTTCCCATCTTCCCAAGTCAAGGGTTTCTGATTCACTCTGCTCCACATAAATCCTTGACCAAATAGACTGACTTTGAACGTGGTTTATTATCGCACCATTTGGTGAGATTACACATTTGGAACTCTATTGTTCTCTGCTATAAATAGAAAATATGAAACAATAGTGAAAGTGGATAATAAATTCAGCATAACTTAAACTCCAAAGCTAAGACAATCCTTTAACTTCGTTATTTATTGGTAAAGACGTTTTTGTTGGAATTAAAACTGGCATGATTTTCTGTTTACAATTTAGTGTCAGGTTAGATAAAACAATGTTTTTGATTGGCTCATGCAAACTGTAATGGGGCCTATCAGAGAGCATATTTCTAACCCCGTCAAGGTCGTTTATTCAGTCAAGGGTTTATGTGGAGCGGAGTGGAACAGAAACCTTGACTTGGGAAAATAGGGTATTATGTAAACAAACTAAGTTTATGGTAATGATTATGATAAGCAAGGATGCCTTTTCCAAAATTGTGCAATTCCTGACCCCAGGGCCGAGGGGTTCTGGTGAAAGGGGAGTGGGGCTCTATTGATTATATAGTGAAAATGCATAAGTTCTTTGAAAATATTCTTTTCTGCTCCTGGTTATAAAGCAAAGAATCTAAGTGTATAGTTGTGATGAGTAAGGGGGCTTCTTCCAGAATTGTGATTATCATTGCCCCTGGGTCAGATGTTCTGGTGTAAGGGTTGGATCTATTGATAATATAGTCAAATAATGAAATACATGTATTAGCATGTAATTAAATCAGTGGACAAGAAAGGGGCTGAAATATGAATATTGTTTTATTTAGGACATTTACAGTAAAAAGAATCTCATTATCTGGCATTCTTAATTAGATTTTTAATGCATAATAATAATAATTTAATAATGTTTATGTATTCTTGGTGTCAGTTGGTGAACTAATTAAGGTATTTGCATCAATAATGGTAACCAAAATATATTCAGTGCCTTTAACTTTAATAGTTAGGTAACTGCATGTTCATATGCTAAATTGATATTATTGTTTTTACTTTCTGATATTAAACACATATTGATATTTCAGGTCTTGGTGGACTTGCTCTTATTGTTATTGGTAGAGCTCTTTACTTCAAACCTTATCAAAGAAGCATAGCAAGGAAATATGGAAAAGTTGAGGTAGCCCAGTATCTTGTACAGACTAGGATGTATGCACAAGGGTTTTTTGTTATATGTGCCAGTTCTATCATAGCCAAGCCTGTGTTTGAATATCTTTGGAAAAAATATGTAAAAAAGGACAGTGCAAAGAATGTTTTGCCTTCTAGTCCTCAAAAGCCACCTTCCTAACACTCCTATGATTTTAAATTATGTGAAAAAAAACCCATTAAATTTGTCAGGAAATCACAATGGAATTTTAATATATGAATGCTATATTTAGTAGAGCTGGGATGATTTTTAATACATTGATGTATTTTGATACAAGGTTCTACAATATGTATCTTACACCTTAGCCAGTATCGAGTATCTTTAGTCTGTTATGGTTTTATAGTGAAAACAAGGTATTCATACGTAGTAAAGCTGTTAACTTGGCTTATGAAATAAGAAATAAAAAAAGTATGAGGATACTTTTTATCTTATTAAAATGATCAAATGAAATGTGAATTTTTACCAAATTTTTTAATAGGAAATGATACAGTGTATATATGATATGTTGCCAGTGTGTCTAGATACATATCATATGCAGAAACCTATGCTGTCCTAGCCCTGATATATTAAATTTATAAGTTATTTCTGTTGTAATAGATAAACCACACAAGACTCTTTAGTCTCTAAATCTTTATATGCTACCTTTTGTTGAAGTGGATCTTCGTTGTTTTAAATCAAATTTTTAATTAGACATTTTTTTAACAGTACAAGCCTTGTATTGAATCAAATACTGTATACAGGGTTATTTTGGCCCTGTATAATTTTTCCCCTCTCACACTCCAAACAATTTTGCCTCATTTTAAATTCACCCAGACACAGTTTTATTAACAGATAATGCCATTTCTTTTAATTCACTCAGTTTTAAATTCACCCATTTGCGACGATGGCAAAAAGAGGGAAAAATAAAACAAGGGAAAATTACCCTGTATTCAGTACAATGGCAGCTCTCTAATATATTTGTTCTGTTAGTATGTTCATTGACCTTGTTACCAATAAATGGGATTTAGCTGTTTTTATTTCTTGTCAGGGAAGGTATCCATTTTGCATCACAAACAAACAAGGTGACATAAGTTGAACTCCTTAAGGTTCATCAATACTCTGATAAGAGAGATAACTCTTAATGACATACTGTAAACCAACTTTTATTCGCGATGACTTTATTTCGCGATTTACCACAAGTAATCTAGTTGCAATGATTAATTTTCGTGATCAAGCCTTATTTTGGATCTGTTGTTAATAGAAAGAGAGACTTTAAGGACCTATCTGCGGCGAGAAATATTCGCGATGACAAGGCTCCCGCAAACCTCGTGAAATTTTCTCGCACGCGAATAAATGTTGGTTTACAGTAATTCTCTATTATTCCTTTATGACTTTGTTAAGTTGAAATGTCTTTATTGTCCAGTTTTCCCCCTCTAGCTATGCTATTACTTAAAAAATACACCTGTAGATTTCTTTTAAAATCATAAGAGTTAAAGCAACATTTTATATGAGTGAGCAGAGGGTTTATAAACCTTAATAGTAGAATTTGTTGTATGCACCAATTGTTAAAATTTACCAAACTTTTCTTACCCATTTTTGGCTGACAGTTTATGCTGTAAAATATACAGCATTTGTTAATGATTGGCAGTTCATAGGGAAGGAAATAAAAGTCAGACAACCCCCCATACTGATTAACATAGACATCGAAAGCAGATTGAAAAGGGAGGTGGGTTTCAATGCCTATCTTTGCAAAATTAATGGGGGAGGCTAAGCCCCCCCCCCCCGGTTCCGATACCTATGTTTAAAGAAATGTGCACGTGGAATCGTTGAATTTAATGAATTTTTGAGAAAAAAAAGTTTTAGCTAAGTACTCGGTATATGGATGCTTTTAATTTTTTGATTTATCAATATAAAATGATATATACCCATAAGTCTGGTTTATAAATGATTGAATTTTAAAAGATTTTAAAATGATATGCATTGTACTTGTTTAACATTTTTGTGCAAAAATGATTTTTAGCTTTTTAATAAAATTGCATCATTTTGTTGCTCTAAGGGTTTTTTTTTTATTAGAGGTCAATAATTATGAATAAAAATGATGAAAATTTTGCTGCATTGTTTGTAACCTTCACAGAAACAGAATAAAGAATATGGAAATCCACTTGTAATTATGACACCACCAGAATTTAAAACTTCCTAGTATATTTTATGTGTCATCTAATGATTTCTTCACTAAGGATTGGGTCAAGTTTATCAGTCCAGCTTATGTATGTAACTTCCACAAAACATTACTGGCTAAAGGAGATCCCAGTAGGGGTATTTCACCTATCAAGGGAGATAAGTAAGAATTAGGTAAGGTGAATGGAAATCATGGCAATAACCACTGGACGAAATGCAGAAAATTACAGATTAAATCTATTTACTTAGAAGGTGAAAGATTAATATTACAAATCAAAATAATGTGAATTTGAAATTACTAGGTAGAGAATGAATTGACTGAGGTGAAAATAACCCACAGAGACTGTGAAATGTGTGGTGTGAAAGAAATAGCTGCTAACTACTCATGCTGAAATTCTGCACAATTCTAGTTCATCAAGCCAGACATATTTCTTTAGAGGATCTGAATTCTTACTTGTACTAACAAGTTTGAATAAGCAAAATATAATTCAAGGTGGTATATGTTGTATGCAACAAAGAAAATGAAGAAGTGGTGATATAAGCATATGATAGTTTAGCTGGAACATTGTGTTTCTGAAGCTTTATTACAAATAAAAAAGGATGTTAAAGAGTTTTCTGTTAACATGAATGTGTGAAATATTAGCAAAGTGAGATCACAGGCTTGTACAGTCTTCACATAGCAGAAATTGATTACTGTATTATAAAATGTTTACTGATGTTCACTTATTACACAGAACTTGATTGATGTCTATTTCTAGTATGAATACTGCCTTGTCTAGCAAAGTAACACTGGTGCAGAAATATTCCTCACAAAAAACTTGGGATAAAAGCAGTAGGGCATTCTTTAAAAGTTTTCAACTTTTTGATTGATGTTCAGGAGTTGTATATAAGGCTATATAACTGGATTTTTAGGTCACATGAGTTGCTCATTGACCTATTGCTCTCTTGATCTGTTTTTGTCCATCATTGTTATCGTTGTCATCAGTCAGTTGTAAACTTTTGTACATTTTCAGCTCCTTCTCTGGAACTGTTCAATCAATTCAACTAATTTTTGACTTATAGAATTTATGGATAAAGAGGGACAAAAAATTGTGAAATTCATGGTCACTACCCCCCCCCCCCCCCCCCCCCAGGCCTGAGGGGTGGGGATAAACCCATCAAAATTAATGCCATCTTTAAAAAATCTTTATTCCTAGAAATCAAGCAGTAAAACTGTTGGCATAATTTTACATGTAATAAGCATTTGAGCCTTCTACCAAAATTGTGAAATTCTTGGCCTGTGGGTCAGGGGTTCTGCTGTTAGGATGGGGCTCTATAGACCATATAGTGAAAACGCATTCTTGAAAAAGCTGCTTCTCTATCAATGTATATTAAGCAGACAAACTATTAATAAGTGGATGGTTATTATGAGCAAGGGTGTCTCTTAATAAAATTGTGAAATTCGTGGCCCCTGGGACAGGAGTTATGGCGGGGGTCTATTAATTATATTGTGAAAATGTAATGTAATTAAAGTGCATTATGATGAGCAAAGGTGCCTCTTCCAAAATTGTGAATTTCATGGCCCCTGGGTCAGTGTTGTTGAGTCTGGTGATAGTGACAAATGTAGTTTATAAGCACTGGCAAATACAGGCAAGTAAATAGACCTTCTTCATGAGTTGTTGCTGAATACTAGATTAACTATTTTGTTGATCCCTGATTGTCCCATTTTTTTGTTTTGGGACAACATTATCATCATCTATCATTTATTTTGTGCATTAAGTACTTTGATGGATCCTTTGTAGGATTGTATTTTACTTAGGTGACTGTTAGGGCCCTTGGGCCTCTTATTCTGTTTTACATTCACGTTCTGGTTACATTGGGGTTGTCGCCAGCTTTCTGGGAACTGAAGAGAAGTGCACGGAGGGTGTTGAAAAGGTACCCTTTCCTCTAAGCCAGAATTGTTATACATGTATATATATATAAAGGTACAATATGGTGGGTTTTGGTATTTTAAAAATCATTTTCAAATATTAAATAAACAAAAACTGTCAACATTGCTTCTAACAGATGATTAATAAATTTATTATAATAGAGATTGTAATATTTTTTCCAGAAAAAAGAGATGCTGTTGCACCCCCCCTTTCCAAAAGCCTTGAACTTTTTATGCCCCCGTATTGATTCGGGGGTATATAGTTTTTGCCCTGTCCTTCTTTCTGTCTGTCTGTCTGTTTGTCCGCAAAAACTTGAACATTGCCCATAACATTTAATTGGTTGGAGCTATGGCTTTCATATTCTCACATGTGTATTCCTTGTGACAGGACCTTTCTTTGGGTACCACCATATTTGACCTTTTGACCTTGATCTTGGAGTTTGACCCAGTTTTGCAAAATTTTACCCAACTATAACCTTGGCCATAACTTTTGAACAATTGGTGCTAGGGCTTTCATACTTCACTTGTGTAATCCTTGTGACAAGACCTTCCTTTGGATACCAACAACTTTGACCTTTTGACCTTGGAGTTTGACTACTTTTGAAAAACTTTAACCTTGGCCATAACTTTTGAACAGTTGGTATAAGGCTTTCATACTTCACATGTGTAATCCTTGTGACAAGACCTTCCTTTGGATACCAACAACTTTGACCCTTTGACCTTGGAGTTTGACCTACTTTTGAAAAACTTTGACCTTGGCCATAACTATTGAACCATTGGTGCTAGGGCTTTCATACTTCACATATGTAATCCTTGTGATAAGACTTTCCTCTGGATACCAACAACTTTGACCCTTTGAAATTGACCTTGGAGTTGATCTACTTTTGAAATACTTTAACCTTGACCATAACTTTTGAACCGTTGATGCTAGGGCTTTTATACTTCACATATGTAATCCTTGTGACAAGACCTTCCTTTGAATACAATTGTAATCCATTGACCTTGACCTTGGAGTTTGACCTACTTTTGAAAAACTTAAACCTTGGTCATAACTTTTGAACGATTGGTGCTTCAGCTTTCATATTTCACCTGTATATTTTTTGTGAGAAGGCCTTTCCATAGGCACCATTAATTTTGACCTTGACCTTGATGTTTGACTTACTTTTGAAAAACTTTAACCTTTTCCATATCTATTCAATGGTTGCTGCTAGGACTTTCATATTTCACAGGTATATTCCTCGAGACAAGACCTTACTTAGGGTACCAACATATTTGATTTGCATTTGAGAAAGTTTAACCTTTGTTATGAGTTGCCATACGGGGGCATCAGTGTTTCACAAACACATCTTGTTGAAGTATATTGTTGTTTTGAAAAACCAAAAAATACAGAAATTTAAAAAAGAAATTTAATATAAAAATGTATCCCAATGTCATGGATCTAAGAGTTTTCCATGTGCTGGCAGAAAACGGAAAATATACTGACCATCAAAAGAAACACCACAAAATTAGTTATTTTCTTGGATACATATTTTTTCAAAATGTTATATTCACTTGAAATATCTTTGGTCTTCAGTCACAAAGATGGAACAGAAACAGCTAAGGCTTTGACAGTATCAAAACAACAGACACCATCTGCTTTTGTTATTTAAAATCAGAATTCTTGTTTGTGCTATCTGATACATGTATCAAATACAATCATTTTCTTTATTATGGGTTTTTGGAATAAAATACAATCATTTTCTTTAATATGGGATTTTGGAATAAAATACTTTGAGATAGGCCGTTTTAGCAAGTCCAAAAGAATCGCATGGTTTGCACGAAGTTGATTAATTAATTTATTTATTATTTATTTATCTACTTATTTCTATTATTTTTTTTTTGTCGAGATCTGCAGCTAGTTGTAAATATGTTTATCAGAAAGCAGTTTTGTTTAAATATTTTTTACTTTCATAAGATATATCTTAATAAAAAAGAAAAAAAATCTATAGTCTAATTGGCGACTAAAATAAAACTCATTATAATTATTTTTTTGTAATACGATAATTATTTTTTTTGTAATACGACAATTTCACTTAGTTTTATATAATTTAAAGATGCAGAAAATACTAATATGTGTACATATGTGCTAGGGAAGGGGATGTATGAATAAGGTTAAAATCGCTTACTTTTAGGATCGAGCTTCCAGGGGCTTTGACCCTAGGCCGCCACCAGGGCTCCGTCCTGGATCTACTGCAGGTCTTAAGGTGGCCCCGGACCCCCTGACTCTAACCCCCTTGCAAACCAAAATTTCTTGATCCGCCCAGATCGAACAAGATCGCTGCATCCGATTGCAGCATCTATGTGACAGGTTCAAAACTGCTGAATCAATAACTAGAGAAACACCCTGGAAGACATCATCCTATGATCAAGGGATCAAGTTATTAACAATCCAGTGTCTCTGCTTAAAAATGTTAGCATGGGCCCTGAACATTTCTCCCTTTGAAGAGAAATACATGTGTAATCAACTATTACTGTTATTTATGCTTTGATATTTCTCTTATTTATTTCTACAAGTAAAATGATTTAATCAAAGTAGGTCGATGGTGCATTTTTATATAAGTCTGAAGTCGCTGTGTCACTAATAAAGGCTTATTGTGTTGAGAATGGCTTTGCAGTCAGTTTTGCTTATTGTATATAAAACCCTTATTAATACTTAATATATTCATAAATTAATTTCTGTTTATTGTTTAAATGTATGATAAATTTTCGGTGGTAAAAGTACGTAAAGAAGAAAGGGACATTGATATTTATTAAGGATTGGGCAAGAAAGAACTTTCTTTATCAGCAAGTGTTTTAATCTATGTGCACTCTTTCATATAGGAGTGACAACTTGTGTCTATCGGAGCAGGATACCACAAAAACACTTCTCATAGGTAACAATACATTCATTCTTTAATCTTTGACATCATTATATCATTGTTATGAATATTATACTTTAATTATTTCAAAAGAGGACATTGTCATAGGAAGTGGTGAATCACAACATGTGATACACATGTACTGATCGAAGATCCCAAAACGATATACAAGTACTTGAATGTATATTTAACACACCCATTAAATTCTAAATACATGTAGTTACATGTATGCAATTTACTATCATTGCCATCAAAAATACAATATTACAGTACAAACAAATCAAAATTCCGTCTTTAAGATTTGTTATAGCACACAAGCTCAATGTTTTAATCAAAAATCTGATGTATCCCGTGCAAAGAACGGCTTAGACACGGCTGAGGTACGGAACCCGTACGGGTTTTTGAAAAGCCTAATGGGTTCTGCTTACGTTACATTAAAAGTTTAAATCTAAAGTTTAAACTTATCTTTTAGAGTTTGAAAGTGAGATGCATGGAATTTGTGTCCTAGAGAGACTTACTTATAAGATTTCAGTGATTATGAAGCCGTTTTTACTTCAAACCAGTTATTAATATCTTAATTACTGCTTTTAACGGATCATCATGTTAAAGGGTACTTATCTACAAAAGATATCAGTTGGAATAGTACGGAATAACATACACCTTATTTTAGGTTGGAGATGTTCGTCCTTTTTAATTAGCTCATCTGAGATTTTCTAATCACATTTCTTACGGCGTCCATCCCTCTGTAAACTTTTCACATTTTCGACTTAATCTTCTGCAGAGCCACCGGTCCAGTTTCAACCAAACTAGCCACAAAGTATTTTTGGGTGAAAGCTGGATTCAATTTTGTTATATGAAGGGCCACACTCTCTTTCAAGGGGAGATAAATAAGAATTAGTGAAAATTTGGTGGCTCTTTTACAAATCTTTTCAAGAACCACTGTGCCAGAAAAATTTAACCTTAAACGAAACCTTCGTTATATAATGTAGATTCAAGTTTGTTCAGATCATGACCCCCGGGGGTAGGGTGGGGCCACAATGGAGTATCAAAGTTTTGCATAAGAATATATAGGAAAACATCTTTAAAAAATCTTCTTCTCGAGAACAGTAATGCTATAATTCGTCATATTGATATGGAAGCGTCCTCAGCAAGTATTTGTTTATATTGTGACCCTCATGGGTAGAGTAGGGCCACAGTAAGGAATTAAAGTTTATATAGGAATATATAGAATAAAAAAAAATCTGCTGATGAAGAAAGCAGGGCCATACTGACTCAGGCGAGTGTTGTGACCTATGGGCCTCTTTTGGTAATAACACGTCTAATTGCCTTATTTACACATGCACTAGCTTATTCTCCAGAACCGCTACCAACCAAACATGACACTGCATTATAGGGTGATCTGACTCAAGTTTCCAACATTCTCTATCAGAGTTGTCGTTCCCGCTACGCTCCGTGTTGGGAGCGTTGCGGAAGACAACTCTGAATAGATAATGAAGTAAAAATTGAAGGCCAAAATTTAGCTTGTATGGAAAGAAGAGGAGAAAATTTATGACTAGACCGGGAACCAAATCCAGGATCCCTGGCCTATGGCCTGCATTACAAAGTCAGGTGCTAGCCACTGAGCTATCCAGACCGATATCCACAGTCCATATAGCCCAAGCTACTACATTCCTCCCTCCGTAAAAGACACTCAACACAGATTTCATTTTCATTTTCCCCTAAAGACTTTCACCAGCAAGTACAAGGCTGAACCAGGGACGCCTGCATATTAGTCAGGTGCTCTAACCACTAAACTATTTAGGCCGATATCCAATCCATATAGCCCAAACTACTACTCAAACATTGGTTAGGGACTTAATTTAGCACAATCATTTACAAATACCGGTGTTTTGTTGTAAAGTACATGTATTTACAATGATTTACAATGATTCAATTCCCGCCTACATTTTACACCCATTTAATTCAATATAAATGGCAATTTGACCAGTAAAACTTGTTTGAATGCAAAGAAGAGTTTATTACTAATTGTTAAATAATTTTAAAACACTGTCAAAACGTTAATTGCTCCTATTTCAACTCTTTTCAAAAAGGGGTGTTAAACATTTTATCCATTGAAATTGGGCATTAAAACATCGCCAGATTTTCAAATATTCATGGAAATGGATAAATGGCCCTAAAATCTTTCTGAATGTTTAATTTATGTAAAAATCAACATATAAGATTGATAAAGTACATTATTACATTTGCAATCTCATATGATATTAATAATAAAATGACCATTTTTTTGTCTGTATACTAACCCACCCACCCCCTCCCCGGTGAAACAGCAACAAAAGATTTGGTATGCATTTGTGAAATATTGTTTCACGGGGGGGGGGGGGGTAAAAAAAAATCGGTTTTCCGTTGATTTCTGTCGTGAAAAACGCGCGTTTTACCAAAATTAGAGTTAACTTTGTTTTCCCAAATAAGTTATGTTTTATGAAAATCCACATAAATATCTACATGTATATAAATATGAAAAGTCATTCAAATATGTTAACTTTTGAAAAATTGACTTGGAGGTAGGCGGCAGAACAATACTATCGTTCGCAGTTCTTTTTCATTTGAATGGAGCGTTTGGGTCTTTTTTATCGAATGTCAGTTGTTATATACATGTAATCTTTAGAAACGAGAGAAAGTAATATTCATCACAATATTTTAAGACACCACACTCTCTGCGACTAGCAACATAGTTTAGCTGAAATTTATGAAGTTCGGAGAGAGTGAGAGACTCCCCGAATCTCCAAGTCTCACGTATTGCAACGAATAAAGGATGACTGCACTTAAGGACATGCGAAACTTGCGACAAAATAAACTTTCAAAACAAGCATTTTCTTTTCATTGCAAGAATGGTCAACATCCAATCTACAACTTTATGTAATAACGTTTAATAAAAGTGTATATTTACGAAGTTCGAATCTGTTTTCAAAGGCAGGGGTCATCACAATTTCTTGAATCTCCGTTCGATAATGAAGATGCCCACTTTTTTACTGACTTCATACATAGTCAGCGCATGTTTGTCTATTGTTCTACGTTTAAAAGTAGCTGTATATTTGCATGAATAATAATGTGTCAAAAGGAGATTAATAGACAAACATGCGCTCATGGTTAAAAAGAGAAAAAGCTGCTTCTTCTTACATTCACTCTCTGTGTTGTAACCAAGGGTTGTGACATGTTGAATATTATAATTCACCACGTGATTTCGTGCATCAGGTAACTTTGTGAATACTTAATTCCGTCACGTGACTTGTAAGGTAGCATGTTTTATGCTAACTAGGACATTGTGTTCGAACACGTTAAGTCATCTGGCATTGATATGAAATCTGCTTTAATTATATTGACGTGCTCATATTGTTACTTTCGTTTTGAAACCTTTGTCAGAAGTGTATATGTGCCATACAGAATAAAGAGGGAGTTTGGAAAGAGTGATCACGTTGTTTTTTTTTTCAAACAATTAAGTCTAATTTTAGACCCATTCTTACAATGTTAGCTCCACCTCTCATGCATATCTAATGTTCAATCAAGGGCAGGTAAGTGTAAATTCACTATATTTGGAAAGCAGTAAGTACAAAAAACATTGAATCATTTTATTGTATCACAGTCTAATATCATTTTAAGATTTAAATTTGGTTCCAAATTGTCAGGATTCTTTCATAAACATACAAAAGTGAAATAAGGTTTAGATATAAAAGCAACAGAAGCAACCGAAAAGGAGGTTAAGTGCAGTCATCCTTTATCATGCTTATTGCAGTTACCACAGCACTGTATCTATGGAACACGTGTTTACTAGGTGTTTATGTAAACTACCAATCTGATTGGCTATTTTATTTATAGAATTACCGTTCCACTGGAATTCGAATGAAGCATGAGACGGCTTTTTCCTTTCTGTAGAAATGTAAGCTAAAAACATTCCATTCAAACAAAACATCCACTTCAATGCGCATTATTGTACCGGTATATAAAATCGTACTCTGGTAATTCTACATGAAAATGCTCACATATTAATGCAACTATAATCTTGCTGATATCGACAAACTTCCCTGATTTTCATGTTAAACTTGGACCACTCCAGCCTCACAACATCCTCAATGATTTGAAAACAAACTCTTCCCTACATCTCAATGCTTGTATTTAAGGAATAATTGTGTATTTTTGTGTTTTATAAGGTCATAACTGACCTGGTACTTCATGGTAAATTATCCTCAAACATAGTGAAAAGTTGACAATATTTTTAAAGATAATTTTAGTTACAGTTACAATAAGCCTAAGTTTAAAATAAAACTAGACATACAATGATGCATGTAAAAATTTGACATATACTAGATATAAAAATCTGTGGATCTATCCTGATTTTGGCTGTCCCTTTGCAGTTTTAATATATCCATTTTTTTAAACTGAGATTTTTTTCATTCTTATTGAAATTATACCCCCCTTTTTTTCATGTCCCTTCAAAAAGGGGGCACATTGCTTTGCTCTGTTGGTCAGTTTGTAGACCAAGCATTATCTCTTCCATATCTTGGGAACTTTTTGTTTGACAGACATCAAACTTGGTACTCTAGTTTCCCCTAAGGATTGTAGATTTTGAGGTTGCAAGGTCAAAGGTCAAACTACTCTGGACAGTATAGGAAGATATTGTCCCTTCAATATCTTGAGAACACCTTGCTTGACAAACATCAAACTTTGATGACCTCTATCGATTCTGAGGTCACAAGATCAAAATGAAGGGTCAAACTGGACATAACAATATATTGAATGCTCAATATTTAAGAACCCTTTTGCTTGACACACACTGGTTCTCCTTTTTTTGATTAGGAAAGAAAGAGCTTTCTTCAATTTCTCCATTCAACCTTGATCTAAATATGACTTGATACATGTATTCATATGACTTGAAATGAATGGAAAAAGTTAAAAATGTGACATAAATATATTTATTCAATGCAAGTCCCTCATTTATTCTCAGTCATATACAGTACTGTATATTTAACAACATCCATCTATTAATATATTGCTTCAACAAACCATGAGAGTATTGGCATAATTCCATACAAAATGTAAACTACTCAGTCCGTTTTGATGGATTTTTAAAATTAAGTTCTAATACAAAGGTTGCCTTATCTCTTGCCATCTACATAAATGCAAATGAGCACTGGATATCAGATAAATTGAAAATCATTTTTGCAAAAATAAAATTTGTACAAAAGCACTTGTAACACTTTATGTAAGCATTCAATCTCTTTAACTCTGAACATATACCGTTTGCTTTAGGTACATGCATGTACATTTAATTCCATGAATTTACTTAAAAAAAATTATCTTTGGACTAAATTGGACACTTACCAGACAATTACAAGGATTCTTTGTGCAAAGTTTGGTTAAAATGGGTCCAGTGGTTCTGCAGAAGATGACATTATGAAAAGTTTGAAACGACAATGATAAAAACGGAGACAGAAAAGCTTACTTTAACTCGGGCAAGCTTAAAGCTAATATTAAATATTTATTTACATCATTGATAAAAGTCAGGAAAAGCACATATGATAAACTAAAGACAAAACAATTCAAAATGTGAATTATATGATCATGCTTTCACTTAAAAGTTTATAATAGGTAGCCCATAATCCTTGAGAAATTTTTTTAAATATTTATACATGTATCTATGATTGCATCATGTTTGGCAATTTAATTTAAAGTCATGTAATTTTTGAGAAGATATGTTTAAACAAGATTTTTTTTATACATATTTCAATATAATGGGCCAAGGTTTGAACATCTTGAATCTTCACTAAGGATGTTTCCCCATGGTTGTTCAGCTATAGAAGTTTACACAGGGAATAATGAAATATGGAGATAACAAACAGTATTCAAGCCCAAAGTCCATTAAAACAATACAAATCAGGAGCAGAGCAAACATGGACCTCCAAAAACATCAGAGGTGGGATCAAGTGCCATGGAGGAGTGAGCATCCCCTGCCAACCGGTCAAACCCACCATGTGGACTTCAGCAGATAGCAAAAGGTCACCCAAGTGACACAAATGACATTAACACAAAAAGCACCAAAGGCTCACATCAGGCTTGGAGCTCAGGTGAGCTTAAAAGGTTTCTCAAAAAAATATATAGGACTCCAAGCTACATTAAGTCTCTACTAATTTTCTACATATTTTCTTCACAAAAATCAACTGTGACCCAATAATTGAAATACTGTTAAAATAAAATGAATTTAAAGAGACATAATGTTATACAAACTCTGCCATGCAGTGGGAAATTTTTAAATTTATGATTACATTGTTAAGTTTACATAAAAAAATATTGTACTTAATCTTAAAATTTGAGCAATGAATGATGAATTACAGATAAAGTACATTTTTCTGGCTTGCACATTCTACATACTTTATTAGAACCCCTATTAGTCATTCAAATATTTTTAAACCAGTCTCAAAATGCAGAAGAAAAAAACAATCCTGATTTATAATGATCATGCATTGTCAAAATATTCTACATGTACCATTAGGCTAAAAAGAGCAAAATATTAAAGAAAAATTTAAAAAATCAGATTCTGCAACCAAGATCTACAGCAAATTTCATTCTCATAAACTGCCAGCATTTTTAACCCTATGAGCTACTGAAAAATAGTACAATACATGTACTGCTGACACAACCATAAACCTTTATCCATTCAAAGGATTTTCTCTTGCCTACCCTTATGTTGTATGATGGTGACAATATCTGTTTTATTTCACAGGCTGTAACATTATACCCTGAGTTGAAAACTTACAAAGAAAGTTTTGCTGTTTTGATATACTAGTATTCTTTTAGCTGTACATTCTACAACCTGTTTTATCCTTTCTGACTATATTCCAGAATGATTCCAACCTTAAACCAATATATCTCTGATCATATCAAATGATGTTTTATCTCTCTCTGTTGAAATGACATACTGGTGTTGAACATAACAAACTATACTTGCATCTGAGAACAAGAACTTAGGTTTATAACCTATAGATATCAGTAAAATGAATGGCACTTTAAAGTTTACATGTAAATGATAAAATAATGTATACATATGAAAGTACGGTGGTAAGTACACACAAAAATCCTATGTGTAAAATGGCACAGCAAAGAATTTTAATAAAAAAAAGAAGAAAGTAAAAATGCACCACAAAGTAATCTGCCAACACCAAAAGTGTGTATACAGCATTTAAAATAAAAATAAATGTAACTGTAAAATAACTCACATAAAGGACAAAAATATAAAAGGAAAAAGACTAAATTAAGACAGCAAAAAAAATTTTCATTACTTTTACAATCATTTCACTAAAAATCTGCAACCATGAACTTGATGGCTAAGGCTTTAATTAGACTGGTGAATATGTAGGTGTTTAAGTCAGCAAGTTTTAATAATAGGCCCCTTGGTTACGGGCTGCTTCCTGCACAATTAAATTTTGGTTTCCTGGTAGTCTAAGGTAAGATGACACTTCTTTCCATTTTTTCTCTTTCTGCAAAATAAATAACAAGAGGGCAAAGGGCATTGAATTGCTCTTCTGATAAATTGTACAACCTATCATTTCTATTTGAATCCTCTAAGTATTCTATATATTTAGATATAGCCTTGAAATTCCAAAAGTAGGTCTTCATGACCTACATTTTGATTAAAACACTGACAACTCAAGATGCATTAACTGACCAAATTTGATGATTTGGAGCCCCTTATCAACTGAAATATTCAGATAAAGCCATGAAATTCCAAAAGTAGATCAAAATGACCTACTTTTTGATAAACATACTTTCAAACAAGGTCATGGTGACCTACATTTCAGTTGACATATACTTCAAGGACCCAAGATGCATCAACTGACAAAGTTTGATGATTCAAAGCCAATTAGTACCTAAAATACCGGTATTTAAATACAGCCATAAAACTTCAAACAAGGTCATGGTGACCTACTTTTCAATGACACTCCCCGAGGACCCAAGAAGCATCAACTAGCAAAGTTTGATGATGAATCTAAGCCAATTAGTACCTGAAATATTTAAATATAGCCATAAAATTCCAAAGGTAGGTCACAGTGACCTACTTTTCAATTGACATACTCCAAGGACTAAAGATGCATCAACTGACAAAGTTTGATGATTGTATGTCTCAAAGTGTCCAAAATATGCCTCTGAAGCAATTTGAAAATGAATGCCTGAAAAATTTGAAAAGTAGGTACTGTGACCTACTTTTTAATAAATACGTTTTAAGATATGTATCACAATATGTATCAAATTCAAATTGAAAATGGATACATGCAAAATTCAAAACAAGGTCACGGTGACCTACCGGTACGTTTGAGTCAAGATGCATCAACTGACAAGATTTGATGATCCTAGTCCTTTTAGTAAGCAAAATATCAAAGTTTTAACAAAACTTAATTTTTGGTCAACTTTGAAGTGACCTTGTGACCACATCCTTTACCCCAGGGTGATGCCTTGAACAATTTTTAATCTACAACATATCCTCATCCTTATGTGAAGTTTGGTGATAATCTCCCCAGTGGTTCTTGAGAAGATGATTTTTAGCAATCAGTACTTTTGTTTTTATTTTCATAATTATCTCCCCTTGTTTAAGGGTCAGATCCCTAGTTTTAGTATAAACAAGAGCCCTTGGGCCAAGGATACCCTGTGACAAATTTGACAAAAATTGGTAAAGGAGTTCTTGAGATATGACCCATATTCTAAAAAGTTTATGAACACTGAACAAATGGCCATTGCATTAGCTCTGAGACTTTGGCTCAGAAGAGCTAAAAACTTAATTTTACGGGTTACTTCCCAATAAAATAAATGAATATCACAGAATATTGTTCTATTAAGCCTCCCCCTTTACTGTTTGGATAAATAATTATTTAGTGTTATACATACATCCTTAATCTTTAGGTCAAGGTTATCTGGAACATGGTAGTGTATGTTCCAGACCTCAGCCTCTCTCCAGGCATTGTCAGTGTTACATGGATCATCCATGTAGCCCTTGTAAATTATCCCAGAGGTAAATCCAGTGAAGGGTCCAGGATGGGGCTCCACAAACTGCTCAAAGAACTGAAAAACAGAGAAAAATTGGCTTAAATTTCACATGAACATATCATCAAATTTTATTAACATGTAAGAGTAAATGAAACAGAAATGTGTTCATACACTGTCTTAATATCTACATTTCTCTTTCAGATTTTCTAATTTGTCTTATTTCTATGCTAAGATTACATAGGGTGTCTGAATAAACTTGCCAAAAACTAATAATTTGACCCTGATGTCAAAGATTAAGGTCATTTGTAATGAAATATGAAACTCTATGTGTCGAGGTACAGTACATTGTATTACACTCTGAGTTGTGTAAGGTGAAAAAGAAATTTGTCTTAATTGTTCAAGGACAAGCATAAGAACTTGAGGTAAAATTAAATTTTGTGTATTTCTTCATCAAAAGGTAGACAAAATTCTAATTAAGATTGGTATTCACATGTACTACTATATTTATTATTGCACTGGTATTGATACACTTCCATGACTGTACCTGAATCATTTGTTGTTCTGTCATGTTAGGGTCAAGCTTAGCGTCAGACTCCTGGAATATGTTCTCTAAAAACTTCCTACAAACAGCTGAGTAGAGAGACATGTCACCATACTCCTTCCCCTACAGAAAATAATAAAGTGAAAATATTATTGAGACATTGTTATATTTCTAATTACAGTGCTACATTTATCAAACTGATTTTCTGAAAATCTGGAATATCATGCTTATAGGGTTTTTCAGAAAATTTTGAATTTCTTTAGATGGACAAAATGCTATGTGTGAGTTAGACTGACCTAAAATTGTCCTAACAGTACCAATATTTCCTGCAGGGGCACAATCAAACTATGGAACTAAGTACATGTAAATCCACAGATGCACATCTACAAGTTTGGATAACCTTTTTGCTAAGATGAAAATTGACCTGAATGTTCAGTTCAACTTTGCATCTACAGATATACAGAGGGATGGACACACAGACAGCTGGATGGACAGATATTCATGTTGATTCCTCTATAACCCCTCCCAACAATGTTGTTGAGAAGTTTAATTATACATGTATTCACAAAGGAAACATGCCATATAAATGTATATTAATATCTAGGGATGTCAATTTTGTCAGTAATTCATATTCGAATATTCAATGAAAGTATTCGAATATATTCGAATATTCGGTAAAATAAATAAAATCTGGTTTATTTTAAATATGCATGATCCTACTCTCATGAAAGGTTTAGCGTACTAGGTATTCTAATATTGGAATAAAATTGTGTGAAGGCTTTTGTAGATGTACAATAAGAAATTCCATTTGATATTTGTCAATGTTTGAAATAAATAATTGATTTAAATGTAGAAAAATATGATTTTAACAAATGTAATAATTTAATAAATTTATAGTAGCTCCAACTGAGGAACCAATCGTCTTACCTAAGGCAGGATAGTCGTATACTGTTTTGATTTCAATACGTGTAATTAATTACAATTATCAGTCTAATAAAAGATATGATTAAAATCTTTGATAAAATATTTTAAAAATATAAACAAATATTCTCATAGACAATTTCCCTAGGTAATTAATTAATTTACCGATAATGAATCTAAAATTCAGGATTATGTACAACCCGAGATAATCTAGTAATTTACAAATTTATTCTGAAATTGAGCCCTTTACAATATTAATTACAGACTAATTCTATCAGACACTCATTCAATGATCAATTAAATTTATTTTGATAAGTATACTCTTCACGTCTTTTAGACATTCTAAGAAGGTTTTCATTTAATCAAAATTTATAAATCACTATTTCTCTTTACGAAATCTGTTAAACACCGAATATTCGAATCTTAAATTTATATTCGAATATCAACTCATCGAATGAATATTCGAATGTTCGAATATTCGTTGACATCCCTATTAATATCTCATCAAACTTACACTAGGCAGAGTGAACTCCCCTGATTCCTTCTTTTGAAAGACAGCAACCTCCAGGACTTTCTTGCCATCCACAGTAATGAAGTTCTGCTGATTCTGGCCTGTAGACAGAAATCTCTTCCATCTGGAAATGACCAACATAACACAGTGGTTTGGCCCCCATCTCCTCAACTTCCCTCTTCCTCTCATACCGGTACGACCCATGGGATTTCTGGAATATTAATCATACTTTTAAATAGTCTGAAGACAGATGGCAATAAAAAAATTCTGAAAAGATTTGTTTTATATATGTATATTTACAAAAACAAGATGTCCATAGGCCACAATGCTCACCTGATTACTACAGCCCTACTGTTTTTCATCAGGAGATTTTTACCTATATATTCCTATGTAACCCTGCCCAGGGGTCTGGATTTCTACAATACCTGAGGATACCTCCAAATCCTGGCTTTGCTGTTCTTGAGAAGATTTTTAAAGATTATTCCTATATATTCCTATGTAAAACTTTGATCGCCCATTGTGGCCCCACCCTACCCCCTGCGGTCATAATTCAAAAATAATTGATTAAACACTACCTAAGAATGCTTTGATCCATATAAATATGACTTGTCAGTGCTTTGATGTTCTTGAGAAGAAGATAAAACTTTGATGGCCAATTGTGGCCCACTCCATCCCTGGGGGTCATGGTTTGACCAAATTTGAATCTAAACTACCTGATGATGCTTTCATATCAAAATGATTAATCATGGTTTTCCTGTTCTTGAAGATTTTCCTCATTATACATGTATTCCTATGCAAATTTTTTATAGTACTACCCTACCCCTGGGGTGATTTGTTCATGATTTAAACAAATATGAATTTATAGCACATTACCTTATGATGCTTAGATATCAATATGACTTATCGTGGCTTTGCTGTTCTTAAGAAGATTTTTCAAATTGCTATTATATTCCCACCTTACCCTTGGGGGTCATGAATTGAACAAACTTGAATCTTCATCACCTGAGGATGCTTCCATATCAGTATGATTAATTATGGCTTGGCCATTCTTGAGAAGATTTTTAAAGATTTTTTCCTATATTCAAATGTAAAAAGAAGGGTAAGGATGTTATCAAAGCTCTTACTAGAAGTAAAATTGGCCCAGTGGTTCTGGAGAAAAATATGAAAATGTGAAAATTTTACATTGATGCCAATGGCATCAACAACAACAACAAACAGACAACGGACAAATTTTGATCAGAAAAGCTCACTAGAGCCCTCTGCTCAGCTGAGCTTATAAAAAGCCCATTTAAAATTCATCTCTGCAGTTTACTTTTTAAAAATACTGTAAAAAATACCCATATGAAAATTTGAACAAGAGGCCCATGGGCCTTGATGGTCACCTGTGTATTACGAATTTCTCAAGCTATGAGTACTTTGGGCCCAAGTCCAAGAAGAGTCCAAGAAGAAAAGAGGCCCCTGGACCTTTAGGAGCACCTGGGCATCTTGAGTTTCTTAGGCTATGACTTTTTTTGGGTCCACTTGGAACTGGTTTGGACTCATGTGAGAAAACATTTACAGCTTGGTGAGGATTCTATAAAAATTATCATATTCATACATCTTGTCTCCTTGAAGTTTAGGAGTAACAAAGATAGGTACCCTGTATATTTATTTTAAATATATGACCAACTTGCCCAACTCTGGGGACTGAATTTTAGGAACTTGAATTTTATAATTTTTGTAGAGGTCTAGCTACTCCTTAAAATCATACAAGAAATTAACCTGCTACTTCTCCAAAATTATTGAAAAATTTTCAAAGATCTAATTTTCTTGTCATTTTTTATCAACTTAGCCCCATCGTGGAACAGAGTCCAAGAATTGTACACCTTTAATTGAGGATTAAACAATTTGTCTGCCAAATGTCCATGAAAGTATTAGATTTTCAAAGGTGAAATGTCTTTTCAATTCATTATATAACCATCTTAGACCCACTCTGAAGCCCGACTGCTGGACAAAGGATGCATCAATTTTATAATTTTGGGTAAAAAGTCAAGAACTCATTGTGATCATACAAACAGTTTGCCTCATACATGCTCCCAGAGTAAAGGAAATTTTCAAATTTGCAATTTATTTTTCAAAACATGACTTACTCCCAGCCTGGAGCCTACACACAAATAATTGTTACAGTCTTGATTTCACAAAATATTTGCACTAAAAATTCTGATTGAAAAATCTTACATTGGCATGTTGGATGAGTCGAGCTCATATCGTATTGGCAAGCCATCCTTAGTGATCCAGGATACTCTGTTAATTTCTATGTTAGTCTCATTGATGACAAATGTAGCTGACATATTCCACAGGGGTTTCTGGTACCCAGTAGCCGACAGTAAACTAGCTCTCTCTTCCTGACTCTGGCTGCTGCTCTCTATACGTTGCCTGATCCTAAAGAAATATCAACAATAATATTATAAGAAAAACAAATCAGGTAATCGTTAGAATTTTCATCTCATAAATATTTCAAGGCTAAAAATGTTGTTTTGAGAAATATAAAAATAAAATGCTGTTTTCATTATTGAAAATGTTTGTGATCTCATCAATATACAGTAAATAGCATGAACATAAGGCACTGCTATCACTAACTATCTTGACTGTTTCTGACTCCCAATATTTCATCAAATTTTGCATAAAAAAAAATCCTGACATCAGTCCAGCTTAATGTCTTCATCCTACATACTCTATAAAATCTGGATCCACCAGGCTCTGTATAGATTCTCTGTATTCATCCACAGGTTTGGTGTACAGGACTGGATCATATGTTGGATAAGGTTCCTGCACATAATATTAAACATGTAACAGTATGTCATCTTCAGTTGCCTTTAACAAAATATTGTATAAGAACTGGATCATGACACCTACCTCCCAGTTGACGTATTTGTCAAAGACCGGGAACCTTTGTATCTTGGTGTTGGGGTATGGAGACTGACGACTAGCAATGTGTAGGGAGGTGACAGTCTCTAATTCTGGCCGGGCCTGGGGATCTGCAGAAACATACAAACAAGCTAGAGGCCCATGAACAACAATGCTCACCCGAGTACCTTGGCACTGCTGTTTTTCATCATAAAATTCTTGAAAGATTTTTTTCCCCAATTCTTGAAAGATTTTTTTCCCCAATTTATTGCAATGAAAAATTAAGTCCCATTATATGGTCTTTTGTGACTATTAAATTTAGTGACTATAGTATTAGTTGTTTTTTTTAAATTAGACAAGAGAATAAAATTATATTTTCATTTTTTAGTTAATATTGAAGACCTTAGGAAAATATAAGTAATTGTTCTATGACATTCATATTGTGGATTTAAAATGGCATTCTGTGTTTTTCATGTGTTTTTTGTGGGTGTTTTTGGTAAATCTTGTGTATTTTTGTGATTCGTTTTTTCAGTTGTATATGGTATGCTGTAGGCTGTTTTTAATCATTCTATATTTTTTGTTCAGAATCAGCCTCTGGTTCATACAGATAAGGTCTGATATCAGGCACAATAATTATTCTGTCTGATTTTTTAAAAATTGTAGACCCATGCCACCCATATCCAATCTAAAATCTTTATTGGTGTCATTAATACTGATGTGCTTATACAGTACATGTTGTGAAGTCATGCCAGTATTGCCTCGCTATCACTCGTTTCGATATTTACTTGGTATTTTCAGAGCAGGTAAAAATATCCACTTGTAAAGAGCAATAATTTTGTTAATTGTGCATCTAGATTTCAGTGCAGTTTTTCTCCAGTTTTATTTTATTGTGATCTTCATTATTTTCAAAAATGCTACTGCAGGTAACCTTTCACCAAACTTGAATCCACACAACATGGGGATTCATAGCTTTGTTGATCTTGAAAAGGGGATTTTTAAAGATTTTTTTCCTATATATTCCCAAGTAAAACTTTGATCCCCTATTGGTGGCCATATATTACACCAATATGAATGAACCCAAATTTGATGGTTTTAGCCAACCCCTATGGCCAATGGGGGAAGGGACCAAGAAAATTTTTATACCCCTTCACCCATTCATGCTATAAGCCAAATTTGGTTGAAATTGGTTCAGTGGTTTTAGAGAAGAAGATGAAAATGTTCAAAAGTTTACGACCGGTGATGATGAGTTTACGACAACTGACAAAATCAGTGATGCAGGTGACCTAAAAGAGACATTTCTGCATTAATTTAGTTCACAGTAAGTTTACAGGGAATTTACTTTAGTGTTTACAGATTACAAAGTCAAAAATACATGTATAAAGTAAAAAAAATCCATATGGCTCTGAATAATACTAACCAATGGTGTCTATTTTGTGGGCTATCTGCTCCAAGGCTAAGCTACAGGCAATCAACTGTCTCTCCAAATTTGACATCTGTTCTGCCATTTTGTCATTAAATTTCCTCTGTAATTTGGATTGTGTTACCAGCTGTTCTATTCTACAATGGAATTCTAAATGACATAATAAACTGAAACATAAAACATAGGATTACAAAGCTCTCCTCAACAAATGCTATCTACATGTACATATATAAGCAAAGTCTTTAACAAAATGAATGTTCTGGTAGTGTGCATCCCTAGATGCATCATCCATTCAAGTTTGGTCATCATAACTCATAAGGCATATAGCTACTTGGAAATGGACCTGCTTCCAAAAAATTAACCTTGTCATTCATCTGGAAAATGTAGGCCAGATCCAACATCCCAAGCATGTGTTGTAGTGTATTCTCACATGCATCATCCTTGCAAATTTGGTTATCATAGGGTTTATATTTACTTTGGAATGGACCTGCTCAAAAAATGGAAAATGGGAGAGCAAGTCTGGTAGTGTTCATCTGTAGATGCAAGTTGGTCACATTAGAGCTTTTAGATACTACTTGGGAATGGATCTGCTCCAAAAACTTAAACTTGTCATTCATCTGAAAAATGTAATTTAGACAAAGCAACCAAAGTTTGATAGTGTGCATCCCTAGATGTATCATCAATGAAAGTTTGGTCAACTTCGAATTTATTCTTACTTGAGAATGAATCTGCTCCAAAAATGTTATCCTGGTCACTCATCCAGAAAATGTAGGTCAGATCCAGCATTTGAAGCATGTCTGATAGTGTGTTTCCTTAGATGCATTAGATTCATTATCCATGCAAGTTTGGTCACTATAGGGCTCAGTTACTTGGAAATGGACCTGCTTTTAAAACTTTACCTTGGTCACTCATCCCCCCCAAAAAAAACATAAGTCAGATCTAGAATCCCAGGCATGTCTGGTAACATGAATCCCTTAATGCATCTATCATACAAGTTGTGTCACCATAGACTTATAGTTACAAGCTTATAAAACTTAAACTCAATTATCTACACTTAGGGTATACCATAAGCTAATCTCGACTTCGTTGAGGTGAGCTTAATAAAGAACAGCAATTAAGTTCATGTCCTTTGCAATCTGAAGAGAACAGATCATTATCTCATCAAGCTTATTTGAATCATGAGAATCTGTAACATGCGGATGCGCTAACTGGACTGTTTTCAACAAGTCAAGAACTCCATGGAAAGTCTATAAATTTATTTCACAGGACACAGAAACAAAACAATACTGTTAAATATTCACAAAATCTCTGGTGTTTCATAAATTAATAAAAACCTCTATAACTGGAGTCTTATCCAGTAATAATAATTCATGTGCAAGTCTAACTCTCTTAGACCTAATAAAAATCCTGGTAATCCTAAGTATAATCCCAAACTGGTAATAAACCAGTAAACTTGAAAATCTAAACCAGTAATATACTGGTAAATAAATATTATTCAATCTCTGAATAAAGTTTTCCCCCACACCACTTAATATTATCAAACTATTAACCTAAAGACCTAAATTAAACACACACCTTGATACAGTGGTGTATCCTACTGTTCAAACGCTGCAACTCCGCGTTCTTACTATAGATACATCATTAAATACTACGAAATGACGTAAAATACGATCACCAATCAGAAACATCGCGCACCTGATCATCAACCAATCACAGGCGATACGCGATACCCCAATTCCCACGGCAACGAAAAAGTGTGCACATGTTTCACCAGAAAATAGAAACAAGTAAAATATTATAACTACTTTATGAACAAAGTAAATTTCGAAATGATTATAAAATATTGACATACAATTAATTAAATAAATCGCCGCTTACAACTTTTCACATCTTAAAAATAATGCATTATGGGAAATCGCACTTCCAGAATAACAACCATGCGGTGAAAACATACCAGGTAACAATATTTACCGAATAATAGCTAAATAAACACTGTTTTAATTATGCGATCATGTAAACAGTATAGGAAACTATAGATAACAATTAGTTCAACATCATATCAGCATTAAAGTCCTAATTAGCAAAGAAAATAACTTGTATTTGGCAATGCACATCATCTGACAGCAATCGGGGGTCATATCAAAACAATTATTAAAAAAAATGTATTCAAGTGATACAGTTAAAAGTTAAAACATCGTAATTATAATATCGCTCTCACTACATCTGTCACAGAATCCATTGCTTAACTGCTCATGGATTACTTTTGTAGATTCATAATTATAATATATGTGTATTTTGCTTGCAATGAATAAGCTAAAACACCAATAAATCTAACATATAACTGATTTTTCTAACCTTTGACTTTGCATTGTTTGTCTTGCAGCCTCTCTTTCATCTTGCTCCTGTTCCTCATTCAATTTCTTCAAACAGATCTTCCAGTAGCTGTAATCTGTTGAGTCCTTGACTTTTACAACAGACACATTGGCAAAATCCTGTAATTGGAGATTTAATATTACTGTAAGTTCTTTATTTGAATTACAAGAATTTATTGTGTCTAGTTCTTCATGTCAAAATGATATTTTTCCCCAATTAGGAGCCACTCTCTTAGATTCTGAAAAGAGCAACTAAAACTGTCCTAAGAAAGGTCTTGTCACAAGGACTATGTAAAATATGAAAGCTCTAGCAATAACTGTTCAGAAGTTAATAAAGGTTACAGTTTTACAAAAGGTCCAACTCTAAGATCAAGGTTATGAGAAAGAAAGGTCTTGTCACAAGGAAAACACATGTAAAATATGAAAGCCCTTGTGAGCTCACAAAATGATACCACATGCTGAATGTTCATTAAATTGCATCCACTTTTTCTGCCAGTGACCTTGAAATTGCTTTAACGACCATGGGTCAAAGTCCTGACACAACCATGCCTAAGAATCAATATGACCTTCTGATGCTCCTCCAATACAAAGTTTTGTCTTTTAGAAATTTACATTTCAGAGATCTTCAGAATTTGAAATTTAAATCATATGACCTTTACCTTGTATAAATGACCTTCGTTCAGGGTCACAATCATAATTGACCCTAAAGCCAAGTATGTGTATTATCCTCTATAGGTATTCCATTATAAAATTATGGTAAGGGCTAGAATTTAATATCAGAAACCCAGTGACCTTGACCCTCTCCAAATGACCATCACACAGGTCTGTCAAACATCCTCCGGTAAAAAGCACCCTTTGAGCATAAAATAATACTCTAGTTTTTCTCTGCTTTAGTTATGATCAAGGCAAGAATTTTACACTTATGAAACCTGTGACATGACCATATTACTGTGAGTTTGGGTCTGGACAATTCAATTTTAACCTTATACATACATCCCTACAAAAGTTAGAGAGTGGAAACTGAAAATTTCTTATTTTTTTTAAGTTCAAGAAGGATTACTGTCAAAAATCATTGGACCATGACCAAATTTAAATTTGACCTGTATATTTCTATGACATATCCATATGTCAAATTTGAGTAGAATGTGTGCAACTGTTGCAGAGATAATGAATGGAAAGTCAATAATGACAGAATGATGGAACAGGGTAACACTATATGCCCCCAGCCATTTTATGGTGAGGGCATAAAAATGAAATCACTTTACCATTGTGTCCTTTTTCCTACGGCATGAAGATCTACAGCATTTCTTCATGCACTGCTGGAGTTTCTTAAAGATGAACTCAAACAACATGATGATGTAGCTAATGAAATTAAATGGAGCCGGCAATCTCAGACGAGTTTCAAAATCCACAATGATACTGTACACCTGATACTTCCAGATTTCCTCTGATTCCTGCTGAACTTTGGCATTGGTGACACTGAAATATAATAACCACCATAAAATCTTTGAAATTTAGAATATTTAGTCATGCCTTAGAATATCTTTCTTCTCCGTCAGTAAAACATGCAATATCAGATGAAAGACAAGCTAAAAGTAATAGATTTTCATATATTCTTGCAATTATAGGTGCATGTTGCTACAGTATCAAATTTTGATACTTATTATTAATAAAAATTCACAACTTGGTATAGGTAGTATAAATTAAAAAAAAAACTTTTGAGAGTATTCATTTTCAAATCTAGTAAAGAAATTCTCTATACACATTTTAGTACCAAAAAACACATAGCTATCAAGCAAGGCACTCAAATTTGTTTCCATCTAAGTCAAGCTGGTGCTTGAAAATCAAGTGCAGGGCCTAATCACTCCCCCCTCAAACACAGCAGACATCAAATTTAGCATCTGCTTAAATCAGAAAATTTACAAATATAGTTTTCAAAATAATTCATTTCCAGTTTCATGCAGAAATGCCCAAAATGGGAGGAGAGAATTTGCTTCGACCATGACTTGATGTGAACCTCAAACAAAATTACTATTAAGACACCTGCATAAGAAAATATTAATACAATAAACTTGTTTAGTATGACTAGGGTTATTGTGAATTTATGGATTTTCTTGGATCCCCAGCTACATATACATACAATAATTTCATGATATATATACATGCATTGTTCAGATTAAAACATCACATTTCGCACTCAGTATTTGTAATCATTGAACTTGGAAAGGTCACTGTTAATAATATTAGGATAACTACAATATGGATGAGAGCTCATACCTGAACATAGCATAGAGTAGAGTTAGGAGGACAAGTTTAGTAATAACGAGATACTGAATCACCATCGCGTAACCACCAAAGCTACGGTACGGACACTCCGCAAACTCAGGCTGAAACCTGATCTGACCTACAATTCAGACAATGCTGAAAAAATCACAAGATCTCAAGTACTCACTTTATTGTAAAAGTATTTTAAATTTAATCTCAAAAATGAAAGATTATTAAATCTAACACATTTGCATAAACTAATAGGGCTGAAGTACACTATATTTCATTTGCTGGATAGTTGTTTGACCATATGTTAAATCTTAAGTTTATCATATGTACATGTAAATGGATCTTTATAATCTTACTAATTAATGTAAATTATACTCCTTGATTTTGAGCTCTGACTGAAAATAAAACACCTCACCCTTTTGACTCAGTTTTTATTTTTTCAAAAAAAAAAATCTTAACCTTGGTGTATAATCCAAAACAATCCCTCAACGTCTAGCAAATTTTTCAAATAGATCCCCATACATGTACCTATATGTATATTCTTGCTATCAAATTATTTAACATTTATGTCACATACTTGTATTTCTTTTCCAGAATGAAGCAGCAGCATCTGAAACATGAAATAAACCAAAAATACATGACTGATGTTAAATATATAATATGTATACATGTACATCAGAGTATCTATACCAGAAATACATGACTGATGTTAAATATGTAATATATATACATGTACATCAGAGTATCTATACCAGAAATACATGACTGATGTTAAATATGTAATATATAAACATGTACATGTATATCAGAGTATTCATTAAAGAAATCTCTGAACACATAAATATTTTTAATCAAACACAAATTTATGTGTACACTAAATTGGATTCCTATGCTAACGGCAGTAGAACACAAACAAAACTTACTGTAGCAAACTTCTCTTGTCTGGTTGGCATAAAAGTTTTCACACCTATCATTACCTGTAATTTATAAAAATGAAAGAAAATTTTAATGAGGGTAAAAATGTATCCTGTATTGTCTCAGTACCATAAAACCCCCCCCAGTATTTCCAATGACTTTGGGAAATATTTATAAATGCTTCAAAACTAGCCAAACTAGACATCATTGAGATGGTGACTATCTCAAAGGGCTGGCTGTCGGCCAGCTTTAAGCAAAGGACATAAGCTTTTGGATGAAAGGGACTTGTAAAAGAGGAGTAATTTGTACTCAGATGCTTTTGTCTCAGTAAAAAAAAAAATGCTACTTGGAATTTTAAAAAAAATTTGTAAAAATCTTAAAGTGACACCATGATGGAAAAACGCGAAAATAGACAAAAGTAGAATTTATGCACGACACATGCAAATTTTGTTCAGTTCTTGAAAGTATTAGGTTTCAGAAAATTACAGGTTTCAGAACCTAAAAGATCTATTTTAATGGAGAAAAATAAAAGTAAAAAAAAATCTTTGTGTAACCCAACACAAAAATATTGCTTCACTTCTTCCTCTTTATTGTACGCATGCGCTGAAAAGTTGAAGAATTTACCATGGTTTCAATTCCATAGATATAAATGTCGGATGACCGAGAATTTTTATACAATCTTTAAAAAAGATGATCAGAACTTATTTCTCACTTCTGCTTGCTCCAATTTAATGTTGTTTACAAGTTTCACGCTAAAAATAAAGAATGCGTGACCTTCACATTGTGGACATTGACGATAAAAACAAAGAGATAGTTACAACAATTGTTTTTCCGGCACTTACATTTTGCAGCTTTTTTCTTGCTTTAGAGTGTAGTTGAGTTGCCAAAACTTTGCTATATTCATATTTCACATAAATCTTTCGTTTTTTGAGACAACTTTCTTAGATGAAACACATGATTTTGACTCATTATGTAACTTTAACCCTTCACTTAGTTCAAACACTGCATAGTGTTTCTATAAGTGCAGTGCATGTTTTAGCCACACTGGTCCAAATAAGGCCTGGGCAGAAAATCCATACTCCAAACAAGGATTTCACAAATAGGTCTGCTTCAAGCTGAAGGACTATCCATTTTATACTGAGCTCTGCTTTGACCTTAACTTTTGATTTAAAACCTAGCTCAAGGTCACTGCAGACATTGTACTTACCAGCATGCTTTTGATGAAATTTAAGCCAAATTGGGCCAAGAAGAGGCCCAAGGGCCTTGAATCTCTCTTCTGATAAACTGTACAACCTAACACTTCTATTTGAAGCCTCTATCCTGTATACAGTAAAACCTCATTATCTCGAACCCAGGGGACCGAGAAAATACTTCGAGATAACTGAGGATTCAGGATATCCAGGGTCAAATACTTACGGAATAAACAGTTGGGACTTCAAAATCACTTCAACATATCCATGGTATTCGAGATATCCATGTTCAAGATACCGAAGTTCAACTGTATTTAGATAAAGCCTTGAAATTCCAAAGGTAGGTCATCATGACCTACATTTTAGATGAAACACTCTGAGAACCCAAGATGATTCTAAGCCAATTAGTACCTGAGACTAGGTCATGGTGACCTACTTATCACTTGTAATTCTCTGAGGACCCAAGATGCATCAACTAAGTTTGATGATTCTAAGCCAATTAATACCTAAAATATTTTTAAAATTATAACCATAAAATTTTATTGTTTAGATGTTACAACAAAAGGATCGGACAGAAGTTCATAAAACTTAGAACGTCCTCTCCGCAGTACAGTTAAGGTGCGCAATGGAAATATCGGCAATTTTTGTGATTGAAAATATATACTTAATCAGGATGGCGATTCTTTTCAGTACTTTATTGATATCCAACAAATGTAATTATGGTTAATAACTACATATTGAGGACGGAGAGATTTTATATTTAGACTTGTCACGTGATGCAGCAGTCACATGAGATAGCACATGTACTTGCAGTATTGAGGTCACCTATAAATTTCACTAGTGCAAGGGCATAATCAAGTTAAAATTCTAAATTCAGAGTATAAATATTTTCAACACGCATTGTAGTTTCTGAAAAGTGCTGCGATCCTCTATAAATTCTGCTATTTCATTGTTAAAATCAAATTTATATGACCGCATTCTGTATTTTTCGCTGGTCAACGGCATTAAATATAGATATAATCAATTCATTTTCAAGATTTCACCAGGATCGCAGCACTTTTCAGATACCTTAATACTTCTAGAGGTTATATGTAAAAGCTTAATGTGATCCATTGAGTGTATGCCCTTGCACTAGATTGATTTATTAAGACCCTTACATTACCCTCTGATGAACTTGCATACAAATATACGGCAGTATCAATTAAATAGGAAATATACGGAATATATATGAATAAAATCATATAGAAGACATTGCACACAAGTTATTGGCCTCTTAAATTTCTTTAAATAATATTTTATTTAATTATAGAATATAGTTTTCGTTGTGAAAATATTTCTTGTTCCACCTCTCACTGCATACAAACTGTGTCAGGTTTTACGAAATGACGTCACATCGGCAAGTGGATCGCAATCAGTGACTTGTTTATACATGCTATGTGGAATTTAATTAAAGACAAAACAGCATGTTATAGTAAGATTAGATGTAGTTTAATGGTTTCCTATAGTTTAAAATAGCAAATCATTTCATTTTGTAGTATTATAATTAAATTCTGGTTGTAACGCTGTATTTGATTGGATAAAAAATTTATTTTATATCGTATAAAATGGGTTGCATACGTCACAATGACTTGCGTCAAAAACATATCGATCCGCCTGACATTACATTCAAATTTTGTACAAATTGAAGTCATATTTAAGGACAATCATCTTTTTTTCTGTCCTTTATAACAATTAATTACAAAAAATAATGTTCAGAAATTAAACTTTTCAGATGGCATACTTTGAGGACCCAAGATGCATCAACTGACAAAGTTTGACGATTCTAAGCCAATAAGTACCTGATATATTTAAATAAAGCCATAAAATTTCAAAAATAGGTCACAGTGACCTCCTTTTCAGTCAACTAACTCTGCGGACCCAAGATGCATCAACAAAGTTTGGTGATTCTAAGCCAATTAGTACCTAAAAATATTTAAATAAAGCAATAAAATTTCAGAAGTAGGACACAGTGACCTACATTTCAGTCAACCTACTCCAAGGACCCAAGATGCATTAACTGACAAAGTTTGATGATTCTAAGCTAATTAGTACCTGAAATATTTCATTATAGCCATATAAATTGAAAAAGTAGGTCATGGTGACCTACTTTTCAGTTGTCGTACTCCGAGGACCCAAGATGCATCAACTGACAGTTTGATGATTCTAACCAATTAGTACCTGAAATATTTAATTATAGCCATAAATTTTCAAAAGGTAGGTCACGGTGACCTACTTTTCAGTCGACCTACTCCGAAGACCCAAGATACCTCAACTGACAAAGTTTGATGATTCTAAGCCAATTAGTACCTGAAATATTTAATTATAGTCCTATAAATTGAAAAGTAGGTCAGGGTAACTTACTTTTCAGTCGACCTACTCTGAGGACCCAAGATACATCAACTGACAAATTTAAATGATTCTAAACCAAATAGTACCTGAAAATATTAAATACAACCATAAAATTTCAAAAGTAGGTCAAGGTGACCTACTTTTCAGTTGTCGTACTCCATGGACCCAAGATGCATCAACTCTTTGAGCCTTTGGCTCAGAAGAGCTAAATATGCTTTTGATTAGGATTTTCTACATATAATAAGACTTATTATGGACCTGTTGTTTCTGAGAAGATAATTTTGAAAACAAAATTTCTATTTAGTCTTACATCAAATTTTGATCCCTCAGGAGGTGTGCTTTGAACAAACTTGAATCTGCACTACATGGGAATGCTTGCATATTAATGTTACTAATTGTGGCTCTGGTGCTCTCAAGAAGAAAAGATAATTTCACTATTTTCTAATTATCTCCCTATGAAAGAGGGTATGACTCTTCATTTGAATAAACTAGAAATTCCTGTATCCAAGGATACTTTGTTGATGAATTTCAAAATGTACAATGTTACTGTTAACAGATGCCAGAGGACACACTCTGATCAGAAAAGCTGAGCTTTTGACTCTGGTGCTCTGGTGAGATAAAACATTTCAGTGAAAAAAATTGTTATTTTTGAATAAGATATTTTCCCAGTCCTTTTTAGTACAATGTTAAGCACTGAACCCCTCCCCCCCAACCCCCCACCCCCTTTGGCAATTTGCCCTATTTTCAAATCACCTCCCTTTATTTGAACAAGTTTAAATTAATTCCATTTCTTTGAACAAATTTGAATCAAGCATCAAGGATGCTTTGCACCAAGTTAGTTGAAACTGTCACAACAAAGAACAAGTCAATAAAGTGAAAGGTTTACATGATGGATATAATGATAGATTAAAAAAGATAACAATAGGTCACCCAAGGTTAACTTAAAAAAGTAAGTATTTAGATAATATGCAATGAAACATACTGTCTAGGTCATCAATTTTAGTCAGGAACATTCCAAAGAAGGCCCTGCTGAGGGCACTGACAATGCCCACCTCTGAGGCGGGATAGTTAGGGTACAGCGTTGCCTGAATGGTAATTCCACCCGCAATCATAAATACCAGGAACATTCTCATCCATGTCACAAAGTCTTTCTTCATCTGAAAAAATCAAGACACATTTGTTCATGAGTGAGTTCTATTCTACATTTCTCTAAGATTTCCTATCTCATATACTTATATGGCTTTAAATTGCAAGTTATTAAATTGAAGATGCGACTTTAATTCTGATTTGGCAAATTAAATTAAAAGCTGTTTGCCATTCCTCAACCAAAAATATTTGACTGGCTTAGATTTTTGTCCCCCGCTTTCACTGAAAGTGGGGGATATTAATTTGGGTCTGTCTGTCCGTCTGTCTATATTTCTGTCTGTCTGTAACACTTTCATTTCCACGCGATATCTCGAGAACCCTTTGAGCTTTCGCAATGAAATTTTGCATAGCAACTCCCTATGGACTAAAGAAGAACCCTATTAATTTTGAGGTCAAAAGGTCAAAGGTCATAAATTCATAAATTCTGTCTGTTTTAACACTTTCATTTCTGTGCGACATCTCGCGAATTCTTTGAGCTTTTGCTATGAAATTTTACATAACAACTCCCTGTGGCCTAAGGAAGACCTCTATTGATTTTGAGGTCAAAAGGTCAAAGTTCAAGGTCGTAAATTCACAAATTCTGTCTGTGTGTAACACTTTCGTTTCCTGGCGATATCTCAAAAAGCTTTTGAGCTTTTGCAAAGAAATTTTATACCATAACTCCAAATGGCATCTCTCGCCCCTCTCAAAGTGTTCTGCCCCGTTTTTTTTTTTATTTATTGTATATCTAAAAGTCACTTGGCACTATTTTTAGCACAGGGGCATGTGGAGAGTTATTACGTATAATACAGGTTGTCGGCCAACTTTTTATTCTAATTACATCTATTAGAACTGTTAAGTAAAGGCTAAATTAGACAATATGTAATGTGTTAAATTTTGACAATATCGAACGTGAATATAAACATTATATGTGACCTAATGTTTGCATTTAATCAGACTTAACTCAATATGAGTCATATTATGGAAATGAGTAGATTAACGTCTTGTTACATAGTCAAAGAAGCATAACTCTTACGACATTATCATTACTGACTTTTGTGTGTGACCTAGTGTTTGCCTTTAATTTGCTGTATAATCAAGTGCCTCCATGGTCTAGTGGTATGTTGCTCGCTTAGCAAGCAGGAGGCCCGGGTTCAATCCCTGATCGATTCTATTTTTCTTTTTTTAATGGGTTTTTTTTTTGGATTTACTTTAAATGACACTATTCAACATGTGAAATGAAAAAGTTATGATGTCTGGCGTGTACAAACTCATAAAATCATTATTACAGTGTGATAAATATTCTGTATATTAAAAAGAATCTTCTATATACATATTAAAGAATAAGCAATCAAATCTTTATATCCATATTTAATAGCAGTTTTTTAATTTGCTTCAATATACATGTATACATTTAATAATTCTACAAATACAGAGGGGCAGTGTGACCCCCCCCCCCCCCCCCCAAGAGACTGTGCATGCTCTTCTTTTTTCCCTAAGCGGGGGACACAAATTCTCTGAATTAGCTTGTTTTTTTTTAAAACTGGGTTCAAACTTTAGTGTCAGGATGGCAGGCACAGAGAAATAAAGTGGTCAATCATGTTTAGTTTTATCCTTACTATAGTGCAAAACTCGGAAGAGATAAATGCACTAGATACTGAGAAAAATTGTAATTCAAACCTAGGCCAGGTGTAGAAAGATCGCTTTCACAACCAAAAACGATAGCTAAATGATTTTGCATTTACTGAATGCAATAAAATATTACAAAGGTCATTAACTTCTTTCATTATGAAATACTATGGGTTTTATCTGCAATTTCCATCATGCAAATCTACTAATATCTCAAAAGGACCTGCAATTTTTGTCTTGGTGTCCTAAATCTGAGAATGGCCAATAAAGTTTAAAGTATGTTGCCATGTGGCAATTTTGTACAAAAATCTACTTTGAGTTATGCATGTAAATGCATCAAAGCTAAAAGATACAAGACTTTCATCTAACGAAATTCATGATAATTGAAAATATTGAACAGATTTGAAGACATACAGAAATCAAGAGAGGTCACTCTTCGACTAAAATCTTTGTCAGATAAGATTACTGTATAGTTCTATCAGTTTGTACATATTAGTAGAAGGAAAAAGTTGCATCTGGACTTGAAACACCCTCTTTTCAATTAACATTTACAGAACTAGAAAACTAACCAGTTAGCAAGGGCCCCAGAAAGGGATATGCATTGGTGGAGTTAAAAGGAATGAGATTATGATAACTTAAAAAAAAATTAAAAAGGAAATTTAAAATATATGAAGTCTCTCAGGAATGTAAAACAACTACTGTAATCATAAAATGTAAGGATATTTCCAAAAAAACAGAGAATGATGTTATTATCCAACTTGAAAATTAACAGGAGATTAGGCTTCTGATCTTCGATCTGCAGCAGGCAAGGTAATAAAATCTGGAAGGATTCACTGCAATTTTTCAGAAGTTTAGAAAAGTTATTTCTGTCTTCATTCCTATATAAACAGTGGCATCTACCTCTCCACCTCAGCTCCTGCCCAGATAACATAAAGAACCAACCTTGGTATCAAAATATGTCTTAGTGCCTATTTAAACATCATACCAAATTTGAACATCAATCATAAAACAAGAAGCCCATGGGTCACGTAGCTCACCTGAGCACTGTGGCTAGAAAAAAAGCAAAAATCAGTTTAGTATTGAAAAGCTTAAATGCATGTGTGGTCCCAATCTAACCCTAAAATGGGGGGGGGTTCATGTTTTGAACAAAATTGAATCTACACTAACTAAGGATGCTTACATATTTCTTTGACTATATGTGGCTTTTTTCCTATAAGTTTGAACTTTCATTGTGGCCCCATCCTACCCCGGGGGGTCATGAATTGAACAAACCTGAATCTACACCACCTGAGGATTCTTCCATATAAATATGACCAATCGTGGCCTTGCTGTTCTTGAGAAGAAGATTTTTAGATTTTTCCTATATATTCCTGTGTTAAACTTTGTTCGTCCATTGTGGCCCCATCCTACCCCCAGAGGGTCATGATTTGAAAAAACTTTAATCTACACCACCTGAGGATGCTTCCATATAAATATGACCAATCATAGCTTTTCTGTTCTTGAGAAAAAGATTTTTGAAGGCCTATGTAAAACTTTGATCGTCCATTGTGGCTCCACTCTATCCCCGGGGGTCATGATTTTAACAATTTTGAATCTACACTACCTGACAATGATTCCACATGAGTTTCATCTTTCCTGACCCATTGGTTCTTGAGAAGAAGATTTTTAAAAGATGCCATTAATTTTTCACTATTTTGTAATTATCTTCCCTTGGAAGAGGGTGTGGCCCTTCATTTCAAAAAAATTGAATTCCCTTCACCCAAGGATACTCTGTGCCAAGTTTGGTTGAAATTGGCCCTGTGGTTCTGGAGAAGAAGATAAAATTGTGAAAAGTTAACGACAACGACAGACAACGGACAAATTTGGATCAGAAAAGCTCACTTGAGCCTTCGGCTCAGGTGAGCTAAAAATTTACCAGCGTTGGGAAAAAATGAAAATTTTTGGACAGACAGTTGGATAGACAGACAGACAGTGTGATTACTATAGCGCACCCACAAATCCTTTGGGGCCCTAATTACATGTTGTATCTTGATGTTTTCTAAACTTGTACCAGATTTAATTGAAAATAAATTAAAAACCATAACTATAGGAACAGCTGCATTATGAATCATTTTCAGATGGCAAAAACCATTCGCTGAATCATTAAATTCATTTACCAATAATCAGAATTATGAATAATTCTATCGTGTACTTGTGTACAAAGTTTAGTTGAAATTGGATCAAAACTGTTAAAAGAGAAGTGTATTGAAAAATTATTTACAGACAGACAGACAGACAGTGGATGGCCACCTTACCATTGCATAAGCTCCTCTGGTCTTTGACCAATTCAGCTTAAACAAATTAACACACTTACTGAGATAGACAAATTTTGCAGAGGAAAGTTAAATTGAATCTATAGGTCAATCAATCAGAAAACTGGAGGCATGGATGTCAAACATAATGTCATTATCCTTAAAAAGGCCACATAGTCTAGCAAATATGGTTTTTATACATACCATTATTCTAAAGTTGATCATCATCGGTCCTAGCACAGGGCTGATGGGAAGGAAAACACTAAGTAACCTGTAGTAGAAGTATAGGAGGCCCAAGCTCATGACAAATTTGGCCGTGGTGTACTTGATGAATGGGATAAACTTAGGTATGATTCTGACCAGTCCGATCACGATCAGAAAGGAACCAATCAGACATATCTCTATCACTGTCCAGAATATCTTCATCTCTTTGTATTCCTGAAATCAAAATTAAAGTAAAACTTGTCAAAACTACACAATCAGTGAATCAGAATTCTGGTTTAAAATTCAGAGCTCCAACTGTAAAGACCAATGCTGATGTTAAAATGACTCTGAAATGAGATGCACAGATTGTGTAAAATTCTCCAAGCCTTGCTACAGAAAACAGCTGCAGATACAATGAAAATTCTCATAATGGGACTGACATATTCTGTGGAAAAAGTAATATAATTTAGTAAAAAAAATTTTTTTTAAATTCCAACCCAAGAAATAAGAGGCAACAAAAACAACAATTATACAATGTATTTAACAATAAATTTATAAACACCTGTCATATTAATAGTTGACAGTATTGACAAGTAACAGGTACTTTTAACCTTTTAACTTTTTGACCTTGAACTCTGACATAAAGATTTTGTTCAAGGTTACTGCACATTCTAATCCCTGAGCCCTCTATTGGTGAAGTTTTAGCAAGATAAGGCAAAGGAGATAGAAATACCCTGTAACAAGAGGCCCAGGGGCCACATCGCTTACCTGAGCACCATGGCTAGAAAAAAGCAGAAATCAGTTCAGTCTTGAAAGGTTGAAAAGTTTAAATATAAAAGTGGGGGGGGGGGGGGGTCATGAATTGAACAAATTTGAATCTATACATTATCTGAGGATGCTTCCTTGTAAATATGACCAATCATGGCTTTGCTGTTCTTGAGAAGAAGATTTTTAAATATTTTTCCTATATATTCCTATGTAAAACTTTGATCGCCCATTGTGGCCCCACCCGACCCCCAGGGGTCATGAGTTGAACAAATTTAAATGTACACTATCTGAGGATGCTTCCATGTAAATATGACCAATCATGGCTTTGCTGTTCTTGAGAAGAAGATTTTTAAAGATTTTTCCGATATTTTCCTATGTAAAACTTTGATTGCCCATTGTGGCCCCACCCTACCCCTGGGGGTCATGATTTGAACAAACTTGAATCTACACTATCAGAGGATGCTACCATATAAATATGACCAATCATGGCTTTGCTGTTCTTGAGAAGAAGATTTTTCCTATATATTCCTATGTAAAACTTTGATCGCCCATTGTGGCCCCACCCGACCCCCGGGGGTCACGATTTGAACAAACTTGAATCTACACTATTTGAGGATGATACCATATAAATATGACCAATCATGGCTTTGTTGTTCTTGAGAAGAAGATTTTTAAAGATTTTTCCTATATATTCCTATGTAAAACTTTGATCGCCCATTGTGGCCCCACCCGACCCCCAGGGGTCATGATTTGAACAAACTTGAATCTACACTACCTGAGGATGCTTCCACATAAGTTTCATATTTTCAAGCACAGTGGTTCTTAAGAAGAAGATTTTTTAATGATGCCATTAATTTTTCACAAATTCTTAATTATCTCCCCTTGGAAGAAGGTGTGGCCCTTCATTTGAATAAACTTGAATCCCCTTTACCCAAGGATACTTTGTGGCAAGTTTGGTTGAAATTGGCCAAGTGGTTCTTGAGAAGAAGATGAAAATGTGAAAAGTTTACAACAACAACGACAACGACAACAACTGATAGACAACGGACAAATTTTGATCAGAAAAACTCACTTGAGCCTTTGGCTCAGGTGAGCTAATAAAAGGATTTTAAACGGATTTTTTTAAGCCTTGACCTTTGATCAAAAGAATTGGTTCAAAGTCACTGCACACTCTTTACCCACATGAACTCTAGGGGTGAGCAACATTTAGCCAAGGATAGAGAAAATATGCCTTGGAAAAGGTTTTTACATGGAGGTGTTTTTGACCTTGACCTTTGACCTAGAAAATAAATTCAGAATTACATGACATCTTTCCTCACTAGCACTATGTGGATGAGGTATGAGCCAGACTTATTGACAAGGATATGAAAACAACATCTATGGAATCATTTGGTTAGCCCAATCACCACACATAAATATTATCGAAAACTGTTGGTATCAGGTGAAGAGAAGTTTACAAAATCGGGTCGCAGAAATATCTAACCCAAATCAGCTGTTTGAAGCTATTTTTGATATTTGGCAGAATTTCTCAGTGAATTACATTAAAAACCTTTATCAGTCACTACCACGAAGAATTCTTGCTTGCATTCGGTCCAAGGGGACACGTCACAAAGTACTAAAGATATGTGTAATTTTATTATTGTGTCAAAAATGGTGAGTTTATTATGCTAGGCAAGATAACTCTCAATGGACGTCTGCCATTTTCACGAATACTTTTGGCATGATGCTGTATATCAGTGATATCAAACACATCAACTTCCATTAAATGCTACCATTCTATCTATCAATGTTCAGAACTTTTCAAATGCCCCTCGTATAATAAAGTCCAAGTATTTAAATATGAAATTTCACTATCATATGCAACTATTTAATTAACAGTGATCCAGTTCAGACATACTGTATTTATCTGTAGTATCAGTAAATAAGAGTTTATTTCACTATAATTAACACAGTTACAGTAGCGAGGACTGTGAGGATAGTCATACCTTTTAACTTCATTATAATTAACACAGTTACAGTAGCGAGGACAGTGAGGATAGTCGTACCTTTTAACTTCATTATAATTAACACAGTTACAGTAGCGAGGACAGTGAGGATAGTCGTACCTTTTAACTTCATTATAATTAACACAGTTACAGTAGGGAGGAGAGTGAGGATAGTTGTACCTTTCTCTTGATGATGGTTTTTCTGATGATTTCAACCCAAATCATGGCAGTCCAAAAATACACAACAAGGTCAATGTAGAAATCTCCACAAGATGGTATAATGACTGCATAACTGAACAAGGCCAAGTACAAAATGTACAGCAGCTGAAAAATATTTATGATGCATTCAGTTTAATCTTATGGTTTCATTTTTGGGGAATATTAAACAATTTAAAGCAAACATCCTCCATGGTTGATTATGTTTGAGTTCTTTCATCCATCTTTAATTGATAAAGAACAGAATGTATCATAATCAACATTGGGTTTCCTTTTGGTATCTAGCATCAGCTGGGTGAAAATTCACTATATTTTGTTTTAGGGTTACTTACCTGACTGAGATAAAACTTGGTGATTGGGGCACTCCATAGATAGTAAAACTGTAGATAAAGGGGCACCCTTAAGTTCTGTCGACCGTAGCTAAACAATTTCCTCATTTGGTATTTCATCTCTCCTTTTGTACTTCTTTTCTGGTCACCAGAAATACAAAATACATGTACAAAGGATTAAAATATACCAAACAAAAGTAATTCTCAGATCTATACAACAGCAAGTACTGGAGTTATCAATCCTACCCATTTGATTTTTAGAGGTATCATGTCCTGGTTATCTATTTGATCTATATCCAGTTCCTCTTCCTCTTCTAAAACATGACAAGACAAAAAGATAATAGGCTTAAATTGTAAGAACCTCAGGGTAAGGGTTGGGGCAGGGCATGTACCGAAACTGTCTAATTTATCTTTTTAATTCAATCTTTTGCACACAAAAATAATTTTAAAGGGTTTTACATTTTCTAAAAAATTGAAACACAGAGGAAAAATGAAAAAAAAAAGCAAACAAACAAGCAAACAAGAAAAACATAGGTAAAGATTACAAAGCTCACCTCAACAAATATCATCTATAAGTTAGGCAAAGTCTCACACCAAATACATGTTCTGGTAGTGTGCATCACTACCTGCATCGTCCATGCAAGTTTGGTCACAGTTACTTTGGAATGGACCTGCTCCAAAACCTTTAACCTGGACACTCATCCAGATCCAGCATCTGCAGCTAGTCTGGAAGTGTGCATCTTGAGATGCATCATCCATGCAATTTTGATCCAGGTTACTGAGTAGGGCTTATAGCTATTTGGGAATGGTATTTACTTTGGACTCATAGAGGTGAGCTGAAAAGCTAACATGGCTGGATTGCAAAGTACTTAATGTTCCATTTGATTTAACGAGGTTCGCTCCTGAGCTTTTGAGAAGATTTATATTTTAACCTATATTTCAAAAATTCTGCATTAAGTTTTAATTCTTACAATAATTTTGGATTCTACAATGCCAATTAAACTATATTCAGTTAAAACTCCATGATTAAATTCCATACCAAAAGCATTAAGTGAGGAACTATATTTTGTGGCGGAAAGTTTTTTAGAAGAAAATAATCATTTTTTCTCTTTCGAAGTATTTAAAAAATGTTAAGTTTGAATTCCTATTTTTCCATGCAATCTTCACACAGAGTTATTTTGTGTAGTGAACTGTTTTATACTGGTTGTAAATTATATATTAAATAAACTGTCATGAATTCTATCATCATATTTGATAAATATAGCAAATATATTGTGAAAGTCAAGAAAAAATATCCCTATTTTAAGCTTAAAATTAGCACTATTTTAGTAATATCTAAAAATTAACATCACAAACCCCCACTTTGTATTTTCTTTTCTGAATATATAAGATACTTTTAACCATTCTTCTTAAATTCAGTAAAATGTCATTACTTTCAAATGATATTTTTGCTTGTTAAATTTCTAATGCCAGAATGAAATTTTTTGAGTGCAAAAAGGTCAAATAATTGAACATGCGGAGTAATTTGAAAAAGTTTTCAGTGTCACAAATTTTAATGTGTCTATTCAAGATGACATAAGACTGTGTTTGTTCCCATAATTTATTTGAATAAAAAATATTGGAGGAAAAACTTTAAAAATTGATTTATCTGTAAGACGTATTTACAGTGCAAAAGGGTCAAACTAAATGCTCTGTAGCGCAAAAAAAGCGCATTGACCCCCATTTTTTGTTTTGATTTTTAATTAAGCTATGTTTATAAATTCTAAAAATATACTTGATAAAAAATTCTCATTACTTTTGATGGCAGGATCCAACCTCCTTAACAATAATTTGCCTATAGTGGTATATGTAATTAAATCATCCCATCAGTTTTTTTTTCTTATGTGCAAATTCTATGAGATAACCATAGTCATTCTCAACAAAAATACACAAATTTATATATTTGCAATTCAACTAAAGAGGTCTGCTATACTAGGACTTGAAGCCAGCACCTCCTAATAGAACCAATATATAAAATATTTCACTAATCTGCTTTTATATTCATTATTGAAACAATGTTTAATGACCAAGAAAAAGTTACCTGGTGTTGACACTTCAGAATCTGGGTCTTTTTTAATCTCATAGGTAATCCAAAACAACATGGGGAAGATAAAGAAGACACTCATATATATCTACAAGTAAAAGTCAGACAATAAGTTTCTGATCATCATAGTTAAATTTTACCAAAGTCACATTAGCTCTGCTCATCTTCAGATTATTTTAAAGATCCCCCATATATTTTCATATAAAACTTGACTACATATTGTCACCAACCTAGCACAAAGGGGACAATCAAATGTAACACTTGCATATCAACCTGACTCATGATGGCCCTGCTATTCTTGAGAAACAAAATTTTTTTCCTACAGATTTCCCTATAAAACTTTAAATGAACTTAAATCTTCACTACATGCGGATGCTTGCAAATTAATATGACCATGTTCCCTGCTGTTCTGGAGAAAAAGATTTTTAAAGATCTTCTCGTTATATTTGCATGTCTATTGTGGCCCAACCTTAGCCTGGTGACGATGAGAAGAACAAAATGAATCTACTCAACATGTTGATGCTTGTGTATTTATGTGACTGTGATCCTGCTGATTTTTAAAACAAGATTTTTAAAGATTTTTCCCTTATATTTCCTTGCTAACATCCTATTGTATACCCATCCTAGCCCAGCTAGGGAGCCATATTGGAACAAACTTGAATCTACACTTAATAAAGATCTTTAATCAGTTTTGTCTTGACTGGCCCATTGGTTCCTGAAAAGAATTTTAATTGACCGCAGCATAATTATCTACCCTCGAAAGAGGGTGGCAATTTACCAACCTTCACTCTCCTTCTCTGAAAGATGCTTTGTGGAAAGATCAGTTGGCTCATTGGTACTGACGGAAAAGTTGAACAATGAACAGTTTACAATGACACACAACACTTTGATAATCTGAAAAGCTCAAATGAGCTAATATTTCTTACACTATGTAAGACTGACACTTATTCATTATTGATAGCTACCCATAAATCAATATCTGTTCTTTACAGACATGGTCTACTAGTAAATACCCCTAATATGCTTTTCCCCTCGGACTGAAAAGTCGCACTTTCATTGATTTTTAAACATAAAGTGTAACTACCAGCTATATTTCTGTGTCCAGCAGTTGAGAATTTATATTCAACAATATGGCCAAACACCCAACCATATATTAGGTTCGTTTCTGACTGTATATACTAAAATATATCAGACTGATCAAACTTATAGATGGCTAGCCTTTGCTTTGCTGTCTATGAGATTGATCAATATGATATATATACGTAGACAGTGAGTAACAAACCTAATAATATTACTTATTAGGTTTGTTAGTGACTGTCTACAGAAACATATTGGGTTGATAAATCTCATAGATGCGCAATATTTCTGTAGACAGTAACTAATAAACAAGCGTTTTCATCTTGTCCAGGATCAATAACAGTTAACAAACATTGTTTTTTTCTACCATGTTGCAGTCTTCACTGTATTTTCTTACTTGCCATCTACAGAAATATAGATGGCAGGCATGTGACATCTGCTATTTAACGAGAGAGCATCATTCTAGTCCAAGGCAAAATAAGTAATGATGGTGAACAATTCAATGATAGACTACATGTACCAATATACTGCATGTGTCCTTAAAAAAGCGAGCTTCATATTTTAGCTGCTTTTGTGTGGGCAACAATGCCCTAATTCATGAATACCACTAAGAAATCATTTATCAATACAATAAACAGCGCATTATTGTGTAGCGCTAATTAATGAATGTGCCAACAACTCAATACACAGTGTTTGTGCTAAATTTTGAATACGCCAATTTATGTACACGTACAGTACATCCTGTCTCAATACCTTCGACAAGTTATAAAGTCTGAACTACAAATGCTTGTTCTACTTATGAGCCTTGATCCAGTTTAGGAATGTAAACAAGTCCTGTCTATGAGCTTTGAACCACCTAAGTAAGGCTGTGTTGTTGAAACAGTGTTTTGACCATTAACTAATATGTCCTGCTTAAGGAACTTCAACAAGTTTGAGATCCTGAATTAAAGATATAGTTGAACATTAGTTTTTGAACCTGAATATCTCGAATACTATGGCTATATATCTAAGTGAGTTGGAAGTTCCAACCACATTTTCTTTACATCGATCTTCTCAATATCTCAAACCTCTGAGTATCTCTCAGTTTTTTTTTGGTCCCGGCCTTCAAGTTTGAGATAATGAGGTTTGACTGTATTTCTTGTCTTCAAACCTTGAACCAGTTTGGGAATCTGAATTAAAGATATGTCTTGTCTACAAACCTTGAACAAGTTTGGGAATCTGAATGATTTAATAAAGAAATGTATTGTCTATAAATCTCAAACCATTTTGGGAATTTGAATTAAAGATATGTCTTGTCTACAAACCCAGAACCAGTTTGGGAATCTGAATTAGAGATATGCATTGTCTGCTAAACCTTGAACCAGTTTGGGAATATGAATTAAGGATATGTTTTGTCTACATACCTTGATCCAGTGTGAGAATCTGAATTAGAGGTATGTCTTATCTAAAAACCTGGAACCAATTTGGGAATCTGAATAAGAGGTATGTTTTGTGTACAAACCTTGAACCAGTTTGGTAGTCTGAACACTCCATAATCCACTTCTCTGATTAGGAGGTTACCATGCCAACGCTGAAGCAGCCATTTCTGACAACTTTTGTGAGCAATGAAGTATTTATTCCGAGCGATGTGGGCAAGCTTTATTGTGGTCTTATTGTTAAGCTCTGGCAGTTTCTCATCTAATGAGGCAATGGCTGTTAGACATGAATCCTTGTAGCTCAGGTCCAGTAATCTTACAGCCTGTTTTCCAAACTCTCTGCAATACAAGAATATATCAATTGTATTTCATTGATTATGAGGGTTGTCCTAGAAATATGCAAACTTTTAAATATTTCATAAACTACCTGACCAAAATTATTAATTTTTGTCAAAATGTTGGGAAATGATAATTTCATCATTTTGGCTAAATAATATAAATTGCATTGACAGCAATGTTTACTTTATTATTAGGAAACATAATGTGACCAAAATTACATCCATAGAAACTGTACGACCAAGAGTACTCGTGTGTAAACAATCAATACTCTGACATTTTAAATAAGAAAAAAATGATGTTATATGCATATTGTTTTGACATTATTGGTAAAAAATGGCAATGTCAACGCAATAATGTGGCACACCAAATTATCACTCAGTACTGTGTGGAGCAGGGTATGGCTCTTGTTTACACCGGAAAAGAGCTGGGAACCAGGGAATGACACCTCAAATACATGTATCTAACATTTATTTATACATAGTTATTTTTGTTTGTTGTTTAATGTCCCTCTCAAGAATTGTTTACTTATATGGAGAAGCCACCACTTGCCGGTGGAGAGCTGCAAATTTTGACCTATGCTTGGCATTCAGGGCCATTGAGCAGTGAGGGATCTTTTTCGTGCAAGCACCTACTGCGACACGGGACCTCGGTTTATATGGTCTCATCCGAAGGACCGGTCTCCATGTACCTCAGTGGGATTTGAACCCCGACGTAAGGATCAACTCCTTATTCCGCGACTCTAGAGCAGACGCTCTCACCATTGTGCCACGCAGGCGACAATTTATATACATGTAGTAAAAGAGGTTCACTAAAAAGAGGATTACTAATCCAATAGAAGAAGCGTTTAGTAGACCTGCAAAAATGACAACTGAAAAGTCTTGAGCTGGACATCATACATGGAGATCGCTGTTAACTATGCAAGCAGTTAGAATTTGATTAGGATATTGTCTATTAAAAGAACTCCTTGATTTATTCTTAACTGTAGCATTTGTGAAATGGATAACTCGTCAACTAAAAGAAAATCAAATACAGTATCAAATTTATGCTTGGAACAAATTTTTATAGATGCATGTTTCCTGAACAAATTCAAAAACTCAATGAGCTTTGTTTTGATGTCACCGATATTGCATCGACAGCTATTTTTGAATGATTTGTTGATCAAAGATAAAAATTTTGTTTATAAGAGATATTCTATTGAAAATTGTGTGAATTATGTAAAAAATGTTGATTATGGTGCATACCAATTTTCAACTTTATAATATTAGTGAAACAAAAAATATTGAAAATGTTCACTTCTTTCAGGGACAACCCTCGTATAAATAATGCAGAAAATGGCAAAACTAAGAACATACATGCACTTCATTTTAATTATTTACTCATAAAACATATTTACTTGATCATAATTTATAAACTTCATATGATATAAATTTATAAATGTTACTTTAATTTTCATTATTAGAATTTAACTACTGACTAAAAATATTAAAGGTTAAAGTTTTCAAAAGAGGTCAAACTCCAAGGTCAAAGATCAGAAACATTTGTACCCATCATTTTGTCTTATCACAAGAAATACACAGGTGAAGTATGAAAGCCCTAGCACCAATGGTTCAAAAGTTATAGCCAAGGTTAAAGTTCGGTAAAATTTTGCAAAAAGTGGGTTAAACTCCAAGGTCAAAGTCAAGTGATCAAATATGATGGTACCAAATGAAAGGTCATGTCACAAGAATTAAAGATATAAAGTATGAAAGCCATAGCTCCAACTAATCAAAAGTTATGTGCAAGGTTAAAATTTTTGGAGGACAAACTAACAGCAGACAGACGGACAGAGCAAAAACCATATGCCCTGAATCTTCAATTACTGGGGCATAAAAATAGCAAAACAATGGTTATATCAATAGTCTTGACTTATGAACTTGACTTTTGTCCAAATAACCCTAAAATCTATATATCATTTTTTCTGATCATTCTCCACCCATACATTAAATAGGATCCAAAGTCTGAGGTATACAAAGTTTCCAGTTATTACATCGTAATGGTCACATCAACAATCTCAAGCTCTGACCTTGACTTTTGACCCCATGACCCCAAAAAGCACAGGTGTCTTCCTCTAATCATTATCCACCTACATGTGCCTAGACAAAGTGCAGTCTATACGTTGAAAAGAACCTCAAGTTATTGGGTCATTAAAAAAGTGTGGATGGACAGGTGGAATGACAGACAAACCCTAATGATTACTTACTTTAAAGGCCATACTAACAAATACCAGATAATACAAGTTATACAAGTATAAATCATGATTTCCTTGTGATTCATATATATAACATACAGTCAAACCTCGTTATCTTGAACTCGATTGTACAGAAAAAAAAATTGAGATATCCTAGGATTCAAGATATTGAGGATAAAATACTTAAAAGAATAAGTGGTTAGGACTTCCAAATCACTTCGACATATCCATGGTATTCGGTGTTCGAGATACCGAAGTTCAACTGTATATACCTGTAGTCAATTTCACAAAAATAAGTTTGTTAATAATGTATGTATAAGAAAATTTAAATTAGCTAATGATGACATTTCAATATTGAGTATTTACATAGCGGAATCCTTGAGTTGTCGTTTGATGTCTAGATCTCTGCTACACCATTTTATAGCTAAAGTATGCCAGATCATACTGATCACAAGAGCCATCACCATTGGCTGGTCAGACCGCTTCCATAGAACTCTGGTCAGTGACGGGTTAAAGGTCAACACTGACCAATAGATCAGGGCATTTAAGGCCTTCAAATATAACAATCAATTTAGTCACACATATCCTACATCAATTTGAAATTTAAGTCTATTTAAATAGTAACATTTTATTTTAAATGTTAATGCCATTAACTATTCACAATATCCTTAAAATCAATTAACTAAGTTCTTGGTCTCAAGCCATGGTATCTCGTATAAGTATTCTGCATTTAGGTCTTTATGATATTTTCAGTAAAACATTTAGTCTATTAATTTAGTCTAACTGTTAATTAACTAGACCTTTCTCTCTGCAGTAAGTTTATCACACACAAACTGTCCAGTAGAGTTCATTGAGAGGTCATAAGAGGACACAAGGCCCTCCAGACTGGTCAGTTTATACAGCAGGTGATTAAGATCGCATTTCTTTCCTATGACAAAGTCCTTGTCCACTGGATAACTCATCCCCTACAATTTAACAATCAAATACAAGGTAATGCATTAAACAAGAGATTTGCATTTTTAGATGCAATGACCTGAGCTGTGAAAATTAAGATAATGAACATTTATAAATTGTGTCATGAATATATCAATACAAAAAAAGAACATACACCTTCTGTTACAAATACCATTGTTGGGGATTATTAAATACCACATTTTGTTATTATTTATCTGTGTCAGAAAGGCCTGAAAGGGAAACCCAAACTGGGAATAAGAAAACTTGAGATATATGTACATTTTTCAAACTCAGTGATCAAATAAAACACAAAAAATTATATCTGCAATTGAATCAAGTGGTAATGATTTATGGTAAAAATTCCTCCAAATTAAATCTTCTCATTTATGGCAATTAACTTATTTAAGAGACGGGAGCTTTCTTAGTGTTTCACTAAATCTTTACATTTTTAAACCCTTTCATTAGATTTATCCTCATTTTTCAAAATTTATAGTCACAAATTGTAAATTAAGACCCCCACATTTATCCATCACTTTACAATTTTTTTTTACTACTCCCTTTTTGCCCTTATCCATCAGAAAGAAGAGAAGTGAATACAGAAATGTCATCTACGAAAAGTGTAACAGAAACAATGTCTATCTGTGTTGAACTATTCTACTGAAATTTTTTGGGGATAAAATCATAATATGAAAAATCTGTGCAGAGAACATTTGCTACCACCTGAAGAAATGTTTCAATTTTTTGTAAAATTAAAAAGGTACAAAAGTAATATAATTTTATTAATAAGTGTGTAATAATTCATGCTACAGTTTTCTTTGATATAATTCTGTAAGCTTTCAAACATAAGATAACATATAATTCATTTGACATAAGTATGCATATTTTGTCTGAGTAAACAAGATTTGACTCTCACAGTCAACCCTACAGTTATGCCTCTTTAAACTAAGAAAACAAAAAGGGGAAATAACTATTTATACATAAAACAGTTTCAATAATGTTCTGGCCAATAGCAACTGAAGCCAAACTGGATTGGTATCTAAGAGGCATCATCCCTTCAAGATTGGTTTTGGTATGGTTCAGCATTACAGAGGAGAGGAACTATACTCCATAAACTTGAGAACCAGACCACATACTCTTCCAGATGATGTAGGTCATGGACAACTATTCAAAGCATTTAGGGTAAAAAAAACCCCACTCTTTCAGAAAATGTAGGTGTCAGGGACAACTATCCAGAGCATTTAGGGTAGTAAGTATCCCAAGCTACATCATCCATACAAGTCTGGACAAGCCTGAATAAATAGTTAACTTAATACATATAGTCACTGCAAATGCACTCATCCAGTGAAACACAGAATGTACGCTACATGTATTAATATAACTGACACCTCATTTAACTAACATTCACTATACTATGCTGGTAACTGAGCAACAGACAATTTTTAAATATATATTTTAATTAAGGTTCATTTTTTAAGTCCTTTAGACCTACCCTGTGAAGAAACTCTTGCATTAGACAAGATAAAACCAATCTGTTGGCAAAAAATTAAATAAACAGGCTGTACCTTTCACAAGAAGATATTCAACCACAAAATCCCTGAATTATAGAAATCCAAACAACCCCCCCCCCCCTTCAAAGAGAAAAAAAAAAATTATAATCATTTCACCAAACCTCATGATTTTAACTGGAATAGCCTTTATCTATAGTGACATAATGTGTTCAGAAACCTGAGTCTATAATATAGGTCTCTCATCATGGCTTACAAATTTAGGTATAATAATGCAAGGTATCAGTACATGTGTTAAACAAATTCGTACATACAGTCAAACTCTGTTATCTCTAACTCAAGGGGGCCAAGAAAAACTTCAAGATATCCAAGGATTCGAGATATTGAGGGTAAAATACTTAAAAAGTAAGTGGTTGGGACTTGCAAATCACTTCGACATATCCATGATATTTGAGTTATCAGTGTTTGAGATACCAAAGTTCAACTGTACAAAGTTTACATAAAAATCAACATATATACTTGTATAACGCATTTAGAAAACCATGCTGTTACCTTTTTACCATCCAATATAATCTATAAATCATGAAAAATCATGCACTATAAAACAATAAAAATCTGCTCAATGAATGCTACAATCAAGAGTTAATTATATATCTCTTCTTTACAATTTAAAAAAAAAACTTTTTAAGTTCCCTATATAATTATGAACAGCTGAAAGATGAATGAGTAAATACTGAAAGTTGCACTGATATCAGTGAATGAGAACCCCAGAATAAAAAGGGAATAATCTATGATTTTAAACAAGACACTCTAGTTTTACTCACTGGAGATTTTGCCAGAACTCCCTCGAGACAGACTTGACAGAAAAAATCAGGTTTGTCCAGATTGTTGAACAAGTCCAGAAGCTTTTTATAATTAACATATTCATGCAGGACAATTGTTTCACGCTCCAGGAATATCTCCACAAACTTCTCTCTCCCTCTCTTCAACAAAGCCTTATCAAACAGCTCTGGTGTAATCTGAAACAACAGACAATACACCTTAATGGCTAATCAAATGCTGTAAACTAACATTCCCCTCTGTGCAACTTATATTTGCAATATTAGTAGTACTTTAATTTTAAGCAACTTTTTAGTTAAAGGAAAGGACTTGCATGCAAATATCACTTTTAATCATCTTTACCTTGATGACTGTCCAATCATACTTCTCAAAAATCTGCGACTCTGCTAAATCAGGTCTATTCCAGTGTAAGGTCAGCATAAGGTCAGACTGGAATTGTTCTTGAAACTGATTTCCTGTCTTTGACCCTTGAGCTAAGAGAATATCAAACATCCAATTTAATGAGCAAAAGATTTCCATAACAATACATGTATTTCTTTTTTATTATTTATTTTTTCACATCTTGTGAACTGGTGCAAGAAGACGTTTCAACAAGCTAATTCATGGAATTTATGTCCCCCCGCTTTGGAACAAAATAAGAGGGTGAAATGTCGAAAAAAGAAAAAAAGGATTGACCTTGACCATTCACACCTTTTCAACTTAAAATCAATAGGGGTCTTTCTTTAATTAGATTCATCCCCTTAAGATTCATTGCAATAAATGATACAGAACTAACTTAAGTTTTCATCTGGAACCTTTTTATGCAATACATGGATATGAATATATGACCTTGGCCTTTGACTTCAAAATAAATTGGGATCTTTTTAAGTAATAGGAAGTAATGATAAAAAGATTTCATTGCAAAAGTTAAAAGAGAACTGAAGTTGTCCTCTGGAAAGCATTGTGCAATATCTGAATTTCTGACCTTGACATCTCAAAATCAATTGGAGTCTCCCTTCAGTTGTAGGAACTCAAAATTTTATTGCAAGAGGTTAAGGACATTTTGAGACATGATTTGAAAACTACTGTACACAGGTTATTTTAGCCTAATGTTATTTTCCCCCTATCACACTTGCAAACAGTTTTGCCTCATTTTAAATTCACCCAGACACAGTTGTGTTTAGGGGATGATGTTTTCTTTGAAATTGCCTCGTTTTAGATGCATACACTTGCAATGAGGGCAAAAGGGGAAAAAATGCAGGGCACACAAATATTCTGAGTGAGAGAGTTAAGTGCTTTTTGTGCAATAGTTCTCTCAGCTTATTGATATTCTTCTGCACCTTAATTATTTCATCAAAAATCAAAGACACAAAGTTTAAACTCACATTCAAACAAAGTGAGTAAGATGTACTTGTCCAAGTTCTTAAGTCCTGTGGGATCAGCATTTATATCCAAAATAGTCAAAAACCTCCCATTCTCCTACAGGATTAAATGTAAAAATAACTAGAAATATGTCCATAGGACATAAATGCCCCGCCGAGGGTATATTAGTAATGTAACATGAAAATTTGTATTAGTGTATGAAAGAGCAAGGTTCACTTTATGCATAAAATGGCTCTGTAGATATACCAATTTATTGACTAACACTTTATGTTCCATTTTTAACATCAAGATAAAGTAGAGTCTTAGTGCTTTCATTTCCTATTAAAAATTTTCTCCTTAAAGCCAAGGTCTTGGAAAACAGGCCTCATGGAATTGCAGTGTTTCTTGAATTTTAAGGAAAACAAGTATATTTTAGGACTTTCACAGAAGAGAAATAATATGAGCGCACCCTCTGATCTAAAAAATAAAACATGTTTTGTAATCCTCAGAAATAGTTCTATCATTTAATAGTTGCATATTTTAGATAACAGGTTGCGCTCTATATTAAATATCGAAAAATAGCTTTAAAAATTAGCTGTTTTTGTAGAATTTTTCAGGATATGAGGAAAATGACGCATTTCATAATGTCATTTTTGATAAATATGCAGTCATCAAAGGTCTAAATGATATTTAATGCAATGTCAACTAAAACCAAGCAGTTTCAGTTTTTCTGAAATTCCCAGGGCCAAAAAAGATGCTAAGTGAACCTTGTTCTTTGATGAGAATACCTTAAAAAGTTCCTTTAAAATTGAAATTGAAATCTAAAAAGTTTGATATAGATGATAAATTCTCACCAAATTATGTATAAGTGCATAAACTTACATAAATATATCTTAAATGGTTTCTTTAAAATTAAGCAAAATGCAAATCTAAGAAAAGTGAGGTCAAGGTCACAGGAATGTTCAAGGTCAAATGTTTCTGATGCAGTTGAATATTCACAAATACATATCAGCATATTTAAAGTTTGATAAAAATATTTTGAATAGTTTATTTAAAACTGAGCTAAACACTAATTTAAAATAAATGAAGTTAAGGTAAAAGGAAAGGTCAAGGTCAAAAAATGTTGATGCAGTTGAAAAGGTTACATCAGTATGTATTAGCATATGAAATTTGATAAAAATATTATGAATGTTTTCTTTAAAACTGAGTTAAACACAAATTGAGAAAAGTGAGGTCAAGGTCAAAGGAAAGGTCAAGGTAAAAAAATATTGATGCAGTTGAATAGCTTACAGAAGTATGTATCAGCATATGAAGTTTGACACTAATTTAAGATAAGTGAGGTCAAAGTCAAAGGAATGGTCAAGGTAAAAAAATTTTGATGCAGTTGAATAGCTCTCATCAGTATGTATTAACATATGAAGTTTGATAACACTGTATTGAATGGTGTCTTTAAAACTGGGCTAAACACTAATTTAAGTAAAGTGAGGTCAAGGGCAATGGAAATGGCAAGGTCAAAAATATTGATGCAGTTGAATAGCTCTCATCAGTATGTATTAGCATATGAAGTTTGATAAAAATATCTTGAAAGATTTCATTAAAACTGAGCTAAACACTAATTTAAAAAAGTGAGGTCAAGGTCAAAGGAAAGGTCAAGGTCAAAAAATGTTGATGCAGTTGAATAGCTTACATCAGTATGTATCAACATATGAAGTTTGATTACACTATCTTGAATAGTATCTTTAAAACTGAGCTAAACACTAATTTAAGAAAAGTGAAGTCAAGGTCAAATGAAAGGTCAAGGTCAAAAAATGCTGATGAAGTTGAATAGCTTACATCAGTATGTATCAACATATGAAGTTTGATTACACTATCTTGAATGGTATCTTTAAAACTGAGCTAAACACTAATTTAAGAAAAGTGAGGTCAAGGTCAAAGGAAAGGTCAAGGTCAAAAAAATGTTGATGCAGTAGCATAGCTCTCATCAATATCTATCAGCATATGAAGATTGATAAAAATATCTTGGACAGTTTCTTTGAAACTGAGCTTTGAACAAAGCTAAATGCAAAGCGTGACAGAAAGACAGACAGAAGGATGGAAGGATGGAAAACGGACATGACAAACACTATATGCCCCGGCCATATTCATGGCAGGGCATAAAAATATTTATGCAAAGCATTGAAAATGTATTGTATATTTCCATTTCATGCAAACAGTTCTGCTAACAATTTAGGGGCAAACCTGGTGGGCCAGATTGACACACTCCAATATTTTGTCCCTGCACTGATTCCGGGCCAACTCATTGTCCACAAAATCCTTTGGATAACAGTTCATCATTCTCTTGATTAACTCAGTTTTTACAAAAGACTCGTATTCATCACCTTGGCTATAAAAGAAATATATCATTATATGCAAAAAGAGACACACCTCTTTGTGAACTGACAAATTCATCATGTTTATATAAACAATGATGTACATGTACTCACTGGTGAATTTTTTCAAAGTACACAAATGCTATAAGATCAGCTCCAAGTCCAGTACCCTGTAGAACCAGAACGGGAACTTTTCTACGGAGAAGATCAACTACATGATCAATATCTAGTGGTCCACCTTGTATCAGGAGGCCCACCATGGGGGTACAGGTACTAGCAATCAGAGTTATCTTTTCTGGGATAGATCCTGCATCTGTAAAATCAAAATACATGTAATACCATTTAAATTATGAATACACATGTACATGAAAGGTTACAATACATGCATACATACATTATTATGTACATGTATATTGGGCTATTCTCCCGAGACAATTACCGAGGTATATTAATACACGTTTATAGTGAAGTCCTGGGGATCTGTGAATTTACTTCACTATATGCATAATTCGTTTTATTACATTTTCAACAGTGAAATACTGTAATTCATTTACTGAATCAAAGTGATATTTTTTCTCAGTGTACATGTTTTCCATCAAGTATGACTACTGCCTTAAGGGATCAAAGTATTAAATACAAAACTTATGTCAGAGAATTAAGTTTTTTGGTGAATTAAATTTCAAATATAAATACATGTATTGTGTTCAATATTTTAAAATTTTGGGATCTTTAAAATATATGTCATAATTGATGTAAATAATATTATTTATTAACCTCTACCCGACACAAATTCAATTCGCTATAAACATAAATTTGTTTCATCAAAATTCGTTAAATTGTGAAATTTTAAAAAGGAATTATTGAAAATTTTGCTGTCAACAAACAAAAAACAAAAAAAAAAAAAGAACAACAAAATATGCTACATGTCTATCCATAGAATCACTATATCCATGTTTGTACTACATGTAATAGAGTTTACTGTAAAATTATTTTTTTGTTATTGGACATGTAATTTTTTTGAGAGTCCTCTACATCATATGTAATTAAGAGTTACTAAAATTACTTAAAGTTTATTTTCAATTGAAATATTTCTTGTACAATAATATACAAGTATAGTCTTGCAAAGGAAATTTGACATCCACTGCTGTAGTGTAAAATATCATCCTAGCTTCACCAAAAACTTTTTGCGAACACTTCCTTTTGTGTAGCTTTTCCTCTAAACTGTAATGAAACATGTTGGCAATGTGGAAACAACCTTCACCCTGAATGGATATCCCAAGTCTCTTGCAATTAATAATTCAAAACAATGAGCTGCTACTTAAAAAGAAAAATTTGCAACCTACCAAGGGAGGGATCATACATTTTGACTTTTCTGTATCTCTTTCCCCTCCCTATAGGGGTCAGTAGTCTCTCCTCAATTCTGAGTCTAAAGTTCTCCAGCTCCTTCAGATCAGTGTTCTGGTCCATTATGATAAAATGAGAGTGTTCTCCATTCAACTCCATGGCTTCTTTGGTTCCCGTTTTTTTAAGTGAAATAATGGAATCATGCTGAAAAATTAAAAACAATACATTAATGTTGGTCCATGTTTGTAAAAATCTTCATTTGTTTAATACTATATATACATATAGAATTTTCTATATTTTTACTTTCAAAGATGTTTAAGTCATACTGACACATAAAGAGTTCCACAATGTAGGGTTCTTACATCATCAAACATTTCATTTTACATAGTTTAACAGACCACTCTGTATTTTAGAAAACGAGAGTCAGACAGTTATAATAATATAGCATTAAACACAAATTTATTTTTTCTACAATACAATTTCATACTAGCGGCATTCATCTACACAGAATTTTATTGAAGAAAAACACACAGTACTACAGAAAAATTGATCAGAAATAATAAAGATATTTTTAACTTACACCAAGATGTATACATACCATCACCCAAAACATTAACTAAAACTTACATTAATATTCAAAGTCAGTCAATTTCCATTGGGCTATATTTGTGCAAAATTTCATTTAAATCAGACAAAATAGGCTAGGAGGAAGCATTGTATTTTTGCAATAAAAATTTCTACAGATTGTTTAATTTTTTTTAGCAGTAGATAAAACAAATTTCTACAGATTGTTTAATTTTTTGGCAATAGATAAAATGCTATTTGATCAATAAAGCTATAATTTGTACCACAGTAATCACTTTTTGCATCTAATCTCAAAATACATAAATATCTTGGCCTTTGAGGTTTACTGACCCTCTGATAAGAGATATAACTCTGACTGAGATTAATGACTTTTATTACCTTGTAAATTAAATTATGAAGTAAAAAGGTCATTCGTGTAAAGTTTTACCCTGCACAAGGCATGCTGAAATTGTGTGCAATTTAATTATATATTAGATTTCTTTTGGAAAATCATTAGTTTTAGCAAAATTTTACACAAGGAAGAGAGGAACAATGAATCTTAAAGCTAGGTTGGTCTACAAATTATTTTTCCCCTAATTTTGTGCTTTGAAACAATCCCTCTAGGTCAACAAGTATTTTTTCTACAGCAGCAAATTGGAAGTCCATGGGAATTTAACATGACGAAAATAGCCACCACTTCAGACAGGGATCCATCATTATTCGTGCTTTTCCACTAACTGTTGTCAGTATCGAATGACACTGCAGATGATGGAACAAATTTAAAGGTGACACTCAGATGATCTCTGATAGGATTTATTTGCTTTCATAAAACAAGAAGCCCATGAGCCACATTTCTCCAATGCTCACCTGAGTAACTTTGGCCCTGCTGTTCCTTTTTTTCCCCCAATATACATATATTCCTGTGTTATATTTTGATCGCCTTTTGTGCCCCCACCCCTATATACAGAAGTGGGACTTGAACAAAAATGAATCTACACTAACAGAGGATGCTTCCATCCACATAAATATGATTAACCCCCCCCCCCCCCGAAACCATGATCTGAACAAGTTACAATATAAATTACCTCAAGAAGCTTTCACCTAAGTTTCATCTTTTCTGGGTTCTTGAGAAGATTTTTCCTAGGTATTTCAATTTAAAAATTTGATTCCCGGCCCCATCCTACCCCCAGGGACCATGATCTGAAAAATTTACAATCTTCACTACCTCAGAAAGCTTTCACATAAGTTCAAGCTTTTCTGATCTAGCAGTACTTGAGAAGAATTTTTTAAAAGATTTTTCCGAAATATTTCAAAGTAAAACTTTGATTTCCTTTTGTGGCCCCACCCTACCCCTGCAGACCATGATCTGAACAATTTTCAATATACACTACCTCAGGAAGATTTCACCTAAATTTCATCTTTTCTGGTCCAGTGGTACTTGAAAAGAAGATTTTTAAAGGATTTTTTCTACAGACTACAGACAGTGGGTAAGCTCTCGATCAGCTCAGATGAGCTAAATATGAAATCTATAAATGCTGTATATGGTAAATTCTGGACATGATTACTAACCATTCCCTCTGTTCCGGCCACACACTGAAGCTGTAGTTTGGGGACGATCCCCATCACTGTCAGTTTAGGCAGTTCCTCTACATCCTCTTTCTTGTGAAGCTTTACATAAGGGTCCCGAGCTCGTGACATCAGAATAGACCTCCTCTCTCTTTCAAAACGAACAGCATCTCCAACAATTTTAGCAATTCCTCCATCTACACCATTTGTCAACACCCACATATTGGTAGAGTTCATAGCCTGCAATACATTAAGAATTCATGATCAAATTTTTTACATCAATATAATATTTGATATATTGTTTTACAATGAATGAAAATCAAAAGCAATTTATCTAGTCTACTGTAAATGTGCAGTCAAAATTTCCCAAAATTCAACATAAAATGAACAAACAGGAATCCAAATGGTCAAAATGGGAATAAGATACCTAAGGGGGTGTATAATTATATATTAATGATATACTGTGATATAAATAATTTTCAAGGGGGGTAATTTTCTTTATTTTCGAGGTAAGAAGAGACCCACAAATTCATGTCCGCCAAGAAATGTAAAACTTCATAGACATCACTACTCACCACCTCTCCAATCACGAAATGAAATCTCTACAAACCAATATTTTTTCCTCAACCCTAAAAAATTTTATCCCAAGAAAATATGCAATTTTACAGTACATGAATTGGCAGATAAAAGTTGCTGGAAAGGTGCTTCAGTAAGATTAACGGTCCAGGAAATATTTTTACATGTATTTTTCTCTAACCATCTGATCTGAGATAAAGAAAGTCAATGGAGTTCATTAAAACAGTACTCCATTTTACTTTTTAAAACCTTTCTTTGTCATTCTGACCTGAATCAAACCATTCTGGAAATCTTCCACTTCCTGCTGATTTTTCCACTTCCTGAAATGACTGAAGCTGGAGATAACAGAGAGAATGATGTCTGGACTCCTCTTCTTCCACACTTCGGTGATGTATTTAGCCACATTGTCCAAGGAAGCGTCCTCTCCTACACGTACATAGTACCCAGTGTGACTCTACAACCCAATTATTTTAAATAACGTGTTCATCTCAAAAAGGTAGTGAGATAGTGTCAATTTTTTGTGTTGCAAAATAATGCCATGTTGACACACACACACACACCTATATAAAATCAAATTGCTTTTACTTATATATACTGTAGATCACCAAATTTTAGTGACACCTTATTTTCCATCTGGCATCTTCGCTTAGCATGCGTTCTTTATCTGACAGATAAAGATTTGGCTCTAGATATTTAGCAACAAGCAAGATAATTAACCCTGGGGATTTACTGCCATTTTATTCAAGGTTTACAATTAGAAAATTTTCAGCAATTATTATAACAGAATGAGTTTATTATCCAACTATGAGGGTTGTTCGGAAAGTTCTTGGACTACCATCATAACTTTTTTACTTAACGTCATATTATATCCAAATTTGGAAGAAATATATAAAAACATTGAAATGTTATAGTAACGTCATGCTAAGAGTTTTGCGTTTCACAGATGTTGATTTGTGAAAGCACACTTCTGCAGTGAAAAAAAATATAACATTGACAAACAAAATGATGCTACTGGAACAATTGTTAGCAAAATAGATTTCAAGTGATAGAGAAACATTTTAATGAGTGCACTGGTATTGGGCAATACTGTGTGAAATGTACAGGGATAGTATTTTTGAAAACCTAATGTCGGTATGTTTTTGACAGTACAGTGTTGTTGAGTTTGCTCCGTGGTTACAAAATGTGTTGATTTTGAAATTAAATAACATGAATTCTATTAAACCACATGGAATGAAACTTCACACTGAAACAAAATAAATATTTTTATATATGATAATGTGCTCAATTTAAATTTCTTGAAGATAGTACAAGGAAGATTAGCATAGTCCACGAACTTTCCGAACAACCCTCGTACATGTATACCTGTCAAAAAATAATAATATCCTTGTATTTACATAAGACAGTAATAAAAATATATGTCTTCAATATTATACATTCATTTTTGTTTCACAATCACTTAAAATTAAAATTCAATTAAATGTGCATTTGATGAAGAGTAAAGTATGCATTTTGACCATAGCAATTGACCTTAACTTCAAAACAAACATCTCTTGCAGACAGAAGTGTTTATTAATCTTAATATAACAAGATTTTGCTCTGGATTTTCGTCAGCAAGCAAGAAAATTAACCCCAGGAGCAAAGTGTCTAAAACAACCTTCTCTTCCAAGTCACTGAGACATAACTTCTTGTTTCTCTACATCAACTTTGACAAACTGACCTTTTCCTCTGTGGATCCATCATAAAGGAACTTGATTATTCCCCCTGTAAGTTTGGAGGTTTGTAACCAGTCAAGGTCATCTGCCGAGTCTGTACTGACGTAAGATGCCACACTAGACACAGTGACATACCGTGGGTCCACTTCAATATCAGGATATTCTTCTAGATTTTCTTCCATGTCAAGTCTACAATTTGACATAAACATGATTAAGATTTGCATTAATTAAAGGTATAAAGTGGCTATTCTAGTCTCTTAATCCATTTTCAAAATCACTGTTTAAAATGATTTATCATATAAATATCTAAATCTGAATAACCAGTTTTTAAAGATATTTTTTTATTAGAAGTAAAGTTTTCAATTAGTATGTATGTGTAAAGTAATAGTTAAATAGCTATACTGTTGGCAGCTCTGACCAGTGGACCGGCCTTTACCTTGGGCTGTAATGCCAGAGATTCATGGTTCAAATTCTTATCTTACATTCTTACCGTAAGTATGTTGTAAGTTGTTTATTTATGTGATGTGGTGGTCAAATGAACAACTTATAGTAAGTACAATGTGCATGTGTACAGTAAAACTCGGTTATAACAAAGTCACTGGGACCTGTGAAATTACTTCACTATATACGTAATTCGTTATATCCGTATAAGAAATTCGTTAAATTTATATAGCTGGGGATCCAAGAAAAATTCGCTATATCCATGAATTCGCTATATCCGTGTTCGTACTACATGAGTTTTACTGTATATGACATCAATCTCTCTTGTGCATTTCATACCAATGACCAAAATTTATTTTCTTAGAAAAATCATATCATTCAGGCCTTTCAAAATCTGCGAGTACCTGGTACTTTTACCAAGCTGAAGTCATAACTGTACCAGCCAAAATATTTGATGAAGAAAAATTCAATAACATATTCAATTAAAATTGCTTCCACAAGGTACCTCCAATTTTTTTAAAAGTACCACGTTTCTAATCGTTTTGAAAGCCATGGATTATCATACTTCTTTGTTTCAAGTTGTGTTATTCAATCTAGCTAAAATGATTCAAAAATGAGGATACTTTTATGCTAAATGACGTTTTAAGAAAAAAGTCAAGTATGTTTGATATCGTTTAAAAATGCATGTTTGAGCGCTAACATGTGAGATAGACTAGCTGATTTAGATAAATATTATGACTGAGACATTAGTCACATGCAGGTTCAATCGCCGGCAAGTGGCCAGATAGCTCGATTGGAAGAGCACCTGACAAGAGATTCAGGGGGCCCAAGTCCAGTTCCTGGACTGATCTGTCACATTTTTCTCCTTTCCGGTTTAACTTATTAGGTAGACAGAAGCCTCGGCCAAACAACACCTCAACCTGTCACGTCTGACTCCTTGGTCCAAGATTATTGACATGTCAACCCATATGACAGGCACCTAGGCCCAAGCAAAATTTTATTATAGAAAAAAATAGTTCATCTGAATTGATATTATTGACGTAATCATTCTTTCTGATGATTCATGATATTTATTAAGATATAAAGAAGAAAATATGCAATGAATGTAAGTATTCTTAATTACTGTCTCACAATTAAGCCTGCTCATAATTAACCCCTCGTCGTCACCAATGTGACACACACTTGAGACTCCAAAGGATGTGCCATGGCATCTTGTTTGTTTATCAGTTAGCACTTTCATTAATTGTCTTCACCTCCTTGATAATCGTAAATGTGCTTGTGGAAGGTGTTTTTTTATAATTTAAACAAAAAATTAAAACCTTAATCATGTCCTTTTTTATAATCAAATTTTTATTCAAGTTGGAAATTGAAAATAAATTTGAAATATACTGTAGTATGGAAAGGAGGAATGAGTTAATATACATTGAAAATTCATAAATATATATATATAATGAAAAACATATGGCTGGACTTGGAATCGAACCCGGGACCCCTTCCTTAATAGTCAGGTGCTCTAACCACTGAGCTATCCAGGCCGATGTCCTCAGTCCAGCCTAAATTCCTACATTCCTCCCTCCTTAAATAGTCTTCGCCCCCGAAGACAACACAAGTTCACCTTGTCAGGACTTAACATTAATTACATATACATATTATATTGCCTGAACAAGGTAGGCCACGGCACCATCTGTAGTATGGAAAGGAGGAATGAGTTAATAAACATAGAAAATTCATAAATATATATATAATGAAAAACATATGGCTGGACCGGGAATCGAACCCGGGACCCCTGCATTACTAGTCAGGTGCTCTCACTGAGCTATCCAGGCCGATGTCCTCAGTCCAGCCTAAATTCCTACAATACACTTCCTAACAAAATTTTGCTTGGGCCGAGGTGTCTTATATATGGGTCGACCTGTCCTAAATCTTAGGTCAACCCATCTAAGCCGAGGTGTCATTGGGTCTAAATGTCTAAATGTCAATGGGTCGAGTTGTCGTTGGGCCGAAGTGTCTGGCATTCCATTATTATTGCTAAGAAAATCAAGCTTCGTGCATCTTACCCAATAACGAAAGCAACACAGGCATTCAAAAAGACAGATTTACAGATTGAACAGCACCATACCTGTTTGCTGCATCGCTACCTTTTGAAATAACACTAGGAAATCATGTTCATCAATACTGACGGGTTGGCTGCATCAGTCTGTCTGTTGCATTGAATAAATTGAGCAGATTCGGTAATCAGTTTCTTACACTGCACCGGCTGATATCTTTACAAATACAATTAAATACGTTCACTTACCAGTAAAACCGAACTGTTTTCATTAATGTCTACAAAATATGTGATGCTTTATCCTTGTCATGTTATGCAAATTCCCAAAAGCAATTTATTTGGTGTCAATCAGAAAATCTCTGTCAATAATCCATCTGCCTTTCATTATTGATGAATACCGTGCCCGATCCAATATGGTATATGATTTTAAAAAAAATACGCTGACAGTATATGAGGGTTATTCAGTAAAGAGCATCTGAAAACAAAAACCGTGATTAGCATGATTAGTGGACAGTACTGAAAGACTATAGGCGTACAATTTAGCTTGCATGCAATTAATACTTCTATAGTGTATGGGAAAAAAGATGGTTCGCGCTTTATCAAGACCCAAAAGGGTTTTCGTTCGAAAAAGAACATTTTGACCAATAAAATCCTTCAATTACCCAAGTAAAGGTGATTTTGAATTTATTTTTAGGTAGCTGAATTTAAAAATATTTCAAGAATAGATTGAGCGGGGAACCACATACAAAGCTTAATTTTAAAACTTTGTGGAAAATGGTCAATTTTGCGGCTTACTTTACTTCGACTATATGCATTGTATTTCATGTATTAAAAAAAACAAAAACAACAAACAAACAAAAAACAATAGACAACAACAATGAAGTACAAGATATAATAAATTCAATTTTCTATTAATCTACAGGACTTAATTCTCACGCTAGAGACTGACAAAATCTACGAAACAACCTAACTCCCAAACCCCAATATGCGCACAAAAAATAACTAAGGAAAAAAAACACAAACGTATAAGGGTTCTCAATTTGTGGAAAACAACCTTTTATAACATAATTTAATTGCAAACAGACTGGAAAATAGTGAAGTTTCCAACAAAGATTGATTTACTACATGATCTGGATATTAATAAAACATCCAATACCCGAAGCTGATTGTATTCAAAGGAGTTCATTCATTCTTTATTTCCTCCATATGGAGATATATGAAATATAAATGGACATACAATTAAATAAATATCACAAACATTACATTTAAATAGACAAAAACATATAAAATGAATATAGAAAAACAAATTTACATATTTACAAAACCCTTTAAGGGGCCCGGGAGAGTGGAATTAACGGAAAAAGAAAATAATAATAAGAGGGGGAAAACGGAGAAGAAAAAAAAAAAGGAAAAAAAAGGGAACAAAAAAAGGAAAAAGGGTATCATGGTGTGAAAATTGGGTCAAATTAACGGCAGGACATAGAAAAAGAAAGCTATACAAGGTACTAAATTCACTACTATTATTCCAGCATCGTCTGTAACATCAAAAGACGGAATTTTAACCTTATCATAGTTAATGACCTACGAAAAGAAACCAGGTTTGACCAAAACAAAACCAAAAAACAAAAAACAAAACAACAACAACAAAAAGCAAAAAATTAAAAAACAAAACAAAAAACAAAAAATAAAATAAAAATACAAAAACAAACCAAAAAAAAAAAACAAAAAAAAAAACGAACAAATAAATAAAAAAAAAAAAACAAGCAAAAAAAACTACAAAAACAACAAGAACAACAAACAAACAAACAAAACAAAAAAAAGGGGCAGCGAATTGAACCGCGTAACAAAGAAAGTATAAAAAAAATTAACTAAAGAAAAAAAAAATGCTGCAAGTAAAACAATCATCGACAACAAACCAACCAACACGCACAAAAAACAAAACAAAACAGAAAAAAAAGAAAAAAAAAGAACAAACAAAACACACACACCCCTTAATAAAACCAAAACAAACAAACAAAATTAAAATATGAAGAAAAAAATACATGCAGAAAAGACGTACAGGGAACGAATTTTCAAATCTGCATAGATCTGTATAATAGAGCGGGTATGATTTTTTAATAAACGTTTATATTCTACGTTATTTTTTAGAATTTCCACATAGAATACATTAACGTGTGCTAGAAGAATAATTTATGAAAGAAGACAAATAAAAATATCCTTGGACCCGCGGAGCATAGGAAGGGGGGGGGGGGGGACTTGTCCACAAGCGCATGTGGACTGACAACACGTTTTATCGGAAAAATGGACTTCTTAGCGGAAAATTTGTGGACATTTTAGCGGAAGATTTACTGGGCATTTAAAATAGGATATGGGCATTTTAGGAGATATAGTAGAAACAAAATATTTCTGCACCATGTCACACACGGGCATAATAAAGAGATAAATTAACATGAATTAACACTTGAAATGTATGTTATGCAAAATATTTTTTTGAAAGGTTATTATGCTTTAGGTTCTCCATCAATGAGTAACATGCTGTCAAAATATTGAAAACATCCATGGAGAAGTCTGAGTATGTTTCACGGGGCAAGACTACTCCTTACATAGAGATTTTATTTCCATCAAGATTTTTGTTAATCATGTTGGAATACTCCACTGTATTTATTTTTCATGCAGCTTTCCGAATGAATGGTTCGCCCGTGCACTGTGGAGTCTTATTACGTTCCAGATTCAGAGAAAATTTACAGAAATATCTTTACATGTCAACAGATTTTTTTTGGGGGGAGGGGGGGGGGGCTCTCGGTGATAGCAAATTACTACATGTAAGATAAAAAACAACAAAAAACAAATAACAATTGCTGAATTAATCCGGTTGAACTTCGGTATCTCGAACACGGTCATCTCGAATACTATGAATACAGGGGGTCGAAGTGATTTTAACTTCCCAACTTACTCTTCAAGTATTTTACCCTCAATATCTCGAATCATCGGTTATCTTGAAGTTTTTTTTTCTCTGTCCCATCGAGTTCGAAATTTGACTCTGTATAATTGTTCAATACCAACAGCATATATAACAATGGAAACATTAGTATATTATAGTATAAAGGTATTTATAAGCTTTGAATTCCCTTGAATGTCTTCGGTGCAGTATGTGCAATAGTCACATCAACAGTCTGTCAACATCCCCCAGATACTCTCAAAAACAGACATTAAATATTTATCAAATGTAAAATACATATTGGTCACAAGCAAGTACCGCTGGTAAGATACATGTAGTTTGCGTAAATGTTTCTTTCTATTTATATTTCTATGTAATATTTTAACCTCCTAGCCCTGGAAGTTTTGATTTGAACAACCTTGAATCCCTTGGGGATTCTTGCACACCAAATTAACTACACCGTACCTCTTGAGAACGATTTTAGAAGCTTTATTTCCACAATCCCTCAGTTAAAACTTAAACCTCCATCGTGGTCCCACCTTGCTTTGGAAGAATGTAGGAATGCTTGAATTTTGGACATCTCGAAGTTTTTTTCTCAGTCCCATGGAGTTAAGGACATACGCAACGTGCTTACCTACCGATAATTTTTCAAGATATTCATAATTTAAGATTACAGTGCCATTAGATGTTCGTATAAAAAAATCAGCATGCATTACCAAGGGGTTTGAAAATATATCAATTGATGAAAATTTTTGTATAATTCAAAGAAAAATATACAACAAGAAGTCTGTGAGCGAATGCTCACTAATAATACCCCCGCTCTGATGTGAATATACGGTTACCCTCTTATGTTGACATCGAATTCATACAAAAATGAATCCCACCATCTGGCATGCCTAAACAAAGATAGTGCTAAAATTTCAAGCATCTTCAATGAGTAGTTGCAGAGAAAAAACTGTGACAGAAATTTGTTACAGACAGATGCACGGATAAACAGGAAGTTGACGTCAGATTTAAACAAAAATGAATCCCACCATATAACCTGCGTAAACAAAGAGTGTGCTAAAATTTCAAGCATCTGTGATGAGTAGTCGCTGAGAAAACTGCAACGAAAAAAACGAATTTAAAACAAAAAACATGTTCAATATCTAAACGCGTATAGATTTTAAATACATTTAGACATAAGTGTTTTGTTGATAAACACAATATCAAACACGTTTAGATCTAAACACGTAATGAAAGTGTTTATTTTCTAAGCACATTTTTTACAGTGCAAAATTTGTGTTATGTATGGTACAGACAGACGCACGGATTAACAGGAAGTTGACATCGGATTTGAACAAAAATGAATCCGACCATATGCATGCCTAAACAAAGATTGTGCTAAAATTTCAAGCATCTGTGATGAGTAGTTGCTGAGAAAACTGCGACCAAAATTTGTGTTAGTATGGTACGGACAGACGCACAGATAAACAGGAAGTTGACATCAGATTTGAACAAAAATGAATCCGACCATATGGCATGCCTAAACCAAGATTGTGCTAAAATTTTAAGGAACTGTGATGAGTAGTTGCTGAGAAAACTGTGACGAAAATTTGTTACGGACAGACACACAGACAGACAGACACACAAGGGTAAAACAGTATACCCCCCTCTCATTCGGAGCGGGGGTATAAAAATTACTAGACATATATTCTAAATCTTTTGTTTATCCAAACTTGTTTTAGAGGAAATTTACAACAGCATATATAGACATTAAGATGTAGCACACAGCTCCTTTAAGTATCGGAACTCTTCAATTTCAGGGAAAAAGACAATAAAGTTCAAACTATGTGCGTATGTCCTTAAAGGTAAGGAAGTTTGACTGTATATCAATGTCAGAGTTCTGATGCTCTTGAGCTTGATGTTGACTTATTGTTCCCCCAAAGTCTTCATGTAAAACTTGCCCCCCCCCCCCCCCCCAATATGCCACGTTCTCATTCATTTCATCTCAATGCTTTAATTTAAGGAATACATGTCTATTTTTTGTATAACTGACTTGTGACTGAGCACAGGAAAACTGTGGATGAAATATAATGTACTTCCTATCATAATTAAACACACCAAAAAGTTGACAGTTTTTCATTAAAGTTACATTTTTTTCCCCTCAGTTATGTTAGCTAGATTATATCTCTACTCTAAATAACGATAAGCAGTGAAATATGATTAAAGTGAATCCACTTCAAGTGTATACCTGCTTATAACAGTCGTAATTTGTTCTCAAGTAGTTTAAAGAACAATCAACTGATATAATAATTTTTGACTAGAAATTGACTGAATATATGACAATGTGAGGATACAACAGTGATCTGGTTATCCCTTGCAATTTAAATGCAATGAAATTTTTTTACCCCCCCCCCCTTCAGTTTTACCTTCTTATCGATTTATTTATTTACTGAATTTCTTAACCCTTCTTGAAAAATTCAAATGAATGGAAATCAACTTTCACTCATTTGGACAATAATAGAGGATAAAAAAATCTCCCAATTTAATTTAAGTATACATGTATATAGCTTTTATTTAAAGAAAGATCTTTCTTAATTATTTCTTTATTGTTTCCATTTCTTAACTCTTCCCATTTTATCTTGATATTTGTATGACTTGATATTAATGAATGAAAAAAGAACAGCTAAGAAAGCGACATTAGTATATTTATTTAACCTAAGTCCCTCATTTACCTTCAATCATATACAGTACTGTATATCTAACAACATGCATCTATTAATATACTGCTTCAACAAACCATACCATAAACAGGAGAGTATTGAATTAATTAAATACATAATCTAAACTACTTAATCCATTTTGATGGATTTCTTAAGTTCTAATACAATGGTTGCTTTGCTAGTTCTAATCCTCAAGTTTTAGTCTCTTGCAATCTACAAAAAATCAAATGAGCACTGGATATCAAATACATGTAAATTGGATATTATCTTGTAAAAACAAAAACACTGTAAATCTGTATGATGCATATTCAAACTCTACAACTCTTGATGTATGTGTTTGCTTGTTTTAAATTTATCTTTGGAACAAAGTCAACGGATTTCTTTAAATTGTAGCTATGGTGGAAACTTACAACATGGAAACATAAGTACTCTGTGCCAAGTTCGATTGAAATTGGCCCAGTGGCTCTGGAGAAGTAGATGAAATTGTATTAAGTTTTAAAACAATAAGGACAAAAACGATGATGACAGAAAGCTTACTTTAGTCTTTGACTCAGGTAAGCTAAAACTACAAAACATCCAGTATTTTACATTGTTCGCATAAGGTAAATCAGGAAAAGGTCACATATTAAATTTAAGACAAGATACAGTAAAGAACCTCAAATCAGCATTACATGTACTTGATCATGCTTTACAATGTTTTGCCTATAATTCTTGAGAAGACGTTTTCAAATATATTTTTAGAATATCATAAAAGTTTGGCAGTTTAATTTCTAGCCAAGTAGTTTTTGAGAAGATATTTTTAAACGAAATTTTTCATTTCAGTGTAATTCTTTGTTGGGCCAAGGTTTGTCCAAATTTCACCATCTAAAGATGTTTCCACATGGTTGTTCAGTTACATAAGTTTACACAGTAACCTATGGACTTGAGCAGATAGCAAGAATTCATCTGACCTGTGTGACTCAAGCGAATTAAAACGTTTACACAACCAGAACAAATTGCAAAAGCATAAGCTCACTAAAGCCTTGGGCTCAGAGAAGCTCAAAAGGTTTAATAAAAAATAATTTGACAACAAGCCAAGTATTGACTATTCTCTACATTTTCATCTGTCTCACAAAAATTAACTGTGATCTAATATCGTAATTGAAAAAATCAGAAATACTGTTAAAACAAAATGAATTTTAAGAGACACATTAATATTCATACAAACTCTATCATGCGATGTTTTTTTTAAAATTATGATTAAACTGGCAAGATTACACAAAAAATATTGTAGTCTTAAAAATATAAATTGAGCAATGAATGACAAATTACAATCGATGTAAATTTTTCTGGTTTGTACACTATCTAGCTACTTAACTACAACCTGTATTGCTCATTTAAAAATTCTTAGACTAGCTTCATACTACAGGAATAAAAAAAATTAAAAGGTTAAGTTTGCTTCACCATTAAATTACAAAAAAAATATCAGACTCTACAACCAAGAACTACAGCAGATTTGCATTTCATTCTCTTTATCGGTTAGCATTTCTACCCCCATGAGCTACTGATAAATGCTTGTTCAATACTGCTGATATCACAAATCATTATGAACTCAAATGATTTTCTTTTTCTTACCCTTATGTACTGTAAAATCATATATTTTTGTGGCATCAAATTTTCATGGTTTTAGAAAAAAAATATTGGTTCCTAGAGATTCGATTTCGTGGATGAAGAACTGTTTAGTAGTTGTGTATATTAAATTTCATCCCTCGAAAACAACAAAAATTACCCCCCCCCCCCCCACGAAAATTAGTGATTTCACAGTATGTTGTTTGGTGGCAGCAATGCCATATCTATCGTTAATTTACAGACTGTTTTTATGTTATTTTATACCCTGAATTATAAACTTACGATGAAATGAAGTCTTTCTGATTTACATTCTACAACCTATTTTACCAACTCCTACTACAAAGTAAATTCTAGCCTGACTGTATCCTTAAATCAATATTTCTTTGATTATATCCAATACTGTCTCATATCTCTCAGAGTTGCAGTGACATACTGGCCTAAAACACAACAAACTAAACTTACATCTGCCAGAGGACATGAAGTTAGTAATCCTACCAAACTATAATATCAATAAAATGAATGGCACCTTAAAGTTTACAAGTAACTGATAAAATAATAAACAGTAAATGATAAAATAATGTACACATGAAAGTATAAAAATATATACAGAGGTAACTATACAAACCTAAAAGTCATCTGTGTAAAATGGCACAGCATAGAATTTTGAAATAAAAAAAGAAAGTAAAAATGCACCATAAAGTAATCTGCCAACACCAAAAGTGTGTATACAGCATTTAAAATAAAAATAAATGTAATTGTAAAATAACAAATATAAAGAAAAAAATATAATAAAATAATATGGGAAAAATATACATATGACAGCAACAAAAATTTTATTTCTTTTATGAACATTGCACTAAGAATCTACAACCATGAACTTGATGACTAAGGCTTTAACTGGACAGATAAATATGTAGGTGTGTGTAAGTGAGCAAACTTTAATAATAGGCGCCATGGTTACGGGCTGCTTCTTGTACGATTAAATTTTGGTTTCCTGGTAGTCTAAGATAAGATGACACTTCTTTCCATTTTTTCTCTTTCTGCAAAATAAATAAATACAAACACTTAATTATGGGGTAACTCCCCAATTTAAAAAAAAAAACTTCATGGAAGCCTTTAGAAGATACTGGTAAATGAATGAAACTCATAAAATGAAAAGAATCACAGTACTCATTTTTACTGAATATAACAATAACTATTATGACAAGCAAATTCCGAAAATTGTGGTTGTATTGATTGGGGTGCAATTATTTATGGCATGTTGTAACTGTTTTGTCTGTCCTGGGTTGTCTGTCCATCATGCAAAAAAAAAAACATAGGTATTCACAGATTACGAAGCTCACCTCGACGAATATTATCTATAAGTAATGCAAATTTCACATCATATTTTTTTTCCAGTTAGTGTACATCCAAAGATCAATATCCATGCAAGTTTGATTTAAGTAGGACTTACAGTTACTTGGAAATAGACCTGCTCAAAAACTTTTAACCTGTTTACTACTCAAGAAAATTTTGGTCAGTTCCAAAATCCAAAGCAAGTCTGGAAGTTTTCATCCTTAGATGCACCATCTATACAAAGTTTATCATAACAGGCCATAATATTATATAGCTACTCCAAAAAATTATCTTGGTCACTCATCTGGAAAATGTAGGTCAGATTCAGAATCCAAAGCAAGTCTGGAAGTATCCATCCCTAGATACACCATCCATGCTAATTTGGTTAAAATATGGCTAAAATTCACTCATTTGGAAAATCTAGGTTAGATCCAGCATCTGAAGCAGGTGAGTTACTGCACATCCCTAGATGCATCATCCATGAAAGTTTGGTCTAGGTAGGGCTTATAGTTACTTGGGAACAGACCTGCTCCAAAAACTTTAACCTGGTCACTCATGTGGAAAATCTAGGTCAGATCCAGCATCCGAAGCAAGTGTGGTAGTGTCCATCCCTAGATGCATCATCCATGCAAGTTTGGTCTAGGTAGGGCTTATAGTTACTTGGAAATGGACCTGCTTCAAAAACTTTAACCTGGTCACTCATGTGGAAAATCTAGTTCAGATCCAGCATCCGAAGCAAGTGTGGTAGTGTCCATCCCTAGATGTCTCATCCATAAAAAATATTTTCTGGTACAAAAATTATGGTATTCTTCAAGTCAAACTGATTTAGGTCACAAGATCAAAGTCATTTTACATTTGGAAATATCTCTTCACAAGTCATGCACACGAAAAAATATGAAAGGCCTTCTCTTCTAGTGCAAAATTTATGGCTAAGGTTATGAGGTCAAAAATCATCATGCATTAGAAAAGGCCTTGTCATAGGTTATGCACATGTAAAAATATCAAACCCTGTCTCTTCTGTGCAAAAGGTACAGACAAAGTCGATTTATTTTGAAAAATAGGTCAAACTTCAGGGTCATAAAGTCAAAAGTGATAGTACTCCTTGAAAGAAGTTGTCACAGGTAACATACATGTGAAATATGAAAGCCCTATCTTCTCTCGTTCAAAAGCATTTACCAATGTTAAAATTTTGAAAAGTAGGTTAACCTTCAAGGTCAAGGTAATGAGGTTAAAAAAAACCCCAAAGTACATCTGGAAAGATGTTGTTACAGTTGAGGTACATGTGAAATATGAAAGCTGCTTCTTCTCTCCGTCAAAAGTCATTACCAATATTAAACTGTTTGAAAAGTAGGTCAAACTTCAAAGTCAAAAATTATACATGTAGTACATTTAGAAAAGTCTTGTCACTGGAAATGCACATGTGAAATATGAAAGCCCTTTTGTTTCTCATTCAAAATTTATTACCAAGTATAAATATTTTAAAAGTAATTCAAACTTCGAATCAAGGTTACAGGGTAAAAATTAAACTACCGGTATAGTATATTTGAAAAGGTCTTGCCAAAGACAATACACATGTGAATTGTGAAATATGAAAGCCCTATCTTCTCTCATTCAAAAGTTATGACCAAGGTTAAAGTTTTCATAACAAACAGACATATGGACAGGCAAATCAAATTTAATGAAAGTGGGTGGCAAAAATTGTTCAACTCAGCCCTTTTTCCAATAATGTTTGGACCAATAATTATGTAGTGTTGTACATACATCTTTAATCTTTAGGTCAAGGTTATCTGGAACATGGTAGTGTATGTTCCAGACCTCAGCCTCTCTCCAGGCATTGTCAGTGTTACACGGATCATCCATGTAGCCCTTGTATATTATCCCAGAGGTAAATCCAGTGAAGGGTCCTGGATGGGGCTCCACAAATTGTTCAAAGAACTGAAAAACCAAGAAAAATTTGCTTAAAATTCATTCAAGAAATGAAACAAGGAAACTAGATATGGGTTAATGCACTAATGTGTATGCCTGTCCTTCAAATTTTCTAATTTGTATTACTTTTAAGCTTAGATTAAATAGGGGTATCTTGATGTACTTGCTAAAAACTAATAACATTCTCAAAGATCAAAGTCATTGAAACTAATGTACTTTACTCTGAGTAGCAATAGTTGAGAAAAAATGCGTCTTTGACGTAACACAAGAACCTGAGGAAAAATGAAACATTTGTGTCTTCCTTCATCAAAAGGGAGACAAAATTCTAAGTTAGATGTACTACTACTGAGAAATCACTTATTTTCATGGGGGTTTAATTTTTGCTGTTTTTGAGGTATGAAGAGACCCATGAATTCAAGTTCACCATAAAATGTAAAATATCATATACATAACTACTCAACAATTCTTAAACTGTGAAATCCCCCCCCCCCCCCAAATTTGACCCCACAAAAATATGTAATTTTACTAGGGATGTCAACGAATATTTGAACATTTGAATATTCATTCGATGAGTTGATATTCGAATATGAATTTAAGATTCAAATATTCGGTGTTTTTCAGATTTCACAAAAAAATAATAAATTATAATAAGAACAATGCTGGAATTATCCCCATTTTATTTACTAGTGATCCCCTGATTTCTTTCACTACTTTCTTACCTTATAGATCTTCTAAATTATTTCATTTTGAGTAAGTATAAAAGAAATAAACAAGCATAATTAATGTATACAAAATAAGTACTTTCAATAGTTTAATATGATCGGATCTAGAATCGAGGACAATGAAATGAAACCCTTCTTGAATGTCTAAAAGACGTGAAGAGTGTACTTATGAAATCAAATTTAATGATCATTTAAATACACCTTCTATAGAATCAGCCTGTAATATTGTAAAGCGCTCAATTTCAGAATAATACATCAATTACTTGATTATCTCTGGATGAATATATTCCTAAACCTTAAAATCATTATCGGGAAATTAATGACCTAGGACAATTGTCTATGGAAGTGTTTGTTTATATTTTCAAAACATTGTATCAAACATTATATTACATCTCTTATTAATCAGATAATTGTACTTAATTATGTGTATTTAAAACTGAAGAATTAACGACAATCTTTCCCCTGGTTAGATTACTGGTTCTTCAGTTTGAGCTTGTATACATATCATTTGTTAAAATTATATTTCAGTGGTATACACTTAAATCAATTATTAATTTTAAACATTGACAAATATCAAATGTAGAATTCCTTATAGTATACCTACAAAAGTCTACATCCAATTTTACTTCCAAATACCGACGCAACACCTACCATGAGAGTTTGATGATGTGCATTTGAAATAAACCAGATTTCATTTATTTTGTTGAATATTCGAATACATTCGAATACTTTCATTGAATATTCGAATATGAATTATTGTCAAAATTGACATCCCTAAATTTTACAGTATATTTATTGATTGCACTGGTATTGATACACTTTCATTACTGCACCTGAATCATTTGTTGTTCTGTCATGTTAGGGTCAAGCTTAGCATCAGACTCCTGGAATATGTTCTCTAAAAACTTCCTACAAACAGCTGAGTAGAGAGACATGCCACCATACTCCTTCCCCTACAGAAAATAATAAAGTGAAATATTGACATATTGTCATATTATTTCTAATTACAGTGCTCATGTTTCATTCCAAATTAAACAGATTTAATAACATCTATGTTTGTAAGTGAAATCTTAAGATGTACATAACCTGGTATTTGTAAATGTTAGGAATGATTCTATCGGTACATAATGAATTGAACTAGAGTTGTCCTAAAAGGACCATAATTCCTTGCAGGGGCACAATCAAAGATTGCATCTCTGTTAATACACACAGATCCACCACATCTGCAAGTTTGGTTTGGATAACCTTTTTGAAAAGACAGAAAGTGACCTAAATGCTGATTTCAACCTTTCATCTTCAAAAATAAAGAGAGACAGACAGACTACACAGCTGGACAGTCACATTGACTTTAGAATAACCTACCCCCTCCCCACAAGCAACTTTGTAAAATATGTAATAAACAACAGAATCTAAAATGAAAGTGAAAGTTTGATATTCAGGCTTTTCATGCCATAGAATTAAGACAAGAGGACCATAAGCCACAATGCTCACCTGAGTCACTATGGCCCTGCTGTTCTTCATCAGCTGGGATCCCTATATCACTAGTCAGATGCTCTAATCACTAAGCTACCCAGGCAGATATCCACTGTTCAAAGTACCAAGGTACTGAATTCCTCCCTCAATAAACAGTGTCTTCAACCTCAAAGACACAAAACAATGCGTTCTTGCCAGGAATGACCAATTTACACGTATTAACATGAACAAGACCCCCGGCACTGGGAACCAAATGTAGCATAAAATGAGGAATGAATAAAGAAAATATATGGCTGGACCAGGAAGCAAACCCAGGACCCCTTTAATCACTAGTCAGGTACTCTAACCACTGAGCTATCCAGGCCAATATCCATGGTCCATATAGCCCAAACCACTACATATACAATGTAATCTGAACATCTCATCAAACTTACACTAGGCAGACTGAGCTCCCCTGATTCCTTCTTTTGAAAGACAGCAACCTCCAGGACTTTCTTGCCATCCACAGTAATGAAGTTCTGCTGATTCTGGCCCGTAGACAGAAATCTCTTCCATCTGGAAATGACCAACATAACACAGTGGTTTGGCCCCCATCTCCTCAACTTCCCTCTTCCTCTCATACCAGTACGACCCATGGGATTTCTGGAATATTAATCATACTATAATCAACAGATGACTTAAGTGCAGTTTTTAAAAAAAAATCTAAAATTTAGTTTGTTGTATACATGTATGCATACAAAAAAAGGCCAGGCCACCTAAACTTCATCTCTGCAGTTGACCTAACAACAAAAACCTCTGACCCTGGGGCCATGAATTTCACAATTTTGGAAGAGGCCCCCTTGCTTATCCTAACTATGCACTTAATTTATCTGCTAATTACCCAGGAGCAAAGAAAAAGATTTTCAAAGCATTAATGCATTTTCACTACATAAACCCTGGCCCAGGGCCATGAAATTCACAGTATTGAAAGAGACACTCTTGCTCATCATAATCATGTACTTAGTTTGCTTAACACCCAGGAGCAGAAGATTGTCAAAGCATTGATGCTTTTTTCCCCATATAATCAATATAGCCCCACTCTTAATGCAGATCGAGCCCCTAACCCTGGGGCCATAAATTTCCCAATTTTGGTAAAGAACTCACTGCTTGTTATAATCATACCAACAGTTTGACTGCTTGGTGTCCAGGAGTAAAGAAAAAGATTTTTGAAAACTAGAACTGTCCAAAAAGGACAAATACCCCCCGCTGGGTTTTTCAGAGAAGGTACCAAATCACTAATGTTTTCTAGATGTGAGAGGTGTTCACAATGTGCTTAAACATTTAGAGTGAAAATTTAATTACTCATTAAATTTTTTTTAATGAATGAAACTAAGGTGCAGCCTAATAAAACATCAGTGCTAGTAATTACAGTGTTTTTAATTACATTGAAAAAATAGTTTGCAACTATCTGTCATCTTTGTGAGACATGACACTCCGCAAATTGATTGTTGAAAAAAAAATATCATAATTAATTATACAAAATCAGATTGATCTTAATACCTTTATATAAAACTCATTTAAAAAATAAAAGGCTGGTTCCAGTAACTAAATATTTTGACAGACATAAATTACAATTTAGAGACTTAGACAACAGAGATCTTTATTTCTTTCTGCCCAATTCCCAGGAGATATAGATAAGACCTGCTTGATCAGAGATGCCCTAACAGCTTCCCACACTGAACTCATTAATTAATCTTTAACTGGATGCATGTCCACTCATTACTCCCAAGGGACAAATGGATTTACACTATCTGCTGTGTAATGTAAAAACTGTTTTTAATACTTTGTGATTTTTTTTTTAGTTCTAATGAGTAGTTTTAAGCTGTAGTTCATATTTTTGTACAGATGTTCTAAATTCTATGTCTCAAACCTTAGACATGAACCCAAAATGACTAAGTCAATAAAAAAAAAAAAAAACCTGTAAAATGCGGAAAAATTAGCAAATAATGTTGAAAATACCAGGTGCACATCTTCATATGGTAAATAATAAGTGTACAAATTTTCATACAAATCAATGCAATAGTCTCTGGGAACAGATCAGGACAAAACCACATAATAAAAATGAAAAAAACACCTGTAAAATGCAAAAAAAATTATCCAATCATGATGAAAATACCAGGTGCACACCTTCATATGGCGAAGAATAAGTGTACAAATTTTCAGACAAATCCTTGCAACAGTTTCCAAGAAATGGTCCAGACAACATCTTGTCTACAGACAGACGGACAGACAGCGGACAAGCTGATTCCAATACACCCCCCCTAAACTTCGTTTGCGGGGGGTATAATTACATTACTTTTTATGGTTTTGGCCCCATGTCTCAGGCCCGGGGGGGGGGGGGGGGGGGGGGGGGCAGAGACCATAAAATTCACAATAACGTCTTAGGCCCCGGGGGGGGGGGGGGCAGGGACCATAAAATTCACAATAACGTCTCAGGCCCCGAGGGGGGGGGGGACCATGAAATTCACAATTTATGTCCTTTGCCCTTAGATGATACCAAAATTGTTTGAACTGGTTCAGCAGTTTATGAGAAGAAGCCAAAAATGTTGAAAAGTTTATGACCAAAGCAAGACGACAGATGAAAACAGATAGCAATAGGTCACCTGAGTGACTCAATTGACCTAAAAACCAAAACACAAAATCTCATATTGTACAAAAAATTTTACTACAAAGATATTAGTAAATTGACTGCTTTTATTTACACATGCAAAACAAATAACTACCTGTTAAAATCTGAATAGTGATTTTACAATGATAGCTGCACTTAAAACTCAAATTGAAGGGTCTTACATTGGCATGTTGGATGAGTCGAGCTCGTAACGTAATGGCAAGCCATCCTTAGTGATCCAGGATACTCTGTTAATTTCTATGTTAGTCGTCTCATTGATCACAAATGTAGCTGACAGATTCCACAGGGGTTTCTGGTACCCAGTAGCTGACAGTAAACTAGCTCTCTCTTCCTGACTCTGGCTGCTGCTCTCCATACGCTGCATGATCCTAAAGAAATATTAAGGAAGCTCTAAACACTGAACACCGAAGAGTTCCAATTCCATAGTTCAGTAGTTTTAGAGAGTAAGAGTGATCTACCCTTAGACATAAGATGGAATAAGCAAGTAGTATTCATATCAGTATTGATATGCTCTTTTGCGAGGAGATGCTCCGCTTTGTGGTGCCCTTGTTAAACATAGGTAATCAGAGATTACAGAGCTCACCTCAACGAATGTGGTCTTTAAGTAAGGCAAAGTCCCACACTAAACTAATAACCTTGGAGTGTGCATCCCTAGATGCAACATTTATGCAATTTTGGTCTGATAGGGCTTGCAGTTACTTGGAAATAGACTTATCTGAAAACTTAAAACTAGTCACTCATCCAGAAAATGTAAGTCAAATCCAACATCCGAAGCAAGTTTGAGATTGTTCATCCCTTGATGCATCATCCATGCAAGTTTGGTTCAGATAGGCCTTATAGTTACTTGGAAATGACATCTGCTCCAAAAACTTTAACCTGGTTACTCATCTGGAAAATCTAGTCAGATCCAGCATCCGAAGCACGTCCAGTAGTGTGCATCCTTAGATGCATCATCCATGCAAGTTTGGTCAATATAGGGCTTATAGTTACTTGGAAATGAGATCTGCTCCAAAAACTTTAACCTGGTCACTCATCCGGAAAATTTAGATCAGATCCAGCATCCGAAGCAAGTCCAGTAGTGTGCATCCTTAGATGTATCATCCATGCAAGTTTGGTCCATAGAGGGCTTATAGTTACTTGGAAATGAGATCTACTCCAAAAACTTTAACCTAGTCACTCATCCGGAAAATGTAGGTCAGATCCAGCATCCGGAGCAAGTTCAGTAGTGTGCATCCTTAGATGTATCATCCATGCAAGTTTGGTCAATATAGGGCTTATAGTTACTTGGAAATGAGACCTGCTCCGAAAACTTTAACCTGCTCCAAAAACATTAACCTGGTCATTCTTTAGCTGAAATTGAAGCATCTGAAACCTTGACTGGTACAATGAAACACACTAGAAGCATCCTCCATGCATCTCTGACTAATATAGGCCATAGAAGTACTTGAAAAGAAAACTGCTCGAAAACCCTTAACCTTGGACGCCGACGCCGAGGGTATTACATAAGCTCCCCCAACTCGTTCAAAAGTAGGTCAAACTCCTAGTTCAAGGTCAAAGGGTCAAAGTGGTTGGTATCCAAAGGAAGGTCTTGTCACAAGGATTACATATGTGAAGTATGAAAGCCCTAGCATCAACCATTCAAAAGTTATGGCCAAGGTTAAAGTTTTTCAAAAGTAGGTCAAACTCCTAGGTCAAGGTCAAAAGGTCAAAGTCGTTGGTATTCAAAGGAAGGTCTTGTCACAAGGATTACATATGTGAAGTATGAAAGCCCTAGCTCCAACCATTCAAAAGTTATGGCCAAGGTTAAAGTTTTTCAAAAGTAGGTCAAACTCCTAGGTCAAGGTCAAAAGGGTCAAAGTGGTTGATATCCAGAGGAAGCTCTTGTCACAAGGAATACATATGTGAAGTTTGAAACCCTAAGCACCGACTGTTCAAAAGTTATGGCCAAGGTTAAAGTTTTTCAAAAGTAGGTCAAAGTCCAAGGTCAAGGTCAAAAGGTCAAAGTGGTTGGTATCCAAAAGAAGGCCTTGTCACAAAGAATACACATATGAAGTTTGAAACCCCAAGCTCCAACTGTTCAGAAGTTATGGCCAAGGTTAAAGTCTCATAAAATTTTGCAAAAGTGGGTCAAACTCCAAGGTCAAGGTCAAAAGGTCAAATATGATGGTACCCAAAGAAAGGTCTTGTCACAAGGAATACACATGTGAAATATGAAAGTCATAGCTCCAACCAATCAAAAGTTATGGGCAAGGTTAAAGTTGACAACAGACAGACAGGACAACAAGAGGCCCATGGGCCACATCGCTCATCTGAGCACATTGGCAAGGCAAAAGCACAAATCAGTTCAGTATTGAAAAGATTAGGGGGGGGGGGGGCTTGAATTTTAAACTACCTGATGATGCTTCCATGTCAATATATAATTTGTTTTAACAAATGGCTTTGTTGTACTTGAGAAGATTTTTTAAAAAAATTCCCATATATTCCTTTGTAAAAATTTGATCCCCCATTGTGGCTCCTCCCTATCCCAGAGGTCATCATTTGAACAAACTTGAATCTACACTACCTGAGGATGCTTCCATATCAATATGACTATACATAGCTTTTCTGTTCTTGAGAAGAAATTTTTTTCTATATGTTCCTATGTAAACTTTCGATCCCCTTATTGGGCCCCACCCTACCCTTGGGAGTCATCATTTGAACAAAATTGAATTTACACTACCTGAGGATGCTTCCATATCAAAATGATTAAACATGATTTTCAGTTCTTGAGAAGAAGATATTTTCCTATATGTTCCTATGTAAAATTTTCGATCCCCCATTATGGCCCATCCCTATCCCCTGGGGTCATCATTTTAGCAAACTTGAATCTACACTACCTGAGGATGCTTCCATATCAAAATGACTAATCATGGCTTTGCAGTTCTTCATCAGAAGATATCTTCTTATATATTTCTAATTCAGACTTTTATCCTCCATTGTGGCTCCACCCTACCCCAGGGGGTCTTGATTTGAACAAACTTGAATCTACACTACCTGAGGATACCTCCACATAAATATGATCAATCAGGGCTTTGCTGTTCCTGAGAAGAAGATTTTTAAAGATTTTTCCTATATATTTCTATGTAAAACTTTGATCCTCCATTGTGGCCCCGCCCTGACCCCAAGGGTCAGGATTTGGACAAAGTTGAATCTACACTACCTGAGGATGCTTCCATATGAATATGACCAATTAGGGCTTTGATGTTATTGAGAAGAAGATTTTTAAAGATTTTTCCTATATATTTCAATGTAAAACTTTGATCCTCCATTGTGGCCCCGCCCTACCTCCGGGGGTCATGATTTGAACAAACTTGAATCTACACTACCTGAGGATGCTTCCATATGAATATGACCAATTAGGGCTTTGCTGTTATTGAGAAAAAGATTTTTAAAGGTTTTTCCTATATATTTCTATGTAAAACTTTGATCCTCCATTGTGGCCCCGCCCTACTCCTGGGGGTCATGATTTGAACAAACTTGAATCTACACTACCTGAGGATGCTTCCATATAAATATGACTCATCATGGCTTTGCTGTTATTGAGAAGAAGATTTTTAAAGGTTTTTCCTATATATTTCTATGTAAAACTTTGATCCTCCATTGTGGCCCCGCCCTACCCCTGGGGGTCATGATTTGAATAAACTTGAATCTACACTACCTGAGGATGCTTCCATATAAATACAGTAAAACTTGTTGAATCCGGATGTTGTGCATTCCGGCATGTTGTTCAGTCCGGCGTAATATTTTAGTCCCCTGAATTTCCTTTATAATTTATGTTTAATAAATGTTGTTCAATCCGGATCTTGCCTATTCTGTAAACCGGCCGATATTTAAAGAACTAACTACTCATAATTAGTACAAATTATCTCCTCTAATCCGGCCACTTATCTTTACCTGTGCCCGCTGGTCATTAGAGAAGTCTCACGTGGGGTAATTATTGTCCCGTTAATGATCTATCCTGTATCGACAGTTTAGATTTTAACAAACGTGATAAAAAAATCATTAATGGCTCAAGTAAGGCGAGGAAATTAACTCGCAAAAGAACGAGTAATAGTGATGGTTGGGGGTAGCATGTCTGAAGAACCAGAAGTCTCTGATGAGACTGTAGCTCTACTGGTCTGTTTGTATAACAAAAGAAAATTAGCACTTGGATTTGAAACATTGCAACATGCAACAATGAATAGAATTATGTACAGACCCTAAAACGTGCCACTACACCTCAGAAACGAACCGTACCGTTCCGTACAAGAAGCGTACCGTACCGTGCAAGAAGCGTACCGTACCGTGCACAAAGCGAACCGTACCGTACACAAAACGAATCGTACCGTGCAAGAAGCGTACCGTACCGTGCACAAAGCGAACCGTACCGTACACAAAACGAACCGTACCGTGCAAGAAGCGTACCGTACCGTACACAAAGCGAACCGTACCGTTCATGAATAATTTTTGAAATAATTATGCAAGCCACGCCCCGAAAGCATTCCGAATCTTGCAATGACCGAATACAGTAAGTAATTTTCTTTTATTTCTTTCGACGCAGCGCCAGTTCAAGAAGGACAGAAAATTACCCTAGAGATTCAAAATATTATTATTAAGTACCATGCATCTGGACTAACATCTGTTAATATAAGGAAAGTAGTTACGACTTCAAAACAACTCGACAGAGTGTGAGGCGATTCCTTATTCGCTATGCATGATCGGGATATGCTTGACTAACATTTTTTTCCGTATTAAATGCAGCATCGTAATATTTTCGTGTACAATTTATAATAAATAAAAGTGAATTAAATACTTTATCGTTTCTTTCTTTAGCTTTTATCTACCCTATTCTTGTCTCTATGAACGTTCTCGGAAACCAAGACACATTGAAAAATGTATTAGGATTCTGTGCTATTTTCCGAAACCAAGCCCTTAAAATCATTTTTTATTCATGTAAGTAATAGTTTTAGGGAGAAATGATTACAGATTTAGCAACAACAACGAAATTAAAAAAAAAATTACGAACTAAATTATCAATTTGAAAGCGAACATGTTAAAATGTAAACGCCTCTCAATCACCAGAAAAAATAAATAAAAGCGATGTATATATAAATAATATGTGTCGGTTTACACTCTTCTGACCAACTCAAGATGTTATCGCCAATATAACATACTGTCAAAAAGTTCGATCGCCACATTTTCACATGGAATTTTCAGTTTAATACACGTAATCCAAAAAAAAAAAAAAAAAAAAAAAAAAAAAAAAAAAAAAAAAATCTGGATATATGTCAGAATTAATTTTTATTTAAAACATTTTCCCATTTCATTTGCTTTATTCACTGAAATCTGCAGGTAAAATATGTAACCTGGAATTTACACAAAAAGCCCAGTTTAATTAAAAAAAAAAAATACTTAGTCCGTGCATGCGTGTTCATCCAAGATTTTTTTTAAAGAAATACTGTACATTTCTTGCCATGGTCTCGTTATCTAGACTGACGTCTTTCTATACTTTCGTTATTTACTCTAAAACATTTGAAAATTTCGATCAAGTATTGTCTTCACACGTGCACAGGTAAAAACTTGAGCTGTGTATATTGAACCGTATCTAATCCCGTTAGTCCAGATATGCTTACATTCACACGTGTATCAACAGTTTGCTGTCTTTAACAGTAAGTCTACAACAACGAATCAGTTTTAATCAGCAGATTTAAACAGAATTTCATGTGCAGTCAGCTTTTCTTCTAGATCTTCAATAAAAAAGCGAGTTTGACAAGGAAACAAAGAAGGAGGGGGGGGGGGGAGAGTAATTGAAAACGGACTATTTATTTCTAACATTTTGACATTAGTTATTTCGGAAATCTGTCTTGCCGTCAATATATATTATATACATTTATACATTGTAGATGGAATTGTCGCTGTCTTAACCGTTTTCTTGATTGTAACTTCCCTTCAAAAAACGTTTTTACACATTGATGGAAAATTTATGTTAAAAGGAAAACAATTACGCGCACAAAAAATAAGTAATATTTTGCACTTATTGTGTGCACTTCTACCGATTACTTTTCAATGTATTTTTCCTAGTGATCCAAACACCTAAGAAATCAATGTAAAAAAAAATATAATTCCTCGCAAATAAAACTAATAACTTGTTTGATCATTCGGTCAAGAGAAATTTTTTTGTTTGTTTGTTTGTTTGTGTTTTTTTAAGGAAGCAGCAGTGACAAGAACGTAAAAAGAATGGTAGACGAAATGAAAGCATGAGCGATTTATAAAATCAATCTCATTTACTTAAAAGTGTGATAAGTGAATATTTAAAATAATAATTGTATTCAATTAGGAAAACTTAAAGGAAAAAAAAACATATGTACGCTTATTCGTTAAAAAAAAATACAGAAAGGCCTTTTATGGCAACGCAACCAAAATATTTTTTTCATCCTTCTTATACAGTGTTTGTTGATATGTTCGATTTCTTTCCAAGTTTAATTGAACCATAAGGCGATGTTGTACAAAATAAGATAAAAAATAGACAACTATAATTATTTATTTTAAAAATTGAAAGTAGTTCATACAGAAAGTAAATAAAAAAAAGATACAGTTATTAAGACGACTAGTTACATTTAATAACAAAAATACAGCTGTAAAAAGGAAATATTTATAAAAGTTTTAACTTAAAAACAACTTATCAAAAAATGCTTGCGACACCGTCCTTACATTTATATCAAATAAAGAGATTATAATAAAGAAATAAACGACTTTATGAAGTAGCCAATCATAATCTAAAGCGTACAGGCTCCGCCCACTTAATTTACATACCGTTCACCAAAGCGTACCGTTCACAAAACGAACCGTTCCGTGCAAGAAGCGTACCGTACCGTGCACAAAGCGAACCGTACCGTACACAAAACGAACCGTACCGTGCAAGAAGCGTACCGTACCGTGCACTAAGCGAACCGTACCGTTCACAAAGCGTACCGTTCCGTGCAGGAAGCGTACCGTACCGTACACAAAACGAAACGAACCGAACCGTGCAAGTGGTGTAGTAGCACGTTTTAGGGTCTGTATCTTAATGTAGTCTACTTCTGTGCCAAGATATTGAAATCAAATGAAAACTGTTGGAGGAGTAGCGTTTTGAAAGTATTTCACAGAAATTTCTATTTTTAGTAACCATGACAACACCATTCACCCAAATAAAAAAAACAGAAATATATATTATGTATCGTAGTGTATTCTAACTGTGTGCCAAATTAGATTGAAATCAGACCAAAATTGTAGGAGGAGTAACGTTTAATGGGAATTTCACAAAAATTTCTATTTTAAGTAACCATGGCATCACTGTTCATCGAATTCAAAAACCAATGCAATAAATTATGTATCTTAATATAGTCTTCTTGTATGCCTAATTATATCAGAAGCAGACCAAAACTGTAGGAGGAGTAGCGTTTTAAACGAATTTCACAGAAATTTCTATTTTTAGTAACCATGGCAACACTGTCCATCAAAATCAAAAACCGATGCACTAAATTATGTATCTTAGTGTAGTCTACTTGTGTGCCAAGTTATATTGAAATCGGACCAAAACTGTAGGAGGAGTAGCGTTTTAAAGGAATTTCACAGAAATTTCTATTTTTAGTAACCATGGCAACACCGTCCATTGAAATCAAAAACCAATGCACTAAATTATGTATCTTAGTGTTGTCTACTTGTAAGCCAAGTTATATTGAAATCGGACCAAAACTGTAGGAGAAGTAGCGTTTTAAAGGAATTTCACAGAAATTTCTATTTTTAGTAACCATGGCAACACCGTCCATCAAAATCAAAAACCGATGCACTAAATTATGTATCTTAGTGTAGTCTACTTGTGTGCCAAGTTATATTGAAATCGGACCAAAACTGTAGGAGGAGTAGCGTTTTAAACGAATTTCACAGAAATTTCTATTTTTAGTAACCATGGCAACACCGTCCATCGAAATCAAAAACCGATGCAATAAATTATGTATCTTAGTGTAGTCTACTTGTGTGCCAAGTTATATTGAAATCGGACCAAAACTGTAGGAGGAGTAGCGTTTTAAAGGAATTTCACAGAAATTTCTATTTTTAGTAACCATGGCAACACCGTTCATCGAAATCAAAAATCGATGCACTAAATTATGTATCTTAGTGTAGTCTACTTGTGTGCCAAGTTATATTGAAATCGGACCAAAATTGTAGGAGGAGTAGCGTTTTGAAAAATTGTTTACAGACAGACGGACAGACAGACAGACAGACAGACCGACGGACGGACGACGGACACCTTACTATCGCATAAGCTCTTCTGGTCTCTGACCAGTAGAGCTAAAAACTTGGAGACTTGTTCATGACCTCCTTTCTACTTTCGTTTTGTGTGCACGACATGCAATTCGAATTACTTCCCTTTGTGTCGCTACCATAATGACAGAAGATTTTGGTTCAATATTCATTATAACATTTGAAGTGTCTTAATATTCAATCATATTAATTTTAAAAGAAAGAAATTAATTAGGAATCTGTCCCTAACAAAATAATATTTACAACGACGATGAGGTTTTGGAGTGTGTTTAAAACATTTAACGATTTTCAAATTTAATAAATGACCAAGAGATATTATATTTTGTTACTGAATAAAAAACTTGAACAGAATTGAAAATTCTGAAGAACAAACAGAGTTTAAAACAAACGGAAATAGACGATTTTTTTTCAAGTGAAACGTAAAAAATGACACATTTGATCAAGTATTTATTTACCACTCTATGTTTATGTAATTTTTAACTTGGTATAATGGTTCAATTTTCTCCAATCCGGATGTTGTCTAATCCGGCAAAAAATTTTGGAACCACTGGTCGCCGGATTAGACAAGTTTTACTGTATGACTCATCATGGCTTTGCTGTTCTTGAGAAGAAAATTTTTAAAGGTTTTTCCTATATATTTCTATGTAAAAATTTGATCCTCCACTGTGGCCCTGCCCTACCCCCGGGGGTCATGATTTGAACAAACTTGAATCTACACTACCTGAGGATGCTTCCACATGAGTTTCATCTTCCCTGGCTTTGTGGTTCTTGAGAAGAAGATTTTTAAAAGATGCTACTAATTTTTCACTAATTCTTCATTATCTCCCCTTGAAAGAGGGCGTGGCCCTTCATTTGAACAAACTTGAATCCCCTTCACCCAAGGATACTTTGTGGCAAGTTTGGTTGATATTGGCCCAGTGGTTCTTGAGAAGAAGTCAAAAATGTGAAAAGTTTACAGACGGACAGACAGACAGACAAACGGACAGACGGACTACAGACAAAATGTGATCAGAAAAGCTCACTTGAGCCTTCGGCTCAGGTGAGCTAAAAACAATATACCCCCGGGATCTTTCGATCCGGGGGCATAATGAAAGACAAAAAAAATTGTATAAAATTTATAAAACATATCAGGGCTAACAAATGATGAATAGGGTATATGTTAATTTGAGAAATACTAAAATAGCAAAATGCTGTTTTTACCACTTAAACTGTATGTTTGTAATCTCTCTAATATACAATTTTAATAGCATAAAGGATAAGGCACTGTTATTACTAATCTTCACTGTTTTAAACTCTCAATGAATTCTTCGTCCACAAAAAAATCCTGACATTAGTCCAGCTTAATCATCTTTATCCTACATACTCTATAAAATCTGGATCCACCAGGCTCTGTATAGATTCTCTGTATTCATCCACAGGTTTGGTGTACAGGACTGGATCATACGTAGGATAAGGCTCCTGCACAAAATATTATAACAGTAGGTCATTTTCAGATGTTTCTGACAAAACAGATTTTTTCCTCTTTTAGAACTGGTACTGATTAAAAGGTACCATTCCCAATGCCAAACTAGAGTGTTCCATGGAATGAATAAAGCTAAGGGTGGTCAACATTTTATTTGCATTCTAGTATCATAATTTATACATTTGCCTTTGAAGATAAAAACATCCACAAATAGTAAGACTATGATAGAACAGCATTTATAATCACAAAATGTGACAATCAAATAGAAATACAATTCCTCAACCCTCAAAGCTAAAATGACTAATAAAATTAAAATTATTAGAAATAATTATTATTTAAATCATACAAGTTTAATTCAACTATCCCTCAGGATTTCAGTCTGACTTTGTTTTTACTGCAATTGTCTGTCTATAACTTCACCATTCTGTATACTGATCCCAGTTTATTTTCATACAACTAACCAATGCAAAATGAAGATTCTACATTTCTGAAAACAATGCCTACCTCCCAATTGACATATTTGTCAAAGACCGGGAACCTTTGTATCTTGGTGTTGGGGTATGGAGACTGACGACTAGCAATGTGTAGGGAGGTGACAGTCTCTAATTCTGGCCGGGCCTGGGGATCTGCAGAAACAACAATGTAGGTCACCACTTTTTTCTTAGTTCTCAAAAGTTATAGTTGCCTTAGAGGGAGACAATAAAGGATACAAAGACTCCACACAGCTTTGAACAATACTGACCAATGGTGTCTATTTTGTGAGCTATCTGCTCCAAGGCTAAGCTACAAGCAATCAACTGTCTCTCCAAATTTGACATCTGTTCTGTCATTTTGTCATTAAATTCCCTCTGTAATTTGGATTGTGTTACCAGATGCTCTATTCTACAATGGAATTCTGATCAATATAACAAACTGGAACATAGATAATAATAAAAAATAAAAAGACGAAAAAAATCATGATCCTATCAAACTTATTTAAATCATATGAGTTCCGAGTGTAAGCAATGTGCATGCCTTTGCCTAATTGCTTATTGATTAGTTGTATTTTGCAGCATTTTGCTTACATGAAATAACTTTTTTTATCTAACCTTTGACTCTGCTCAGTAAGTCTTGCAGCCTCTCTTTCATCTTGCTCCTCCTCTTCATTCAATTTCTTCATACAGATTTTCCAGTAGCTGTAATCTGTTGAGTCTTTGACTTTTATAACAGACACGCTGTCACCATCCTGCAATTTGAGTTTTACGATTACCATATCTTCTCTTTTTTGATAGTGACACTTAATGGTGTCAAATTGTTCATGAAAAACAAAATCAAATTAACTAATTTTGTTGAGAGATTCTTAATCAGTAAGGAGTCAATCTCTTTTTAAATCCCAACAAGAGCGTAATGGGACTAGATGCAATACTAGTATATTGTACCTCTTATGGGGCAGCTGAAGAGAGAGAGAGAGAGAGAGAGAGAGAGAGATCATACTTTGAAAATAGCTTTAAACAAGAGGTCCATGGGCCACAATTTTCACCTGAGTCACCTGACTAACATGGCGTTGCAGTTCTGGAGATTTTTTTTCATATATACATACAATGTACATTAAGTACAATATGGTCTCCCATTTTCTGTTCACCTATGAGTCTTTAAAAAAAATTGAACCCAAGCAACTTGGGAATGTCTGCATATTAATATGATTTGGTGTGACCTTGTTACTCTTAAAAAGAATGTCTGTTTTAATGTCTTACCTATTAGGTAAAAAATTTATTCTCCCTTTTCAGCCCAATCCTAGCTCCATGTGCCAAGATTTGAACAAATATGAATCTCTACTATGCTGGAATGCCTGCATAATAATGTGCTTGCATAGAATAAGCCAAAACACCAATTAATCTTACATACAACTAATTCTGTAACTACAAGAACTGATGCCACAGTGCTTCATGAAAATATGATTTTTAAAGAGTTTTTTTCTAAATAAAGTGTATTTCCATGTTAATCTTTGATTCCTATCGTGGCCTGATTTTACCCACCAGGGTTAGATTTGAACTGACTTGAATTGTCACCACCTGAGGTTGTTTCTATGTTAATTTGTATATTAATTTAAATAATCATGGCCTTGTTGAACTTGAGAACATGATTTTGAATTTTCTTTCTTTTTTCTACAATTGACATGTAAAATTATTATCTCATACTGTGCTCCATCAAGTGCACACGTTAAATGATTGTACATGCATTGTATAATAAACCATACATATAATTTCTACAAAGTTTGAGAAAAACTTTGAAACATTGCAGATATTATCTCAGGTCAAAGAGTCAACAGACAGCTAAGACATACATTGTGAACAATCATCAGCTTTTTTATTATTAAGTTATTTTTAGTGTTACATCCATTCATATGGGGTGAAAATGCCTAAAGCCTGTATGCATACTCCTCCATAATGCAACTTTATGTTCACTTTGTATCTTGACTACAGGGTGGTTTAAATTGTTCACTGAGTTGGTTTTAATAATTATTATAAGTATTTGCTCTTTAAATAAAGAAAATCACTTTACCACTTGGTCTTTTTTCCTACAGCATGAAGATTGACAGCATTTCTTCATGCACTGCCGGAGTTTCTTGAAGATAAACTCAAACAACATGATGATGTAGCTAATGAAATTAAATGGAGCAGGCAATCTCAGACGAGTTTCAAAATCCACAATGATGCTGTACACCTGATACTTCCAGATTTCCTCTGATTCCTGCTTAATTTTAGCATTGGTGGCACTGTAACAAAATTTGATTATGTCTTAATATGTCTTACCACTCTATCAATAAAATACACATTAACAATATCAGTTGAATGAAAACCTAAAAGAGGATTCAATGCAGTCAACAGTTCACATTTGATCTGACTTATGTTTTCACACCACTGAAGTCCTGTTTCACTCCATTTTGAATTCACAGCATTCTACCCATATCTTACACAAGCTCCTTCCTCCACTTTGTGCACTCATGTGTTTGTGCATTTACAAAAGATTGTCCATCCTGTATTTTGTATTTGCCTGGCATGGTAACAATGTGTATTTCACATTTTCAAACATCATTATTGACTTTGGATAGTTCGTGTGTCATGACTTTTATAGAAGATGATAACAATGTATTAAGGAGGGTTCATACCTGAACAAAGCGTACAGAAGAGTAAGAAGAATGAGCTTAGTGATGACGAGATACTGAATCACCATTGCGTAACCACCAAAGCTACGGTATGGACACTCGGCAAACTCCCGCTGAAACCTGATCTGACCTACAATTCAGACAATACTGAAAAAATTGTTGATCTCAGGTATTCACTTTATTGTTAAATTGTTTATTTAATCTCAAAAACATGTGTCAGACTATTATGTCCAACATATTCAATTAAGTTAATAGATCTTTATAATCTTGCTAATCAATGCACTATAAATCAAACTCCATGACTTCGAACTTACACTAAATATAAAAACCTCACCCTTTGGGCTCAGATTTTAATTTTCATACAAAAATTCTTGATCTTTGGATTACATGTATATTCCAAAATAATCCCTATATTCTGCACATTTTTCAAGTTCCACATACACACACCAACAATTATATACTACATGTTAAGTTCCATTTTGATCATATTCGGTCGGTAGCGATATCACTAGAACTTGTTGAAGTGTGAGGGTGTCCAATGCATGGTGAATTCACCCTACATGTTCGTGTGTACATTGTATTTTTATTTTTGAAATTAAAAGTAAATGATTGTAACATTTATATTCATTTATGCCACATACTTGTATTTCTTTTCCAGAATGAAGCAGCAGCATCTGAAACATGAAATTTACCAGAAATACATGAACAATGTTATTGTAAAATGTACATCAGAGTATTTATAACAGAAATCCCTGAACACACAAATATTTTCATTCAGACACAGATTTATGTGTACACTAAATTGGATTCCTACACTATATAACAACAATAGAGGACAAACAAACTTACTGTAGCAAACTTCTCTTGTCTGGTTGGCATAAAAGTTTTCACACCTATCATTACCTGTAATTTATCAAAATGAAGAGAAATTTTGATGATGGTAAAAATGTATCATTGACAAGTATTCTGAACCCCCTACAAAACTAGTTTTTTAAAATGACCTTTTAAAGATAAAACTGCTCCCAAATTTTCAACCGTTAAGTCACCCTGTAAATGTATGTCAGATCCAGGTTCCAAAGCATATCTGGTAGTATGCATACCTAGTAACATGGCTGTATAATCAATGCAAATTCAGTCACCATAGGGTTTATAGTTATTAGTTACTTGGGAAGGGACCAGCTCTCAAACATTAACCTGTTCATTTACCTGGAAAATGTAGGTCAGATTCAGCATCCGAAACAAGCCTGTATTGTGCACGCATAAATGCATTATCCATGCAAGTTTCAATATAGCAGGGCTTAAAGTTACTTGGGAATGAAGTACTTCAATAAATGCATTCAGATCCGGCATCCAAAGTCAGTGTGGTAGGGTGCATCCCTAGATGTGCAAGTTTAGTCAAGACAAAGCTTACAGTTACGATGTGCTTGCAAACGTAACTCCTCCAAAGAATTAAGCTTCTCCAGATCATATCTAGAATCCAAAGCATACCTTGTACTGTGCATCCATACATGCATCATCCATGCAAGTTTGGTCTAAGAAAGATTTTAACCTGTTTATTCATCTGGAAAATGTTGATGAATTTCTCCAGCATCTGAAGCAAGTCTGATAGTGTGCTTGTTGCATCATCCATGCAACTTTGGTCCAGGTAAGACTTATAGTTACTTGGAAATGAACCTACTCCAAAAATTTTAACTTGTTCACTCATCCAGAAAATGAAGGTCCAATCCAGAATCTGATGCCAGTCTGGTAGTATACATTCCTAGATCATCAATGCAAGTTTGGTCACCATAAGGCTTACATTTACTCAGGAATGAAGTAGCTCCAAAATCTTGAACCTAGTCACTCATCCAGAAAATGTAGATAAGATCCAGCATCTGCAGCTAATCTGAAAGTGTGCATTCCTAGATGCATCATCAATTTAAGGTTTGATGCAGGTTAGGCTTAACTTAGTCACTTGGAAATGAACCTGCTACAAAAAACTTTAATCTGTTCACTCATCTGGAAAATGTCTGCCAGATCCAGCATCCGGAGCCAGTCTGGTGAAGGACATTCCTATATGCATCAGCCATGCAAGTTAAGTCACAATAAGGCTTATTACCGTATACACTCGCCTATAAGTCGGTCGGCCTATAAGTCGGTTGTGATTTTTGAGGTTATTTTGGAGGGATTTGCCATTGACCCGCCTATAAATCGGTACAACTTTTTGCCAGGATCGGTGGACAATTTCAGATCAATGCTCTAATGTTTTAACATGTGTTTCAAATAATATTTTGAGAAATTACGCCGATATTTTATCTCTCTTTTTTCTTCTCTTATAAATTTCATATCAATACCCTAATGTATTTGACCTGTGTTCAAATAATATGTTAGGATATGACATGAGTAATTAATATTTTATTTTTCAACAAACCAAACCACTACCATTTTAGTTTCTTTCTATACTGTTTTGTTTAAGCGTTAATCGCCTGTCTTGTATATTTTATACATCGATCTCGATCATTGGCGGATCTCTGTTTCTCTGGCATGGTGATGAACTATGTAACGAGTCTACCAGCATTTTGATGATATTTAATTAGGAGGTGCTCAATGTCCAAGCCATATCTATAGTTTTTAATAACGCTATGTTTGATCTTTTATTAGCAATTATCTTCTCTTAATTACCTGTATCCCTTACCTGACACCATGTTTATTTAGTGGCAAGCGCCCCGAAAAAAATTGTGTACCACACATGGGAAGCATTTTCATAAACAATCGAGTTTTAATAGACTCAAGAATTATATTCTGAATAATTTTTTAAGAATATCATATCTGTTGTCAAAAACATTGCAGACGGTACATAAAATTATACATTAATGCTAAACGTATTATATCGGGTTCGCAATTCCATTTTACCGATAAACGATAGATTTACAGTAAGTCACAAGTTAATCAAAGAAATATTTTTGTTAATAATTAATCAAATAAATAATATACACTTAAGATCAAAATAAAATCATTAAAACATGTAAATACTTTTACTTTATATATAATCTTAGAATACATAAATAATATAATACATCCAGACATTTCTCAACGATAATTGTCAAAGTTATGTACAAAATACTACATTTCGTCATCCAGAAAAATACCAAGCCTATAAGTCGGACATAGAGTTTTGGACCAAAAGTTAACTCCCAAAAAACCGACTTACAGGCGAGTATATACGGTACTAATTTGAAATGAAACCTGCTATTACAACATTAATGTGCTCCAAAAACTTTAACCTCCTCCAAAAATTTTAACCTGGTCTCACATTTGGAAAATGTAGCTCAGATTCTGCATCTGTAACAAGTCTGGTACTGTACATCCCATTATGCATGCTATATGCAACTTTGGTCCAGCTAGGGCCTATATTTACTTGTGAATGAGACCTGCTCCAAAAACTTTACAAGAGGCCCATGGGCCACAACGCTCACCTGAATAACTTTGGCCCTGCTGTTCTTCACCAGACGATCTTTTTGTAATACCTATTGTGGCCCCGCCCTACCCACGGGGGTCATGATTTTAACAATTTAAAATCTACACTACCCCAGGATGTTTCCATATAAGTTTCAGCTTTACTGGCCAAGAGGTTCTTGAGGAGAAAATTTTTAAAGATTTTTTCCTATATATTTCAATGTAAAACTTGGATTCCCTATTGTGGCCCCGCCCTACCCCCAGGGGTCAAGATTTGAATAGTTTAGAATTTACGCTGCCCCAGGATGCTTCTACAAAAGTCTTAGCTCTTCTGACCAAGTGGTTCTTGAGAAGAAGATTTTTTTTTTCTATATATTTCAATATAAAAATTAGATTCCCTTTTGTGGCCGCGCCCTGCCCCAGGGGTCATGATTCTATCAATTTAGAATCTACACTACCCAAGGATGCTTCCACATAAGTTTCAGCTTTTCTGGCCCAGTGGTTCTTGAGAAGAAGATTTTTTAATGACCCCACCCTATTTTTGTCTTTTCTTGATTATCTCCCCTTGTAAGGGGGTTTGGCCCTTTATTTTTACAATTTGAACTCCCCTTCACTCAAGGATGCTTTGTACCAAATTTGGTTAAAATTGGCCCAGTGGTTCTTGAGAAGAAGTTGAAAATGTGAAAAGTTTACAGACGGACGGACAGACAGACGGACGGACAGACGACGGACAGACAACGGACAACAGGTGATCAGAAAAGCTCACTTGAGCTTTCAGCTCAGGTGAGCTAAAAAAGGATGCCAACACAGGAGGTACAGCATAAGCTCATCTTGACTTCATTGAACAAATTTCAAATCAATTACTCAAGGATCATTTGTAAGAAGTTGGTTGAAACTGTTACAATGAGGAAGCGAAAATGTGTAATTTTTACATGATGGTGATGTAGATAACAAAGAAAGCAATACGTCAAGTTCATCTGTGTGACATAAGGTTTTTAAAATACAAAAAAAAAAAAAAAAAAATTAGTATCTACTGGATTTGAATAAAATCAAACATACTGTCTAGGTCGTCAATTTTAGTGAGGAACATTCCAAAGAAGGCCCTGCTGAGAGCCATGACAAAGCCCTCCTCTGAGGCGGGGTAGTTAGGGTACAGGGTTGCCTGAATGGTAATTCCACCCGCAATCATAAATACCAGGAACATTCTCAACCATGTCAAAAAGTCTTTCTTCATCTGCAAAGTCAAGATGCATTCAATTTGGTGAACAGAAACGAGTTCTTTTTTACCATATTTCTTAATTCTTTTATTTCCAACTACAGGAAATGTATAACTGAAAATAAAAATATTCACCACTCTATTAAATCAGAAATCTCTGATTAAACTGTAGCTCTACTAGCTCTGTCCATACAGTATTTTAGTGGAAGACAAAGAAATGCACCTGGACTCGGAACACTTTCTGTTACTTTTACATTTACAGAATTAAGTATCTTGATGTTTTCTCAACTTATTCCAAGCTTTATTGACATTGAAACAAAACTACAGGATATACAAAATTTTGCAAGATTTTCACGTCTTATCTTTCTTTAAGTGGCCATGGAAACACCGTACATCAAACCCCTAAATAGAATAGTAAATAGACAAGAGGTCCAAGGGCCTTAACGGTCACCTGAGTACAACAATTAAGAGGATCTATAAACTGAAAAATGAAGCTTTTTTTCCCAAAAGCAAGAAAAATAGTACCATTAAGATCAACAAAATTATTGGTCTAGTATCTATCTATCTGTCCCCCATTTATCACTATTACCATGCAGACTTTTAACAAAATATCTATTTTTAACCCCATATTATTACCTCTCACATTGGCCTCACTTGGCCTTTGAAAAACATTTAAAAAGATAAATTATTTTTGTTTCATTTTTATTCATCTATTATTTCCAAGTCTACCTGATCATTAAAACTAGGAAAGTACTTTTTGTATTATACAATCAATGTTCTTGCATAATTCTCTTATTCTATTAACCTTTCAAATACATTATCTACAGTGATTAATTATCAAAGGTGAATGGCAAAGGGGAATAACTTCACTCAGTAGAATACAAATTAATAGAGCCCTGGCCAGGACCAGAACACTTGACCAAATGGTCCAGATGTTTAAAATTCTGGTAAAAATACCCTTGCTTATTAAAACTTTTATTGTGTTTGCCTCCAATATGCCCAGGAGCAGAGAAGATTTTCAAAGAAATAATGCATTTTTACTATTTAACACAGACCTACCCTAACACTAGAACCCATGACCCAGGGTCATGAAATTTACAAATTTAGAAGAGGTACCCTCATCATAATAACTAAGCAATTAGTTGAAGATTTTCAAAGAATTCACACATTTTCACTATATTATCAATAGAGCCCCCCCCAACCCCCTTCAGAGAAACAACAGAACCCCTGGGACCACAAGTTTTAAAAATTTTGTAAAAGCATCCTTGCTCATCATAACTATACACTTGTTTCTTTGCTTTATAACCAGGAGTAGAAAAAATAATTTTGAAAGAAATTATGAATTTTCACTATATAATCAGTAGAGCCCCCTCCCCTTTCACAAGAACCCCTGACCCAGGGACCATGAAATTCAAAATTTCTGAAGAGCCACTCTTACTCATCATAACTATGTTCTTAGTTAGTTTCTTTAATACCCATGGGCAGAGAAGAAGATTTTCAAAGAAATAATGCATTTTCACTATATAATCAATAGAGCCCCCCCCCTCCCCCCTTCACCAGAACCCCTGACCCTGGGACCATGAAATTCAAAATTTCTGAAGAGGCACTCTTGCTCATCATAACTATTTCTTAGTTAGTTTCTTTAATACCAATGAGCAGAGAAGAAGATTTTCAAAGAAATAATGCATTTTCACTATAGAATCAATAGAGCCCCCCTTTCACCAGAACCCCTGACCCAGGGGCCATGAAATTCAGAATTTTGGAAGAGGCACTCTTGCTCATCATAACTATGTACTTAATTAGTTTCTTTAATACCCTGGAGCAGAAAAGAAGATTTTCAAAGTTTTAATGCATTTTCACTATATAATCAATAGAGCCCCACCCTAACAGCAGAATCCCTGACCCTGGGGCCATGAAATTCACAATTTTGGAAGAGGCACTCTTGCTCATCATAACTATGTACTTAATTAGTTTATTTAATACCCAGGAGCAAAGAAGAATATTTCAAAGAAATAATGCATTTTCACTATATAATCAATAGAGCCCCCCTCCCCTTTCACCAGAACCTTTGACCCAGGGCCCATGAAAGTCACAATTTTGAAAGAGGCACTTTTGTTCATCATAACTATGTACTTAGTTAGTTTATTTCATACCCATGAGCAGAGAAGAAGATTTTCAAAGAAATAATGCATTTTCACTATATAATCAATACAGCCCCCCCCCCTTTCACCAGAACCCCTGACCCAGGGGCCATGAAATTCACAATTTTGGAAGAAGCATTCTTGCTTATCATAACTATGTACTTAGTTATTTTATTTAATACCCAGGTGCAGAGAAGAAGATTTTCAAAGAAAAATGCACTTTCACTATATAATGTATATAGCCCCACCCTAGCACCACAACCCCCTACCCTGGGACCATGGATTTCACTATTTTGGTAGAAGACTCAATCCTTATTACAATCATGCCAACAATTTGACTGCTTGATGTCCAGGAGTAAAGAAGAAGACTTTTAAAGATTGCATTAATTTTGGTGGTTTTTGCCCCACCCCTCAGGCCCCAGGGGGGCAGGGACCCTGAAATTCACAAATTTTGTCCCCCTTCACCCATAGATGCTATATGCCAAATTTGGTTGAAATTGGTTGAGCGGTTTCAGAGAAGAAGCTGAAAATGTTCAAATGTTAATGCACGATGCACGTCGACGGACGAAAACGGATAGCAATATGTCACCTGAGTAAACTCAGGTGACCTAAAAAGTAAATAAAATTGCGAATCTTGGTATTGTAAACTTCAGTGTGTACCAAGTTTTACTGAAATCAGACCAAAATTACACAAAGAGTAGAGTTTTGAAAAGTTCACTTAAGCCTCTGTCTCTATCATGATCTAAAAAGCTAGAGGCCTGAAAGTCAAACATAGTGTCACAATTCCTTAAAGGGCCAGATAGTCTTGCATATATGTTTTTTACACATACCATAGCTCTGAAGCTGATCATCATGGGGCCCAGCACGGGGCTGATGGGAAGGAAAACACTAAGTAACCTGTAGTAGAAGTATAGGAGGCCCAAGCTCATGACAAATTTGGCCGTGGTGTACTTGATGAATGGGATAAACTTCGGTATGATTCTGACCAGTCCGATCACGATCAGAAAGGAACCAATCAGACATATCTCTATCACTGTCCAGAATATCTTCATCTCTTTGTATTCCTGAAATCAAATAGAAAGTAAGAAACAAACTTGTCAAAACTATGCAATCAGCAAATCAGTAAATCTGGAACATGTAATAGTTTAAATTCAGAGCTACAACTGTAAAGAGCTATTTTCAAGTTAAACCATGCCATCAGCAGTTGTGAGGTTTGGAGTTTTAACATTATACCTTTCTTTTGATGATGGTTTTTCTGATGATTTCAACCCAAATCATGGCAGTCCAAAAATACACAACAAGGTCAATGTAGAAATCCCCACAAGATGGTATAATGACTGCATAACTGAATAAGGCCAGGTACAAAATGTACAGCAGCTGAAAAATATTTAAAATGCACTTACATGTAATTCTGAGGTTTTATTTGGGGCATACTGATTGCGAAGATGACATACTGTGATCAACCATAAAAATCCTGTAAACAATACAAAATGGGACAAAAACATGTACCCCTCGAAGCACCAGTTACCATTCACACCTGCAATGAGCCCTTTGCATTGTTTAGGAAAACGGAGTAATTCAGTCAAAATAAGTATAAAACTATGGCCTAATGAATGGTATGAAACATGTCAATCCAATTACAACTTATCAATAGGTTGTATTTGCAAATTACCATAGTATTTACAAAATGATGACTTTATATGAGATTGTCATAAGCCCTGTAACATCAACCTATTTGTCAGTACCCTACCCACAAATCCTCTACAGTTGATTATGTTGCTTTGTTTTGTCCATCTACAGGTTATGAAGAAAAGAATGTAAAATAATCAATGGTGGATTTCCCTTTGGCATCTAGTAGAATCAGCAGAATAATATTTGAACATTCACACTATTTTTTTTTAAAGTTCCTTACCTGACTGAGATAAAACTTGGTGATTGGGGCACTCCATAGATAGTAAAACTGTAGATAAAGAGGCACCCTTAAGTTCTGTCGACCATAGTTCAGCATCTCCCTCATTTGGTATTTCATCTGTCCCTTTGTACTCCTTTTCTGGTCAACATAAATACAAAATACATGTATATAGGATTAAAATATACCAAACAAAAGTAATTCTCAGATATATACATTATCATTTACTAGAGTTGTCAGTCCTACCCATTTGATTTTCAGAGGTATCATGTCCTGGTTATCTACTTGGTCTATATCCAGTTCTTCATCCTCTTCTGAAACATGACAAGACAAAAAAAGCTAGGCTTATATTGTAAGCACCTCCGGGTATGTCCAATATCTGTCTAATTTATCTTTGTAAATTTTTAGCAGAAAAATAATTTCATTAAAACTAATTTTACATTTTTTGAAAAATAGAAATTAAAACTGGTAACATAAGAAACAAGGAAAAAAGTTAAAGCTGGATTGTAAAGTATCTAGTTGGATTTTAAAGTATCCACTTCCAGTTTCCTTTTATTTATCAATAAAGGTCAAGATTAATGCCTATGGTGATATACCTAAGTCAAATTATTTCATCACTTTTTTCCTGATGTTTAAAATTCAAGGAGATATCATTATACTACATAATCCTCAACAAAGTTGCAATTTAAACAAAAATTGTCTGTAATAGGAAAGGCGAAAATGTAAGGCTGGACCAAGGATCGAAATCGGGACTCTTGTAGCACTAATTGGATTCTACCAAGTTCCCAAGACCAATATCCACTCGGCCCTAATCATTAAGGTCCTATGAGTACGGATATATAAAATATATATAAAATATTTTACTTATCTGTTTTTATGTAAAGGATTCTTATAATCAACATCATCACATTACTTGCCATGACTCATTACTTGAAACTATGCTCAATGATCAAAAACAACCAATACATACATATACAATAGAGTTACCTGGAGTTTTTACTTCTGGGTCTTTCTTAATCTCATAGGTAATCCAAAACAACATGGGGAAGATAAAGAAGACACTCATATATATCTACAAGTAAAAGTCAGACAATAAGTTTCTGATGATCAAAATTTAACTGTATCAAAGTCACTTTTATCTTTAGATTTCCATGTAAAACTTGATCTGAATTTTGCATACACCTAGTCCAAAGGGAAAATTAAACTTGAAACTTAATGGGGATTCCTACAATCAATGGGAGGAATATACATTACTGCTACATTTTAAGAAATTTTGCATACACCTACCGCTACTTTTGGCCTAGACCTCAGGTATGCATTACTGCAGTTTATCAGTAAGAAGACTGGCAGTTAATCACAGCTTATTGTACCACGACATAAACATATCTGTCTGTGAGGTATATCAGAAGTATGCATGGCACAGAATATGAATTCTATCTTCTTATCATCTTGTGTACAAACCTTGAACCAGTTTGGGAGTCTGAAAACTCCATAATCCACCTCTCTGATTAGCAAGTTACCCTGCCAACGCTGAAGCAGCCATTTTTGACAACTTTTGTGAGCAATGAAGAATTTATTCCGAGCAATGTGGGCAAGCTTTATAGTGGTCTTATTGTTAAGCTCTGGCAGTTTCTCATCTAATGAGGCAATGGCTGTTAGACAGGAGTCTTGGTAGCTCAGGTTCAATAATTTTACAGCTTGTTTTCCAAACTCTCTACAAACAGAACATTTAAACTGTCTTTCTTAGATATTCTAAAAAATGCAGAAAATGATAAAATACTATATCTTCTTTTTTTTTACTCATCCTAAACATATGTACTAGATCATAAGTTTTAAACTTCATATAATACAAATTTATAAATCTTACCATGGTTTTCAGAATTTAATAACAATTGACTAGAGAACTTTCAAAGTCATACAAAGGCCCAAAATATTTTTATATCATATGATCTTTGTCGTTTGACTTTGCATGACATGCGAGTAAATGACCTCAGGATATAGATATATATACCTATGTGTATGTGAGGTTGAGTGTGTGCATCTTTTAATTGTTTATGAATAGTGAATAAGAGGTCTGCATGTTGAAATTTTCTTTGAACCACATAAAACTGAGTTTGTGAGAAAATAGACCATTTTGCTTTTGACCCTCTGAATGAAATCTGTAGGCGTCTTTTGTTGATCAATGTTCATGTATGAAGTAAAAATGTTCCTTTTAGTTTAAAAAAAATACCACAGTTATTGAATAAGAAAAAAGCCATATCAAAAGTCTTGACCCTTTGGCTTTGACATATATATCCAAGAGTTCTTCATGACCAATCTTCAATTCAAAAATTTTCATGTTTTACTAAGCAAATTTTTTTTGAAATTATTGCATTAAAATGGTCAATCAGACCATCTTGACCTTGATCAAGTGTTTCTAAGATCTAAAGGTGTGTTTTCCAAAGCAATTTCCATTTCTATACTACATATAAAATCTTCAGATTATAAAATATTCACAATGGTTATACTGTTTATCTTCACCTTTTATATGACCTTTGACTAAACAATTTGCCAAATTTAAAGATATCTTCCTTGAACCATTCTCCATAGAAGCAGTTACAAACTGTCATAGGTATTGCCTAACAATAGTCAATTCATTAAATTCAAAATCTGACCTTGATCTTTGTTCAAGTTATTACCCTAAGGTCTATAATTTTTTTTTTCATTCAGTAACTTTGAAGTTTGACCTTGACCTTTGATCAAGGTACCCTAAGGTCTGTAAAAATTTTTTCTCTGACCAGTCTCCACCTATACCGGTACATTAAATAGTAAGTCTTAGGTTACAAACTGTCTGATTTTTGCATCAAAACAATAAAATCAACAATATATAGCTGTGACCTTGATCTTTGATCATACAGCCCAAATCACAACAGGGTTTTCCTCTAACCATCCCCCACATAAGTAGAAATATGAAGTCTGGAAGTTGAAAGGTACTCAAGTTATCAGATCATAAGAGTGTTGATGGACATGCAGACAGACAACATACAGATCCAGCAATCCCTAAAAGGGCACCTGCATCTTTATATTGTGTCTAATGTCTAAAATTTTAATTAATAAAGTAATACTTTTAATGTTGCCCAAGAAAAAGCCATGATTCCATGTCTTAGTGAAACATATAGTCAATTTCAAAGAAAAAAGTTTGTGAATAATGTATGTAGAAGAGATTTTTAATTAACCAATGAAGGCTTGTTCTCAATAAAGAATATTTACATAGCAGAATCCTTGAGTTGTCGTTTGATGTCCAGATCTCTGCTACACCATTTTATAGCTAGAGTGTGCCATATCATACTGATCACAAGAGCCATCACCATTGGCTGGTCAGACCGCTTCCACAGCGCTCTGGTCAGTGATGGGTTAAAGGTCAAAACTGACCAGTAGATCAGGGCATTTAAGGCCTTCAAATATAACAATTAATGTAACTTTACATATCCTACATCAAATTCATATCTCCTTAAAGAACACCCTTTTATATGAAATGTTAATGTCTTTTTAAAACAATGTGCAATACCTTTATAATTATCTTCACTTAATCATCAAATTCTTTGTTTTATACCATGTTATCTTACATAAGTAATTTGTATTTGGATTGTTATATTTTCAATAAAACATTCTGAATTCTATCTGTCAATAAATAAAGAGTTATTTATAGACCTTTCTCTCTGCAGTAAGTTTGTCACATACAAACTGTCCAGTAGAGTTCATGGAGAGGTCATAAGAGGACACCAGGCCCTCCAGGCTGGTCAATTTATACAGAAGTTGATTTAGGTCACATTTCTTTCCTATGACAAAGTCCTTGTCCACTGGATAACTCATTCCCTACAAAACAGATTGACAATTTAACACTCAAATATGAGGTAAAGCATTAACAAGCCAATGACCTGAGCTGCAAGAACTAAGATAAACAACATTAAACATTTGATGAATATATACAACATACAGTCACCATCTATAGCAAATACCATCTTTAAGGGATTATTCAATATATCATTGTTAATTACTGGTGTAAGAAAGACCTGAAAGAAATTAAGAGGTCCATGGACCACAATGTTCACCTGAGTAACTATGGCCCCTCTGTCCTTTATCAGTGGATTTTTTCCCAATATATTCCTATGTAAAATTAAGATATATTTTTGCCCCACCCTACCCCCAGCCCCCACCTACCCCCAGGTGTCATGATTTGTACAAACTTGAATCTGAGGATGCTTCCATATATATATGACTTATCATGGCTTTGCTGTTTTGAAGAAGACTTTAAAAGATTTTTCCTATATATACTCTTATGTAAAACTTCGATTGGCCATTGTGGCCCCATCCTACCCCAAAGGGTCATGATTTAAAGAAATTAGAATCTACACTACCTGAAAATGCTTCAGTGTAAATATAACTAACAATTGCTTTGCTGCTCTTGAGAAGAAGAATTTTAGAAAAAAAATTTTCTATGTATTCTGTGACAGATGTAGTGAGAGCGATATTATAATCATGATGTTTTAACTTTTAACTGTATCACTTGAATACATTTTTTTTTATAATTGTGTTTTGATATGACCCCCGATTGCTGTCAGACGATGTGCATTGCCAAATACAAGTTATTTTCTTTGCTATTTAAGACTTTAATGCTGATATGATGTTGAACTAATTGTTATCTATAGTTTTCTATATTGTTTACATGATCGCATAATTAAAACGGTGTTTATTTGCTATTATTCGGTAAATATTGTTACCTGGTATGTTTTCACCGCATGGTTGTTATTCTGGAAGTGCGATTTCCCATAATGCATTATTTTTAAGATGTGAAAAGTTGTAAGCGGCGATTTATTTAATTAATTGTATGTCAATATTTTATAATTATTTCAAAATTTACTTTGTTCATAAAGTAGTTATAATATTTTACTTGTTTCTATTTTCTGGTGAAACATGTGCACACTTTTTTCGTTGCCGTGGGAATTGGGGTATCGCGTATTGCCTGTGATTGGTTGATGATCAGGTGCGCGATGTTTCTGATTGGTGAACGTATTTTACGTCATTTCATAGTATTTAATGACGTATCTATAGTAAGAACGCGGAGTTGCAGCATTTGAACAATAGGATACACCACTGTTTCAAGGTGTGTGTTTAATTTAGTTCTTTAGGTTAATAGTTTGATAATATTAAGTGGTGTGGGGGGAAACTTTATTCAGAGATTGAATAATATTTATTTACCAGTATATTACTGGTTTAGATTTTCAAGTTTACTGGTTTATTACCAGTTTGGGATTATACTTAGGATTACCAGGATTTTTATTAGGTCTAAGAGAGTTAGACTTGCACATGAATTATTATTACTGGATAAGACTCCAGTTATAGAGGTTTTTATTAATTTATGAAACACCAGAGATTTTGTGAATATTTAAAAGTATTGTTTTGTTTCTGTGTCCTGTGAAATAAATTTATAAACTTTCCATGGAGTTCTTGACTTAATGAAAACAGTCCAGTTAGCACATCTGCATTTTACATATTCCTATGAAAAACTTTGATCCCCCATAGTGGCCCAGTCCTACACCCAGGGGTCATGATTTGATACAACTTGATTCTACAGAATCTAAAAATTTTTCCTATGTATTCCTCTGTGACACTTTGATTGCTTAAAGTGGACCCAACCTATCTCCGGGGTCATAATTTCAACAAATTTGAATTTACACTACCCCAGAAAGCTTTCACATAAGTTTCATCTTTTCTGGCCCAGTGGTTCTTGAGAAGAAGATTTTAAATTACCCCACCCAATTTTAACTATTTCTTAATTATCTTCCCTTGGAAGAGGATATGACCCTTCATTTGAATAAATTTGAATCCCCTTTACCGAAGAATACTTTGTGCCAAGTTTGGTTGAAATTGGCCCAGTGGTTCTGGAGAAGAAGATGAAAATGTGAAGAGTTTACAATGACAACGACAATGATAGGCAATAGACAAATTTCAATCAGAAAAGCTCACTTGAGCCTTCAGCTCCGGTGAGCTAAAAACTGAGAACATGAAAACTGGGGATATATATTAATTTAAAACTTTGTGAACAAAACACAATACCAGACCTGTTTACCCAAATTGTTGTCTCTCAGTATTTTTCATTAGATTTGTCAGTGAGATTTGGCATTTGCCCGTAAGATTTCACTTTTCATCGACTGTACATATATTACTAGAAAACAACTACATTTCTGATTACCAAAACATGGTTTAATAACAAAGCAAAACGTCATACACTGCTCTCTTTTGAGTGATTTCTGTCATTTTTTAAGCCACCGCATTTTGGCAACTTAAATGTTTGAAAATTTTCTCTTCTTTAGCGATTAAAAAGCATCGAACTGAGACAGATAACGAATAGTAATTGCTAAAATCCATATGAACGGATTTCCGTATTTTCATTATAGCAAAACGTAAGACGTATTTTGGACTGAAAATCCGTACAAAATACGGCGAAATCGTAAGAGTAAACAGGTCTGCAATACATTTTTTTTAAAATTGCAAATATTAAATTGGAAATTAATGGTTTATTTTAAAAGTTACCATAAAATAAAACTTTCTTTCCATATGTCCAAATACTTCAGGGATGTAAGTTTCTTAGTTTTTCATCTTCACATTTTAAAACCCCTTGAATTTCATTTAAATTCTCAAAGTCATGTGGAATGCCAGTTGCACCAATTTATAAGTTCTATATCAAAACCTCTGCATTTATATCCATCACTCATCATAATTCATTGGAACCAATGGGGTTTCTCTCCAGTACTCCACATTCACTGATTGGAGAGAAAACCTGTGGATTCCGACAATGTCTATTACTTTACATAATCCTCATTACTCTTCCTTTTTTGTCTTCATCAATGAAGAAAAGAAAAACATAAACAAAGAGAAATAGTAATCTAAGAAAACTGTAACAGAAACAATAGTCTATCCAGGCTGAAATTTTTGGGAGATGAAATCATATATGCAATACAGTGAGCATTTGCTATCTAGAAATGATTTTGTGTAAATCAACAATTTAACAATTTAAAGCATATAAGTAAAATATTTTTAAGTTTACAATAATTCATGCTATTTTTTTTTATTTGATATTCAGTAAGCTGTCAAATTTAAGAAAATATAACTTATGACATATGTACATGTATGTACATCTACACATGTATTTTGACTCAGTAACCAGCAAGAATTTGGTCAAACCTACTATTATGTCTACTAAAAAACAAAAATCCGAACACGGAATAAAACTAGTTTTTGTATGGTCTGCATTACTTGAGAAATGAACTTTTCCAAAAACTTTCACCAGGCCACACCTGCATCTAGGTCAGAAATGACATCCAAAGTATCAAGGGTAGTAATCCCAAACTATATCATCCAATTTGGTCCAGCCTGGGTCAATAGTTTATATAATTATAATCACTGCAACTCCCTCACTCCCTAATTATGCTTTATTCCCTGCAAGCTTCATTAAATACAACTGTATCGTAAACCTTCACTTTAATTCACTATAAAACAACTTTGATATAGCCGCACAAGTATTGGCCAATCAGATTTCAGTGCATGTTCATGCACATGTTTTCTAGATTTCTCACATCTTCTTATAGTGTCTCATGATGTATGCAGTACCTATATCTTAGATATCAAAGAATTAAATTGAAAAATAATTCATCAATTTAAGTATTAGCCAATCAGAATTTAGTATTATATGCAAACATGTCTTTGCATTGACTTTTGATGGCACCATGATGTAGGAATATGTTAGACTTATCTGTATTCCTTATTTCATCCCATTGTGTTGAAAAGTAAGAAAGTTTCAGCCATTTTAAAGTTCAGAAAATCAATGTCATGGCTTCAAATGTAAAGTGTAACAATGCAAAAACATAAACACATGTGTTAAAAAAAAAATCACAAATGCGGTTTAAATAAAATCAATATATAATTATGAACATGAATATTTCAAAAGTCATGCCGTTACCTTTTTACCAGCCAATATAATCTAAAATAAAATCATGCACTATGAAGTGTGTCCAATAACACTATGATTAAGAGGGTTTAATATATCTGTTCTCTACAATTCTCTTATTTTTCATATCTAAATATGGGAATAATGATGCAATGCAGGATATCATAAAGCATTGATTAGCGAGAAAATTATGTAATATTTAAAAGATACCCAATCAACAAGGGTCCGTTATACCTAATACATTGTCAACTAAACCTGAGCAGTTTAATTCACATGGTAAAAAAAAAAAATTGTGAACCTTGCTCTTCAAAGGAATTTGAATAGCATAGCATTATCTAATGTGAAACAAAAATTAAATGTTGTTACTCACTGGGGATTTAGCCAGAACTCCCTCTAAACAGACCTGACAGAAAAAATCAGGCCTGTCCAGATTGTTGAACAAGTCCAGAAGCTTTTTATAATTAACATATTCATGCAGGACAATTGTTTCCCGCTCCAGGAATATCTCCACAAACTTCTCTCTCCCTCTCTTCAACAAAGCCTTATCAAACAGCTCTGGTGTAATCTGAAACAATAGACAATAATGTCTAAATGAAGGAAACTTCAGATTTTGCAATTTTGTGACCACAAATTTATACTATTTGCTAAACAAATAAGCATGGATTTGTCTCTAATCGACTGACAAAAAAGCTGTCAAGAAAAAAGTATATACCAGACAAGATTAATGACAGGATATAGGAAATATGTAAAAATATTAGACATTCCACATTTGTACAATAAGCACTTGGATTTCAAGCAACTTTTCAGTTAAAGGAAATGATTTGAATGTTATTATCAGTTTTAAATATTTTTTTCCAATACCTTGACAGTTGTCCAATCATACTTTTCAAAAATCTGTGACTCTGCTAGATCAGGTCTATTCCAGTGTAAGGTCAGCTTGAGGTCAGATTGGAACTGTTCTTGAAACTGGCTTCCTGTCTTGGACCCTTGAGCTAAGAAAGTAACAAACAGCTGATTTAATGAGCAAGAGATTAAGAATACACATTCAATATTAATATTTCTTGATTTCTCTCAATTTTAATGTAATGGTGCAAGATGCAGTGATTCAAATATTCTGAGTGAAAAGGTTAGGTGGTTTTTTTGTGAAATAGTTTCTTCGGCCTATTGATATTATTCTGCACATTATTCCATCAAAAATCAAGGACACAAAGCTTAAACTTACATTCAAACAAAGTGAGTAAGATGTACTTGTCCAAGTTCTTAAGTCCTGTGGGATCAGCATTTATATCCAAAATAGTCAAAAACCTCCCATTCTCCTACAGTATTAAATGTAAAAAAAAAATTACTTTTGCAAAACATTGAAAATGTATTGTATCTTTCCATTTCATGCAAAGAACTTTGCAAACAATTTAGGGTCAAACCTGGTGGGCCAGATTGACACACTCCAATATTTTGTCCCTGCACTGATTCCGGGCCAACTCATTGTCCACAAAATCCTTTGGATAACAGTTCATCATTCTCTTGATTAACTCAGTTTTTACAAAAGACTCGTATTCATCTCCTTCACTATAAAAGAAATTTAATATCATATGCAATAGTAGACAAACATCTTTGTAAACCGATACATTCATCATGTTTTTATACACAATGATGTACATGTACTCACTGGTGAATTTTTTCAAAGTACACAAATGCTATAAGATCAGCTCCAAGTCCAGTACCCTGTAGAACCAGAACGGGAACTTTTCTACGCAGAAGATCAACTACATGATCTATATCTAGTGGTCCACCTTGTATAAGGAGGCCCACCATGGGGGTACAGGTGCTAGTGATCATGGTTAAATTTTCTGGGATAGATCCTGCATCTGTGAATAAAAAAAATTATTAAATGATGAGTATACATAAAATGAATTATAATATCCAAGGCCTCTAGCAGTTTTAAACAAGCTGATATCCAAAAAAAAAAAAATTTTGCAACCTACCAAGGGAGGGATCATACATTTTGACTTTTCTGTATCTCTTGCCCCTCCCTATAGGAGTCAGTAGTCTTTCCTCAATTCTGAGTCTAAAGTTCTCCAGCTCCTTCAGATCAGTGTTCTGGTCCATTATGATAAAATGAGAGTGTTCTCCATTCAACTCCATGGCTTCTTTGGTTCCCGTTTTTTTAAGTGAAATTATGGAATCATGCTGAAATTTTCAAATTAAAAACAATGCATTAACGTTGGTTTAAGTTTGCAACAAAAATTCAAAAATAGGATTTCCTGCTTTGTTGGTCTAAATGTTTGTTCCCTATCTTATTTTCTTCAATAAGTACTGTATTTTATATGTATGCTGATATACATGTATTAATATATATTTTTTTCTAAAATGTTAAAGTCATACTGACAAACATATAATCTGTAAAAGTTCCATAATGTAAGGTTCATTTGACAAATTTTAAGAGACCGCTTTGTATTTCCAAACAAGCACTCTGAGAGTATTGCATTATCAATACTAGTCCCCTACAAGTGTAATCTGGTTCCCGTTAAAAATTGAAAATACCATAATTCTGTCAAAAATCAATAAAGCAGAACGAAATGCAAACTTGATCTATAACTCATCAAGGTTACGTCACATGCCAAAAATCAGCTCAATATCTGCAAGCATTTAGAAAAAAAAAATGCGGAAAACCCTGAAAAATTGAAAAGGTTGTTATTCTGTCAAAAATCAATGAAGCAGAACGAAATGCAAATTTGATCTGTAACTCATCAAGATACACTCACATACCAAAAATCAGCTCAATATCTGTAATATCTGGAAACCTATAGTCCCCTCACTGGTTTCACCAGTAGGGGACTAATAACAGGACTCAAACAGGACTCTGTTTAATCAAGAATGCTCAATTTGAAATTGAGATAGCTTTATAAAAAACATATTGAGACTACTGGAACAAAATGTTCACTGATGTTACTCGTCAGGTTTTTAAGTGTTGTAGGGACAGGAGACATTTTCATGTTTACGTACAACACAATTCAAAATATTTGTAAAATGCTTTTAAATTTTAATTTTTCCTGTTGTGGTTTTTAATCATTATACGAGCTATCATTTTAGGTAAAGGAAAACAAAGTTGTAAATACTGGTATGAAAATATATTGTTGTGAAAACTACTTTTTCAGACAGGGTAACCAAAGACAGGTATAACTAGGCCTACATACTTGTGAAGCACATGGCAAACCATGTTAAT